AATCTCAAAACTTGTTAGTGTGTTTGTGTATGTTTTCCCCTTTGCATGATTCAAACGCTAAACCATACAGCTTTTATTTTGACAGAAACACGAAGTGAAACCTTTTTTTTTTTAAATCCCTCACTTTTGTTGACAGCACATTTATAAATCTTCTCACAAACTTCTCAAGATATCTGTTGCCTGTTACATAAAATGTCATGCTATAATAAATAAACATACGTGATATTTTTAAATGAACTAAATTTCCCATCAGCCTTTGCTCTCGCCTCTGATTGGGCGAATGATGTTATGGGAAGTTGACGAGTGACTTTTCCCGGCAGATTTGATGGGAAGCAGCTTCACGCGGCCGTGATAATAATCCACATCTGCGAGTTTGCCACTTTTTAACAGACGACTTGATTAAGGTATGCATTTCGATAGGCAACTTATAAAAACAATTAGATGGTCATGTGAGTTTTTTGTCAACGAGTGTTTCTGCTGAAAATAAGCCACAGTTCACTTCCTCGTGTCTCCACAAAGCTCGGTTTCGCACTATATGCGCGCCCTGTCATAAATAATGCTCATCTGAATAACTAGAACTAACCGAAAACGACTTTATTTGAAGTAAATAGGCAATGTTTTATTTAATATACTGTGTTTTAAAAGTTGTGTTTAAGTTCATTGTATTGGTGTTTGTGATACATGAAGAATTAGACCGACTTTTAAAGGTCACATGATGTGAAACAGTTAATTTCTCAGATTGAGGTAAAGTTGGTTTTATTTTTAGACTTTCTCCTTAATAATATCATTTCAAAAAAGTATTTATTGCCAATTCTAAATAGGGAAATCATATAAGCAGCCAATTACTAAAGTACAACATTGTTCACAGTCAATTAAATAATAATGTTAAGGTTGTTTTGAAGTCATATTTACATGCTCTTTCAGACCCAATATTTAAAGTACAATATATATATATATATATATATAATATTTAATATACTATGATTGAATACCACAGTAAAGTTAATGTGACGTTTGACATTCATTTAGACATTTGGTTTCAAACCTATTGCCCTTTTTGTTGCCTAAGGCTTAATTTCACGATAAAAAAAATTATAACTGTTTGAATAAATTAAACAAATCAACCATATGAAATTATATAACAATAGAAAACCTCCTTGTTATTGCACAAGGGCCTGTTTTTATTATTTGCACTTCATTTATTTTATAATATTAAAACAAATATTTTTTATATAAAAAATAGTATTAATCATTTATACTCTGTCTCCATTTGAGATAAAGAAATCACATCAACTCATTGTCTAAATAATATTATCTATAATGGTCAAGCTTTGATTTTAACACTTATGCCTTTGGTGTTTTAATATATACTGTACTGAATCCATATTTTCAGAACGTCAGATACACTTACATTAGGGGTGTCGCACTCAATTCCTGGAGGGCTGCAGCCCTGCACAGTTTAGTTCCAACCCTGCTCCAACACACTTACCTGTAGGTTTCAAACAAGCCTGAAGGACTCAATTAGTTTGATCAGGTGTGTTTAATTCGGGTTGGAACTAAACCCTGCAGAGCTGCGGCCCTTTTGGAACTGAGTTTGACACCTGTGTGACTTAAATGAATTAAACTCTGACCCCATTGGGATAAAGGAATCTAATCAACTGTAAAATTGTCTAAATGTTTTACCTTTATTGTTTTTCTTTAAAGTACTGATTGCATATTTTCAGTACACGGCAGCAAACTTTAAAGGTCACATGATGTAAAACAGGTAATTTCTCAAATTGAGGTAAAGTTGATTTTATATTCGCACATTCAGAATTTCTCCTTACAGTTTTTTCCAATTGTTTACACACATTTTCTGTAAGCAGAACTCTACACACAAATCACAAAACACACACAAACATTGGGCAAAACTCTTCAATTCTTCTGCAAAATGAAACTCTACGTTCAAAATGATGTGATTTCTTCTCAAAATGGTATTTTGTTTTTAAATGAAACACACAAGCCATCACATGAATAGATTATTTCTATATTTATTATTTCAATATTTCAGAATATTGTTTTATACAAAACACACAAACACCATATATATTTTACTGTATTTTCCCCACAAAAACTGTGTACACAGTGTTCGTCATAACCAACACAAAGTTGTTGATAACGTTGTCTACATGTACCATCAACAGAAGTATTTACAGAATACAGTTACAGTAAAAAACAAAACAAAATAAAAACAGCTATACTGCATCCTCTTTTCTGTTTTGGTCTGGCCAAGCAGTGGGGGAAATGCCACCTTGCATGGCGAATCCAGCCATGAAAAGCATCAACTGCTATTGCTTGGAAAAGGGGAATACGTGTGTGTGGATTTCGGTCATACACTTTCCATCTCCAGACAGAAAAACAACTAAGCCGAAGGAGAATGAATGAATGAACAATTGTAAAATACTATATCTAGCCTTAAAAAATCATAGAACTTGCTGTTGTATATTTAAAAAAATAAATTAAATAAAAAGATGCTGAAATGGTTTTTTTTTTGTTTTCTTTTTTCGTTCGCAAACTTCTTTAAATCACTTGCAACCCCATAAAGACAACATGTGTACATGCAGTGAATATTCCATTCTGGATACATTCTCTCCTATAAGATCTGCACTTTTGTTATGAAATCGTTTATTAATTTTAGTTTCCTTTCAGTGTGTGTGTCCAGAATAAAAGCATCATGTCTGAGGAAGCTGGACCCAGCGGTGAATCTCAGTCCCAAACTCAGTCCCAAACTCAATCCCAGCCTGCGTCTAGCTCCTCATCCGCCCCAACATCGTCAAGCCAGGGCTCGTCCTCGGGCTCCGGGACTCTGAGTTCGGTGGACACAGTACCTGTCCAGGAGCTCCAGTCCATCCCGGAAGATGAGGAGGAGGTCCAGCCGCAGGTGTGGGGCCGCATCATTCCTCTGAAGCAGGGGTTCAGCGTGCTCAGTTACGTCTTTTGTCTTCTCAAGACACTCATTATCTGAAGGACTTTTCATTTTCAGTAACCCAGTACAAGTGCTTCCGGTGAACTGCTGTGATAAATTTCAAAGTTTTGTGTGTGTTTTTTTCAATGTGAAATTAATATTTCATTTCAGCCTCATTTTAAAAGTCATCTTTGATATTAAATAATTTCATTTAACAACTTTTAATTAAGTAATAATAATTTTCTTTATATTTTGCAGATTGCACAGAAAACCAGTACAGCTTTGGGCGGGATAAAAGATGCGATTATAGTTTCAGCAACTCCATTCTGAAAAAATCACCGTATTTCAACACATACAGCAAGAAACATTTTAGGATTTTTAGGGTAAGTGCAACAATGGGAAGCTGTTCCTATATCATATTTTATCAAACCACTCATAAGAATATATTAGAAATGCAGAATATTCAAATGCTGTTGTTTTTTCCCCTGTGAAAGAGTTAGCTTTATTATTTCTGATTTAAAGGGCCACAAAACCCCCCGTTTCAGCAGGATGTTTTCACACCTCTAGTTTGGAAAAAGTCAGGAAAGTGGGCGTGTCTAGCTCTGTTTGGGTGGGAGTGTCGGGGGAGGGAAAATGGGCAGGGTTTGAATAAAAATGGGAGTTGCCATTTGGGCACATGCTGCGGACCGTTGAAAAACAAACACACATGCAGGGGAGAAAGACAGTGTGTTTAATGACGGTGAAATGTTTGATACCGCACGTCGTATAAATTGAAAAAAGCCTCTGCATTTCTCTGTAACTCAGATGCATTGGTAGGGCAGAAAGCGTATGTGTGTAGACAATCCTGTCACAAAATGCGGCGATAATTCAACACGACTGTCGGCAAAAATTTGCTTATAGTGTTCACGTGTCTACACACAGAGAGCACGATTTACAGCGGATCTTTCAATATTGTAGTGATATTAACAGCTGACCATACGAACTATAACTTTGCCGTCTGAATGAACAAAGAAAGGGCGCTGATCGCACACACTTACCAAATCTGTAGACAGGACGATCAGCACATACTGGAGCTGCGTCTTTTTTTAAAGGAGACGAGCAGCAAATCCGGATCTCACCATTGATGAGAAATGCTCTCGAGTAAAAAATGTTCCAAACAAACGCATTTCTATCGCGCGTCGCGAGCACTGATCCACACGCGAGTCCAGCAGCGCTCTCATAGAGAGAAAATAAAACAAGACCTTCACATTATGAAGCAACACTGGCGACCTGTATCTCCAAACAATTCTTATTCTATTCCCACTACTTTTGGCAACACGACGTGTGTCGTCTCTCTGCCGCTTGAACACTGTTTCAGGAACAGTCTTCGAAGCAAGCATGCATATTAATGAAGTTGCAGCGCATACATAATGGAGCGCACTGATTGGTTTGAACCAAGACATACTCATGAATGAATGCAGCACACTCAGAGATGTATTACGGGACGCCTTGGTGCAGACGTCCAGTCTACACGCTGGAATACACGCTAAGATCTCATGGCCGTGACGCAGCTTCAAAAATTAGTTTCAAACCGGAAGTACGAATTTACTTGAAATAACGCAAAAACAACCATTTTTCACTTTTTAGTGAAATATAAGTGTCCTAATAGTGTTTTTAGCAGTGTGGGACACATATACGACTGTCAACAGCTCAATAAATGTGTTTTGGTGTTTCGTTACCCTTTAAGTATTATCTTATACTAAGTTTGAAGTAGCAATACTGTGAATTAGGGCTGGGCGATTAATCAAAGGCAATTTTTATGTGTATTTTGTCAGTGAAGCTGGCTCACGTAAACCCCCAATCCACTTGTATGTTGAAATACCATATAACATATAAGAACATGTTTTTAATCCCACCTCACTTCATTACTTCAGTAGAGTGTCTGAAATAAATCCTTCTGTGAGATGATTCTGTAGCCGTGTGATGATTATTGGTCACGCTGAATCAATGGCATATCACCCTGCAGCCCAAGACCGGTTCCTCACTGAAGCTAAGCAGGGCTGAGCCTGGTCAGTACCTGGATGGGAGACCACTTGGGAAAGCTAGGTTGCTGTTGGAAGTGGTGTTAGTGAGGCCAGCAGGGGGCGCCCAACCTATGGTCTGTGTGAGACCTAATGCCCCAGTATAGTGAAGGGGACTCTATACTGTCAGTGAGCGCCGTCTTTCGGATGAGACGTTAAACCGAGGTCCTGACTCTCTGTGGTCATTAAAAATCCCATGGCACTTCTTGTAAAGAGTAAGGGTGTAACCCAGGTGTCCTGGCCAAAGTGCTCCTATTGGCCCGTACAATCAAGGCCTCCCAGTCATCCCCATTCACCAAATTGACTCTATCACTGTCTCTCCTCTCCACCAATAGCTGGTGTGTGTTGAGTGCACTGGCGCCGTTGTCCTGTGGCAGCCGTCGCATCATCCAAGTGGTGGTGTGGAGAACCCCCCTCATGATTGTAAAGCCCTTTGGGTGTATGGCCGTACACAATAAATGCACTATATAAATACACATTACATTACAAGTTTGCAATTTCGTTTTGATTAATCGCTCAGCCCAATTATGAATTGTGCATTTCAGCATTAACATCAGGTGTCCATCAGCGCGATGTGTTTGCTGCTGTTTCAGGATGAGAATCTGGTTTATCTCGAGGACCTGAGTGGAAACGGCACATGGGTGGACGACGAGAAACTGGGAAACGGGAAGCAAAGTCTACTTAGCAATAACTCCGTTATCGCTCTCGCAGAACAAAAACATCAAGGTTAGTCGTTTAGCTGAAAGTTCTTGTTATGTTTATGAAATGTGAACACTAATTCTGGCATTATTCAGACTCTGAACTCTTTCCACAGTTTTTATGTTCATAGATAAGATGGCGGACGATCAAGCAAACCTTCCTTTGGAGTTCAGTAAGAAATATCATATAGCACGAAAGATTGGGACGTAAGTCGAGCTGAATTTCTGAAACTTATAAATGTCACAGAAGTTTTTGATGAGAAAATTCAGGGTGTCTGCAGAGTCTTAAAGTATTAAAAGTAGATGAGTTGATTTAAAGAACTTATGAAAAAGTCCGGTAACGCTTTTGTTTAGGACACAATTCACATTATTAACAAACCATTAACTAACACAGTTAGCTTAACAAACTACTAGTTAGCTGTTCATTAACAGTCTATGGTCATTGGCACTTCTCGTAGAGAGTAAGTCCTGGCCAAATTCCCTTCATCGGCCCTTACCCATCATGGCCTCCTTATCATCCTCATCCACCAAACTGGCTTTATCACTGTCTCTCCACTTCATCTATAGCTGATGTGTAGTGAGCGCACTGGTGCCGTTGTCCTCTGGCTACCGTCCCATCATCCAAGTGCATGCTGCTGTTGTAAAAAAAAATAAATCAGTGGGAGAAGAGAGGAAGGCCAGTCCAGGAGACTCGAAACAAACAATTCCTTTATTGAGACGTGTTGGTTGATCTGCAGTCGTACAGCGTCTTTAGGATGTCCATGTGTCTGCAAGAGCCTATTAGAGGTCTGCAGTCTGCAAGTTCTATCACAAGTCTCTCACAAGTCTGAATTAAGACAAAGATGTCCTGTCTATATTGTCCTGTTAGGAGGAGGGGAGATGTCTAAACAAAGCATGCAAATTCAGTATTGGAGTCAACATGGCATAGGTGTTAAAAACCGGCCCAGGTACTGACCACACAAGTTAATCAACAAAGAGTTTCTGAAGCATAAAAGCAACACCCGAAGACAAAGGCAGAGTCGTTTACAGCATTTGCATCACTTTGACTTAGCCTGTAGTCAGAAAGACAAAGGTTTAATGTCCCTCCTAGCTGGGATATTAATAAAATGATATAAATAAAAACCAAATAATATAACTTTTCAGTTATACATAGATTATTGTTCATTTGGAACTAGATGATAGAAATTTATATTTCCACACTGCTCACTGGTTGTGGTGTGGAGAGGTGGTTTTGGTTTTTAACACGGTTTTTGGTTCGTTTTGGTTCTCATGGCTTGACTCATGTTTTTTTTATTATTCTATAGGCAATGGGAACAGTAAGAGGTTAAGGGGAAAAAAATAAAAACTATTTATTGCAATGCTCATTTTGTTTTACTTAACAGCCAAGAAAAGTACACTAGTTCCTAGTGTATTGTATAAAAAATTGTAACACTGAAATCTCACAGCTGCTGGTAGCCCATGTACAAACTGGGGAACACATAAAATCCTACACTTTGAAAATAAACACACATGTGAAGTTAATGAAGATAAATTGGCCATTTCAAATCAACATATTTGTACTTCAGTAAACGTAAATAAACCATCTTAATTATCTCGGTGCTGAAAAAAGTGCGAGACTGTAGTCTGTAACGCGGATCGAGTGCTTTTATAAGATGACAAAAGCCCACATCTCCAATCACCGAAAGCACCTGCAAATCTTTAGCCATAAACACCCGCACTGCCCTTGTTGTTTTTATGTGTCTCTCGGAACCAGTTGGGTGTGTTTGCTTGAAAGATTCAGCGAGGCATTGTTGCTATTTGGAGGACTTTATTACCTTCTCTGCTATCCTGCCATCAGACAGTGATATTGCTGGGTGATGGCGCTGCAGATGTGCAGTCATGGTTATATGTGTAAAACAATGCTTGCACACAGTTGCTTTTTGTTCATCGTTTTTTTTTTTTTGGGGGGGGCATTATACTTACCCGCAAAAGTGAAATGTCGTCACACTGCAGATTTGAAAGACGCCGGCCCTTCCTCGTACTGTTGCCTCACTTCGCTGGCGCTTGCCATGTTAAAGTGTGGAATGATGGTTAAGCGCCACCCAACTTTAGAGCATAGTGATATTTGCTGTACTCGCGGGGAGGAGTTTCCTCATCTCAGCTCATGGACTTACAGACACACACACACAGTCAATTCGGGGAGATATAAAACGCTCACAAATTATTTAAATGCAAAACCGAGAAAACTGCAATTTACTAGCACATATTGAACCGTGGATGTTGTACCAAACGGTTTAATATTATATTGAGAACCGTGGCATCCCTAGTAAACATACTGTAAGTTAAAATGTCACAATGTTAGCGGATGAAACCTGAAGGGATGATGAGGTTTTAAATGATGTATGGAAGGAGTCTTAAATATGTCTTAAAAGATCACTCTCTGGTTTCTGTATATACCCTACAATCAAAGTGGCTGTGCAACTAATAAAAAAGCTGTGTTAAAATGAAAATGTATTAAATGAAATTTATTAAAGTTAAAAAAAGACTACTCCAACGTGAAGTGTGTGTGTCTGTGTATGCAGCGTTTCCCCTAACCTTATATTAAGGAGCACACTGCCATTCAAACTTAGGCCAGTCACAATATCTATTTTTTGTTGTACGATACATTGCACCAAAATATATTATTGTCATTGCCATTTTAAGACCATTTTGTTCACTCATTATATAATGCCAGAATGACAATATAAAATCATCATAGTGCAAGTGCACTCTTACAAAGAACAGATCATATGTTATTCTTAGGAATATTTCATTTAATTACAGTCATTTTAACAGTTTAATAATCAGGAATTGAAATCAGGATATCAAATTGCATATCCTAAATAAATAATAATAAATGTTAACACAAATGTTGCAAGGTAAAAAGTTGACTGCGATATCTGCTATCAGATCTATTTACTACCAACATAAATATATACTAAAGTAACAATCACACTCGGCTAAAGTGTTGCTAGAAGTGGTTTTTATGTATGGGGGCGATGTATATTGCATCACCAATGTGTTCTGTGATAAGTCTATATGTTGATTATTGTGGCAGGCCTGTCTACGCTATCCATAATAGCATATAAATATACATGTTTGCTGTAAATCTCCCAATAATCTGTCCTTATCTGTCACTAATAAAGAAAAGACACTGGAAAGGCAAAGTCATTTTAGGTTTATCCTAAATATTTCCTGCATAATATTAGTTCCACTTGATTAAATTGTGACAGAAATGTATTGCTGTTGTACAGTAAGGCAAGGCAAGGCAAGTTTATTTAAATAGCACATTTCATACAAAGTGGCAATTCAAAGTGCTTTACATAAACAAGAATAAAAGAAACAAGTAAAATAAAAATAAAAACAAATAATAAAAATGCGTAAAAACAAAACAAAACATAAAAACAGGTAAAATGTGATATAAAAGAATGAAGAAGAAGAGAAAAACATGATAGTGCAATTTGTCGGACGCACAAACTATGTACTTTTCAAAGTAATCGAAATAAATCAACCCGAATGACCCATTGATGTAGTTACATTTCTTACTACCCTGACAAAAACCAGAACCGCAAGCAGTGAGTAAACGTTTTATTTAAAGGGCACCTATTATGCAAAAATCACTTTCATAAGGGGTTTGGGGCAACAGTCTGTGAATTTAACCAGATTCTAATGGTAAAAATGTATTCATTCTATTTTTTATAATCCCACTTAATAAAAACAGTCCGCAGAAACACTTTGATTGACATTCTCCATTTGTTTGTGTCATCAGAGGGGAAAAGCCACGCCCATTAATGACAATCTCTCCCTCATTAGCATGCAAGGTTGGTCTTGCTTTTGAATCTGCCACTATGCTGTTACACAGGCATTTGTAGCTCCGCCCTCCTAAAAAAAAAGCCTAATCTTATTTGAATTTAAAGTGACAGTCACCAAAATGACACAATTAGGATCAAAGCCTAAAAGGGGCAGAATTAGAGAGTTATTAAACATTATTTGTGTATTATTTTGAGCTGAAACTTCACATACACACTCTAGGGACATCAGAGACTTCTTTTAAAATAAATCATCTTTAATAATTGCATATCTTTGCTTTTTTTTAACTGTTTTATTTTCCGACAGAGGCGTCTGTGGTGAAGTGAAGCTTGCCATTGAGAAGGAAACCTTTAAAAAGGTTGCTCTGAAAACTATAAACAAACACGACTTTCCATCAATAGGGGTAAGAACTTGTATTTATATTTGTACAATACACATTAGGGCTGCACGATACTGGAGAAAAATGACATTGCAATGTTTTGTTTTTCTGCTATATGAATATTATTTTACCAGATGACTTGGAAAAAAAAACATAATAATAAATTGATTGGGATGATTATGTAGGGCAGTTCATCTGCATAAATGAAGCAGGTTGTTTTTATGGTATTCTGGACTGTATTCAGGTACAGAAATTGAATAATCAAATGTAAATAAGTAACACTGTTGAATCATCGTATGAAAATGAAATGCGTATATTTATTTATGCGTCTCTTATTTATCAAGGGATGCCACAGCGGAATGAACCGGCAAGTATTCCAGCATATTTTTCACATAGCAGATGCCATTTCAGCCACAACCCAGTACTAGGAAACACCAATACACACTCTCGATCACACACACACACACACACACACACACACACACACTCATACAATACAGCCAATTTAGTTCATCCAATTCATAAGGGTATATGCCGAAGTATGCTAATAGGACTTTTAATTTGCCTGTAACCTGGGTTAAGCGCTTCCGGTGAACTGTATGCCAATGCAAAAACCAGCGCGTTTAAGGTCTGTTTTGTTTAAAAATCAGCGATCTCCACTGGCTGAGTGATATCCGATATAAAGTGGGTCTCAGATTGTACAAGAAGCACTGCATTAAATTACATTTCCTCCCGCAATGTCTTAATAATATGAGCATTTATTTTACCCCAGTATATTCAATGAAGCTTCTGCGCTAGCCTGCGGATTCTGACAGGCGCGTGCAAGTAAACGGCTTTTTGTCTCGTTTTACACTTGATTTTATTTAACTGGATGCATTTAAATGACATTACAACATTGATTCTGTAAAAGGAACCGTATAAAATGGAAAAAAGTTCACAATAACAGGTCACCGAAAGTTTATCAGTATGGGAAAAACATAAGCTCGGCATGTACCCTACTCTATGCCCTGTTTACGAGCACTTGAATCAATGAAAACTGATCATCCTATGACTTTTAGTATTATAGAAAAAGTGGACCTTTTCAAGACTAAAGACTTAAATATTATTTTCTGCTGGATACCTGGACATATGGGTTTCATTGCAAACGAACATGCAGATAAAGCAGCTAAGGAAGCCTTACAGTTGGAGATTATGGAATGTAAAATTCCTGTATCTGATATTAAACACATTTTAAATCTGTATATTAATGAGAAATGGCAAATTGTATGAAGTGAATCCATTTGTTAATGTACGAAATAACTATCATTTGGAAAATAGACATGAGCAGGTGGTACATACGAGATGTAGAATTGGACACTCACGACTCTCACGCGCATATTTATTGAAAGGGGAAGAAAAACCTATTTGTGACTTTTTTCAAGAATATTTTGACGATAAAATAAATTTTATTAGAATTTGTATTTTTAAATGATATTAAAGAGCGTTTTTATTCGGGAAATATTTTAAGTGAAATGTTTGAAAAGGAGAAAATGGAATTTTCGATTATTTATCTGTAATCAAACTAAAAGATTATATTTGTATGTTTTTTGTTGTTTCTTTTTCAATGTATGTTTGTTATTTATATTTTATTATATGTTATTTATTATATATTATTATATATTTTATATTTGGTGTATGGTAAAGCCAATGCTGCTGATATGGCATTAAAACCTAAATAAAGGAAAGTTCATCCAATTCACTTCCAGCGCATGTGTTTGGACTGTGGGGGAAAGCGGAGCACCCGGAGGAAACCCACACCAACAGTGGGAGAACATGCAAACTCCACACAGAAACGCCAACTGGCCCAGCCAGGCCTCGAAGCAGCAACCTTCTCCCTGTGAGGCGGCAGTGCTAACCACTGAGCCACCATGCAGCCCTGAAATACATTAATTAATTCCCTTCATTAAGGTCAAACTTCACAATTGGTTCAACTATAATACCGCTCAAAATGGATGAATGAACTAAAGTTACTATTATAAAATTAAAACATTGTGATATCGATGCTGAAGTTATATATTGCGCATCCCTAATACACATCTTTTAACCAATTTATGTTCACCTGCTGCATTTATTTGATCATATATAAAGCAAAAACCTGTAATATTGTTAAATACACAAACCTTATTTTAATTGTTCTATTTGCTTATTTTAAAATGTAAGCTATGCCTGTAATATGAGCCATATTGTCTATATATCTGTGCGGAGTTTGCATGTTCTCCCTGTGTTGGCGTGGGTTATCTCCGGGTGCTCTAATTTCCCCCGCAGTCCAAAGACATGCGCCATAGGTGAATTGGATGAACTAAATTGGCCATAGTGTATGAGTGTGAGAGTGTATGGGTGTTTCCCAGTACTGGGTTGCAGCTGGAAGGGCATCTGCTGCGTAAAACATATGCTGGAATAGTTGGCGGTTCATTCCACTGTGGGGACGTCTGATAAATCAGACTAAGCTGAAGGAAAATGAATAAAAAAACCAAAGCAACATTTCAAAAGTGTTGATGTTTGCAGAATTTACTGGTCACGTGTGTCCATTATTAAAATTCTGCATTTGATAGTTTAGATCAGGGGTCAACAATCTCAGTCCTGGAGTGCTGGTGTCCCTGCGGGGTTTAGCTCCAACTTGCCTCAACACACCTGCCTGGATGTTTCAAGTATACCTTGTAAGACCTTGATTAGCTTGTTCAGGTGTGTTTGATTAGAGTTGGAGGTAAAATCTGCAGGGCGCCGGCCCTCCAGGAACAAGTTTGGTGACCCCTGGTTTAGATTTTGCTCGCACACGCTGATGTTTATCGTTTTTTGGTATTAAAATGTTTTATTTGCGTTTTACAGACAGCCACACGAAATGCTGAGCGGGAAATCGAAATTTTAAAGAAAATTGATCATGTAAGTCAAGGATTACATTTTAAATTGACAGAAATAAGGATTATTAAATACGTTTGTTCGTGGTTTCTCTCTCCTCCTTTAGCCGTGCCTGATCAAAACTGAAGATTTCTACCAGACTGAAGACTCCTACTACATTGTTTTGGAGTAGTAAGTAGTGTTTAATTGGGGTTAAATTACGAATTTCCTCTTGTAAATAGTTTTTAAGGATACTTTTAAAGGCAATTTCATGTAAGGTAGTACTAGAAGTTCGTAAAACGCTGCATAATTTGAACGTTCAATCGATAGTTTATTGAAAAATGAAAATTTACTGCTGTTTTACTCACCCTTAAGCTACTGTATGAGAAGTAAATGATATTTTCGTCTTCAGAATAACATTATTAATTGTAAACAGAATAACAGTACGACTTTTAGCTCAACCTGAGTTTCTTGGTGATTCATAGAATGCAAGTCAAGTACTTTTAGAGTAAAAGAAATAAAGTAAAATGTTATACCCTTTGCCTCTGGTGATAAATTAAGGTCTTGCGAAGTGAAACCATTGGTCTACGAAAAAAAAAGAAGAAGCATTTTAATGAGCTTTTTAGGCTGTTCAAGTCAAAGGTAAAAGACATCTGAGATCAGCCGATCTGAGAGTGGAAAAAATGAACTGCAACTGTTGGGTGCAACTCACCCTTTCAAACAGGACTGTTAGTTGTATTTTGTGCTGTAATATAACAATTGCTTGTTTTTTTTTTTTAACATATTCTTAAAACATTTTTAAATATTTCAACTTGTTGCCCTTTTAATTCAAATAGGACTGTCACTGTCCCACCAGCGATTAGGATTTTACTTCAATATTGTTTTGTAGTTGTTTGTCATGTAGGAAATGTAATAGTTCAACCCATTTACTGTCACTCTTTAACCTGTGAGGCCATTTGCAGTTAAATATTCAAAGCATAATATCAGTCTAAACATAAAGAAATCATAACAAACCTTACTGTGTTTTAGTAAGATTGATTACCGAGCAACACTTATTTATTTATTTATTTATTTGTGTTGTAAAGCATTACTTTGCTACAGCAATCTGCATGAAAACATTTTAATGTTTTTTTAGAGGGTAAATTTAGACAATAAACCATCAAACTGCTCATACTTCATTAGAATTTAAATGTCTACTTTCCAAATATTGTCAAATGTATGAAAAAAAATAGATCATATTCCTCAAAACATACACATCACCAATGAAAACTGAATGTCATCTGGGGGTGATTTTTGGTACTGCACCCAACAAAATGTTGCAAAAAGCAAATATTTTGAGGAGTTAACTTCAAATTTGGAATATAGATCAGATATTTATGTTGATCAGATATTTAGCTTTGAATTACTGTCAATTAGAGCTGAAGATTTTTGCCAGAACCCAACGGTTTAATTTCTATAATTTTAGACGGGCCGGGCTTGGGCTTGCGGGGTAAATAAACAGTCATGTAATGCATTTCGATTAGCGCGAGAAAGTAATTAAATCGTTTGTTACCACATTAAAACCCATCCCTACAAAGGTAAAACAAAGGATGACGAAGAAGTCAAAAAGCCGCCATTTCAAAAAGAGCAGTCATTCTAGCCACCAAGGTATTTCGGCGGTCGCTCTTACACTGTGTATTACGGTAGAGCGCTAAACAGCAATGTACAGCAAGCTGACAGTGAAGATGACGAGGTCACTCACTTCATTGAACTTTCTGTCATGGAAAATGAAATGGATGTTCTCGGCTGGTAGAAGATGAACAAACATCCCTACCAAAAACTTGCAAAATTAGCCAGAACAGAACTCTGCATCTTGGCCTGTAGCAGCAGCAGTGAAAGTGTGTTCAGTGCTGCTGGATGCACCATCCTGAGAGCAGGACTGCGCTAAAGCCATTTACAGTGGATTCAATAATGTTCCTCCACAAAAAACACTTAGCCCAATCTTGGTGAGTAAATGGATTTTTAAATTATAAATAAATATTAATTAAACCATTAAATGCGTAATGTAAACAGAGTATACAGGTTAATATTGGCATTATTCTTTTAATATTCAGCTTCACCGTCCCCTTAATGACAAATTGTGAAGAGGAGTGGCGAAACAAATCTTGCAGAGCCTTTATCTTCATTTTGTTATTGCTAAATACCAAGTGTGCCGCAAGCCTACGTTTGAGTGAAGGTTTCGGCTGTTAGATCGCCCCCTGGGGGCTGGCTGCAGTACAAGTCATAAAGCCCGCCTCCTCCGTGTTAATGAAGGAGACTTGAGCCCAAATAAAAAAAAATGTATTACACTTGCAATTAAATGTCCCGAAAGATGGTTCTGGTCGATTAAGGCACTGGTTATTGTGCTGAAATAGGTGCAGATCTTCATTTTTGTAAACAGTTTGTTTTTAGCAGTAATTTAATGCTGGGCGTGTCATCGTGATTGACAGCTGTGATTGACAGTTTCTCAAAGCGCGGCGTCTGAGCTTCGGCAGGAGACTGAAGTAGACTGAAATGTTATTATTCGATTTCTGTGTTATTTTACCATGACAAAATGAGTTCAGCAGTAAACTATAGTTTCTGACATACATGATCCTGGTGGAACACTGTTTATTCGCTAAGTTCAGGGCTTTTTTCGGGCTTTATTAGTTTGCTGATACACGTCTAGCCACCCAGATAGCAAAACACAGTTCCGGCTAGATTCTCGCCAGCCGGAGACTTATCTCTTAGAGCTCAGACTGACTAATGTTACCTCTGCTGGACCTACTCCGGATGCCTGGACTCACTGCCCGATTCCAGTCCGAGTCAATCGAGCCAGATGCGGCGGCCAGGCGAGCAGGCGCTGCCGCATGCGAGCCGGAATCAGCCCGCGACGCCGCGAGTAAGTTACGCGCTGCGGCCTGGAGCTGGCGCAATTGAATATATAAAACCCTCATATTTGTTAACGTTATTACATCTATTTGTGTTGATATGACAGCAAACGCATGCTGAGAAGTTCGGGGGGCGTAGTTGATTTTACATAAAGCGTTTGATTGGAAGCTCGACTCTGCTCATTTTCGTGGCTCCTCCTCTGGCTCCATCAGACAATCCTTCTGCGCATGTCAAGGCTCCAATTTCAGCAGTCTTTTGCGACAGTTTGTGCCCGTCAAGCAGGCGTTTTGCCCTCAAGGCGTTCAATGGGAAAAAGGGCTGTCGCGTCGTCCATATTTTTTACAGTCATTGCTAAATACCCATCATAATTTATTAGGGATGTAACGGTATTGTAAATACCGTCATACCGCAATATTAATTTTTTTCGATATTACCGAAGTCGCATGACTCGGTAAAACTATAGGTCTTCTGAGAAAATTTGCTCAGGCGAATGAAGCGAACGGGAGGTAGCGAAAACTACAATCCCCATCATCCCTTGCGGTCTGTTGTCGCTACAGATCCAGTAATGCGGAAATGGAGTGTGCTGCTAGAAGCGGGGATAAAAAAGAGCTGTAAAACTCTAAGGCCCCTTTTACAAGAGTGCATTTTAGTTTTAAAACGGCGTTGTAGAATGAAAACGATCCGCGTCCACACTCGCGTTTTACCCAGCGTTTCTGAACAGCTCTCCGTCCACACCAAAACGCTGAAAACGCACATCACGTGACCACACACACACACTCTCGGGCAAGCGCTCCAGCATTTCTACCCAGATGAGAGCTCTGCTTGTCGGACTGCTCATCAAGCATCTCCCGCTGGATCTGATCTCGCTATATTTGCTAAACGTGATATTTCATTCATCTTGTTGTCTTTATCTAACGACATAGGCCAATTCCCTGACTTTGGTCATTGGAATCTATTAAGTTACTTGTTCACGGGTAACATGTTTTGGTTAAGCGCAAAGATAAGTTAATGATTAATCCAGGTACATTGACTGATCGCTTGCCTTTATTTCCTACAATGTATAAACTTATTGTATGTTATACTTTTATAATTATCGATTATTAAAACTGATATTCAGCAAAAGAGAGGGTGTGTTTCGTGTTTTCACTGAAATTGAAAGGAGGCAGTTGTTATCGGCTCCGTTTTGTTATAAATATGCACACAGTGAAGATGACGCTCATATATGCAGCACGACGCCTCAACATTTCTGCTGTCTGTTAAGTTGCTAATATTAAAAAGAAAATAGGCAGTTCCTTATATCATGTTTACATTTTATTGATGAGAAAGTGAAACAACGTAGCCAGGGTGATGTGAATGAATTTATAAAGTACACTGTTCCCTTTGAAGATTTACCCGTGTCCTCGGTATGTTTTCCATATCAAACTGAGAAGGGGGAGACTGCAGCCTTGATCAAACTTGCGAAGTCTTAACTTACAAGAAGAGGATGCAAGACTGAACTGTGTGTGGGCTACTTAATATTGAGGAAAAGCCCCAATCAGATAGGCGAACGTTTGCAGCCCCGCCTCCGTTTTCAGATGTCTCCGTCTTTCCCCATCCACACTGAGACGGAGCAGCAGCGTTTTAGAATGAAAACGGCCTCTCCAGCGTTTCCAAAAAGCTCCGTTTTCGGCGCTCAAGAAATAAGTCATATAAGTCATATCTCTCTTGTCCCAGAAACCTCAGTACCAAATGAGAGGTTTTTTTTTTCTGTTGCAGGGGACATTGTAAATGCCCAGAGATACCAGCTTTTACCAGATTATATTTATATGATAATTTTCCTTTAAACCCATCTCTATCTAAGTGAGTGAGTGATTAAATGTTGAATGTGATGAGTTTTCAACAATACTAAATTAAAAACTTAAATTTTTTTTTACATGGTTTAATATTTTTTTTGTTATTAAAATTGAAGTTCCTGTTTCAAAGCTTACAGATAGATGGCTAATTTGTATGTCATTGACACTTTTGGCACTTTTTTGGAGTATTTTCATAAGTTTTGTTTTTTCCTGTAAATGATTCAATAAATACCGTACCGTGACATTCATACCGAGGTATTACCGTACCGTGAAATTCTGATACCGTTACATCCCTATAATTTATAATTTGTTTTAATTTAATTTGTTAAGATAGACTACTTTTTATTGGTGTGTTGGCCAATTTAAAGGCTAAGGGTGTGTGCCTAGGCCTAGTTAGAGTGCTGAGATGTTACGATGTTACAGAGGATTTATTTTATTTCTTTGCTACAACTTCTAAGTGGCATATAGCCAAAGTTTGTTACGAATAAATTATGTTAAAAGGCAAAAGATCTGTGTGTAGGTGCACATTTGAATAATGTCGGGCTATATATGTGTGTGTGTGTGTGTGTGTGTGTGTGTGTGTGTCTTTTTTTAATGAGATCAACTTTAAATCTATGCAGCAAAGCATTTAAGATTGGCAATCATTTAAGTTGAACATGTCATTTTATGTCTATGTTCAGAAAGTGGGGGTGACCGTTAAGGGGTCAATACCTTAAATGTTGTCAAATTAATGCATTAAGCAACCATTTCAGTAATTGAATAAATGGTGTATTCTCTGTGCTGTGTGTAGTATTGAAGGTGGCGAGCTGTTTGGCAGGATCAAGGCCAAAAAAAAACTGGAGGAAGATATCGCCAAACTCTACTTTTATCAGATGCTCAAGGCTGTGGAGGTACGACTTTATGAACAACATCTTATGTGTTTTAAATTAAAGGCTGATTTATACTTCTGCGTCAAACGCCGGCGTATGCTACAGCGCTGACGCATAGCCCTTCGCCGTGGCCGTCGGCGTCGCTGACGTGCACCTCTCCAAAAATATAACTACACGTCGCAAAGACGCGTAGCGCAAGCTCTGTGATTGGTCGGCTTGTTAGCTCTGACAAGTCTGAGCGGGACCGAGAGCCGCGCGAATGGTGCGAGCCTGATGGAGCGATTGTTTACAAGTGTGGAGTCCCGTGAAGGAGCTCCGGATGGAAAGTTTTGTTTTGTGTTTACCTCATAGTTAAAGCTGTTGCATGTCCGCCGGTTCCTGCCTCAAAATGAGCGAGTTTGAGCCACTTGTACATCCAGGAAGTGTTCAAGAAAAGCAAAACAGCAGAGAAGAAACTCGACACAGAGGAACATTTACACCTCACTGACACTCTGGCTCTGAGAGAAAAGCCAGTTTGTAAAAAAAGTCTTGGTTTTGCTTTGTTAATAAATAATCAAACTCATTCAATTGCACAGCATCCTTTCCTACATCATCTCATAAACTTGATTTAATTAGTTAGTGCTGAATTATCGCATTGTATCGTGATATGAGTGTGAATCGTATCGTGTTGCATCGCAATATGTCATAAATGTACCGCTAATATATCGGATCGTATTCTTTGTATCGAGATGCGTATCGGATCGGCATTATAGCTTAGATGCCCAACCCTATTTGTAGATATTTAGACTAGAATTTTGTTTTGCCGTGGAGACTTGCAAGCAAGCTACAGCAAAGGTGATATGCGAAGGAAAATGTATAATCTTGTTTTATTTTACTCTCCTCAGTATCTCCACAATAACGGGATCATCCATCGAGATCTCAAACCTGAGAACGTGCTGCTGGCTTCACATGACGACATCTGTTTGATTAAGGTGCGTTTGTTCGAGAGTTTTCAGACAGAAGAAGCTTTTACCTCAGCAGCACCTTTTAGATCCGAGCCCAGCTTTTGTCTTTGTAGTGGAATGATCCTGAACCTGAGATGACCCGCTTTCTCAACACATGCAAATTCCCCACTTGCTTTGTAGATTACGGATTTTAATCAGTCCAAGATTTTGGAGGAATCCTCCCTGATGAAGACGCTCTGTGGGACGCCCACATATGTGGCCCCAGAGGTGTTCACGCACGCCTCGACTGTGGGATACACAAAAGCTGTGGATTATTGGAGTCTGGGAGTCCTACTGTTCATCTGGTTAGTGGAGATTATGGTTGAATGCAGCATTAAAAAGTCCTTAAAAAGCCTGAAGTCAAATTGTCATGATGTGCTCAGTCCTTTCCAATCCCATTTGCATTATGTCCTAAACTCAAAAGTGAATTAGAGTTCATATTAGGCACTTGTACAGAGTAGTTTCACACAGGCCCGTGCAGAGACTGTCCAAAGGGCATGTGCTGGATAAATTTTTTGAGGAGCACGGGTGGGGGGGTTTGTTGTTGTTGTCGTGGGAGGGGAAGGGGGTCATTTGGAAGGGCACATTCAATCCAAGACTAAAAAGGGCATGTGCACTGCACAGGTTGAGCCCTATGTGTGCACATGCCTGGTTTCACATTAGATCTCAACTACAGAAACTAACCACCAGATCTTGGTGATTTGCAAAATTACGGGTGAATGAGGAAATGGGAATTCGGCATTAAAAGTCCTTAAAAAGTTTAAAAGTCCTTTAAAAGCATGAAGTCAAATCGTCATCATGTCCTCATGCCTTTTCCAATCTCATTTCTATTATGTCTTAAAGAGCCCCTATTATACATGAAAAAGGGTCATATTTTGGTTTTGGGGGTCTGATATGCATGCAAGGTCAGAAAACACTTTCATGGTCTTAGAATATGAATTTATTTTGAACTAATTATCCCAGCGACTCTCATATGAATTGTTCAGCAATTCATTTGTTCCCAAACCCTTCCGTAGCGCGAAGCTAATCTGCACTGATTGGACCAGTCGACCAGTGTTGCGATTGGTCGACACTGACAGCCTTCAGGGCGTGCAGAGCAGAGTGAAATGCCCAACACAGCTTATCAACAATATAGAAGTAGTCATATATATATATATATATATATATATATATATATATATATATATAGATATGTATTTACAGTTGAAACCAGAAGTTTACATACACTGTATAAAAAGTCACATAACCATTATAAACAAAAAAAAAAGTCAGATGTTAATGTGATTAAACTATTTCCCTTTTAGGTAAGTTAGGATAATCAAATGTGTTTCTGTTATGCTTAACAGCAGAATAATTAATATTTTTTGAGAAATTGTTATAACCTTTTTTGAAAGTCAAGTTTACATACCCTCCTAGGGCCTAAAGGCTGATTTATACTTCTGCGTCAAACGCCGGCGTATGCTACAGCGCTGACGCATAGCCCTTCGTCGTGGCCGTCGCCGTCACTGATGTGCACCTCTCAAAAAATGTAACTACACGTCGCAACCATGCGTAGCGTAAGCTCTGTGATTGGTTGGCTTGGTAGCGTTGACGAGTCTAGGCGGGACCGAGAGCCGCGCGAATGGCGCAAGCGATTGTTTACAAGTGTGGAGTCCCGTGAATATGGAACAAAATCAATGCCAAAAGTCTTAAATTAAAAAGCTTGTTGAATAGCACAAACTGAAAAAATAATACACCGTATTAACAAGTTCTTGCATTTTAATGACTTGAATTCCAGGGTTTGTATTTTTAGGTCCTGAAATTTAACATAGCCGTTTCTTTAAGCTGTGAATATTTAAATGAAAAATATTTCAAACATGTTTTCATACTTAAAAATTCAATAATTCATATTCAATTTCCAGATTTCACTTACAAAATATTCAATACCCTTTAAAAATACAATGTATAATATTCAAAAGGTAATTTTCAGTTCATTTTATTTCAGTTCTAATATTCGCTTCCATAAATTCAGTGGCTCAAATTCGACTGTTAAAATTCAACATTACATCCGGGAACTGCAGGAGAAGCAATAGATTGCAGAGTGAAGATCGCCAGCTGCTCTAGCTTTCACCAGCAGGTGGAGATGGAATAATGTAAGATTTTTAACCAAGTAAACAGGCGAGAAAAAAGCTAATTAAGGCACAAAAGTAGTATTTAATATTAATATTAATGCCTTGGACATTATAAATAATAAAAAGTATGAGTAAAATGAGTAAATGAGGTTTTAGTCATCTATTTTTGCCCTTATGTAACGGAAGCCAGCTGATGATCACGTAAATCTCACTCCTTGGATCCAGGGACAGACGTTCTGCAATCTGTAGCATCCTCGGAGCATTTGTCTGACATGCCGGTATCGCCGGCTCGCTCCCTGCAATCTGCAAAAAGCGTTTTCTGTAAATTGGGACTAGGAGACCACATATATGGACATAATTTTTCTATAAAAGTACATCATATCAAAAAATTATACTTCGATTTTTATTCTAATTAGGTTCCAATAAGTTCAAATAGCAAAGAGAAATAAAAAATGCGTGTAAAAAAAACACCTTGGCCCTTAAGAGGATACAATAAGATTATTATGCCTTTGGAAAAGTGCAGATGATGGTGTCAAGGTTTTGGACGTTTCTGATTGGCTAATTGACAACATTTAAATGTATGTAAACTTTTGACTGTCAAGAAATTATTAAAAATTCTCAAAAAAACAATCTCTCATTATTCTGGCATTTAGCAAATGTAAGTGATTTAGGTAATCCTAACGGACCTAAAATAGTAAACGCTTAGTATGATTCACCATCAGACATTTTTTTAAATGGTTATGTACCTTTTTTTGGAGTGTATGTAAACTTCTGGTTTCAACTGTATATTATTAAAATATCCCAGCACACAGTAATCCATATTCATCAAATGCACTGCATAGTTGTCTTTAAAAAACAAAAAACAATCTAGCCTCTTTATAAAAATAATTTTAAATATTTCAGGCTTCTTAACCAACTTCCACTTTATGTAAAAAAGACCAATTTCTGTAGTTGAATTGTTCCTAAATTTAGAGTTTTTGTTTTAACCAATATGAAGTTACGATTACAGCAGTTATAATGCCACTGAAAGAGATAACTTTACTTTTGTATCTCTGTTTTAATAGTTTGGGTGGATATCCTCCATTTAACACTGAGTGCACCACCATGTCTGTCCGTGAGCAGATCATTAATGGCGAGTACCGCTTCATCCCCTCTCAGTGGAAGAACGTTTCAAATGAAGGTAACCCTTCAGCATCTATATTCTCAGAATTGTATATGTTTTCCAATTTCTTTGAAAATAACATCTGACAGCATGTAGTTTGAGTAAAACATTTTAACTCTACATTTCAGCCAAAGATTTGGTCAAGAAGCTCCTGGTTGTGGATCCACAGAAGCGTCTGAGTGTTGAAGAGGCACTAGAGCATCCCTGGTTAAAAGTATGTACAGAAAAGACCACTAACTACACTGATGCGTTTGACCGTTGTTTAGATTTATTAAAAGCTGACAGATTTTTAAAAGGTTGATATTATACTTTTTTTCTCCCTAAGACATGATTAAACTCTTAAATGTGCTGTATATGTACATTTTAACACTTCTTAAACATAAAAATACTAAAATATGTTTGCAGATATTTAAGAAACATGCTAAGTGAACAATTGTTTATCTAAAAAAACAATGCTAAAGTCAGATATTCTCCTTTGGAAATGTGCGTTCAACGTCAGAATGTCTGCCATTGGCCTCTATAATGTCTTCCATTGGCCTCTATAATGTCTTCCATTGGCCTCTATAATGTCTGCCATTGGCCTGTCTGCCATTGGCCTCTATAATGTCTGCCATTGGCCTCTATAATGTCTGCCATTGGCCTCTATAATGTCTTCCATTGGCCTCTATAATGTCTGCCATTGGCCTGTCTGCCATTGGCCTCTATAATGTCTGCCATTGGCCTCTATAATGTCTGCCATTGGCCTCTATAATGTCTGCCATTGGCCTCTATAATGTCTGCCATTGGCCTCTATAATGTCTTCCATTGGCCTCCATAATCTCTGCCATTGGCCTCTATAATGTCTGCCATTGGCCTCTATAATGTCTGCCATTGGCCTCTATAATGTCTGCCATTGGCCTCTATAATGTCTGCCATTGGCCTCTATAATGTCTTCCATTGGCCTCTATAATGTCTGCCATTGGCCTCTATAATGTCTGCCATTGGCCTCTATGTCTGTCATTGGCCTCTATAATGTCTTCCATTGGCCTCTATGTCTGTCATTGGCCTCTATAATGTCTTCCATTGGCCTCTATGTCTGTCATTGGCCTCTATAATGTCTTCCATTGGCCTCTATAATGTCTGCCATTGGCCTCTTTAATGTCTGCCATTGGCCTCTATGTCTGTCATTGGCCTCTATAATGTCTTCCATTGGCCTCTATGTCTGTCATTGGCCTCTATAATGTCTTCCATTGGCCTCTATGTCTGTCATTGGCCTCTATAATGTCTTCCATTGGCCTCTATGTCTGTCATTGGCCTCTATAATGTCTGCCATTGGCCTCTATAATGTCTGCCATTGGCCTCTTTAATGTCTGCCATTGGCCTCTATAATGTCTGCCATTGGCCTCTATAATGTCTGCCATTGGCCTCTATAATGTCTGCCATTGGCCTCTATAATGTCTGCCATTGGCCTCTATAATGTCTTCCATTGGCCTCTATAATGTCTGCCATTGGCCTCTATAATGTCTGCCATTGGCCTCTATAATGTCTGCCATTGGCCTCTATAATGTCTTCCATTGGCCTCTATAATGTCTGCCATTGGCCTCTATAATGTCTGCCATTGGCCTCTATAATGTCTGCCATTGGCCTCTATAATGTCTGCCATTGGCCTCTTTAATGTCTGCCATTGGCCTCTATAATGTCTGCCATTGGCCTCTATAATGTCTGCCATTGGCCTCTATAATGTCTGCCATTGGCCTCTATGTCTGTCATTGGCCTCTATAATGTCTGCCATTGGCCTCTATAATATCTGCCATTGGCCTCTTTAATGTCTGCCATTGGCCTCTATAATGTCTGCCATTGGCCTCTATAATGTCTGCCATTGGCCTCTATAATGTCTGCCATTGGCCTCTATAATGTCTGCCGTTGGCCTCTATAATGTCTGCCGTTGGCCTCTATAATGTCTGCCGTTGGCCTCTATAATGTCTGCCATTGGCCTCTATAATGTCTTCCATTGGCCTCTATAATGTCTGCCATTGGCCTCTATAATGTCTGCCATTGGCCTCTATAATGTCTGCCATTGGCCTCTAAATGTCTGCCATTGGCCTCTATAATGTCTTTAATGTCTGCATTTGGCTTCTATAACAAGCCCACTGCCAGTTTACCCATATTGCAGCACCCTGGATGCCTTGGCATTTCATTTTAGTCACGAAGGCTGAAATTGCAATCTCTGAAGGACAGTGGCAGCCTCTGAAATAAAATGCTGATTCAGAGTTATTAAATACACAAGGTGGTTTATAATTAGCTAATAAAATAAATGTTACAAATGTAAACATTAGCTGAGCAGCTTACATTCACAGTAGCATTGATTTAGTGGCTTCTTGTCCATCTGGGTGGCGACTAAAGTCCCTTGTGGGTGTTTCCAGGTTGCTCAGGTAATGTTTATGAAGATATTCACTAACAGCAAGAGTTTTCTTCTCACTAAAAATACACCTTATGGAGCTAATATACACACAAAATGTTTTGTGTGTGTTTTACAATTCAGGGTACAGCAGCAGAGTTTCTTGACTATTACGCTAGAATGAGAGTGTAGTTCCTATAAATATCAGCCTTTTCATTTTCCATTGGTGTCATTACATGATTTAACTACAAAAGACTTGAGCATTAAATAGGGAAATTATCAAAACCCACAGTGTAGGAATGTCCGTCTTCGTTTTGGTCTCTATAACCAGCCCACTGCCAGTTTAGCCAATTATATTTCTGCGCTCCGGGTTGCCTTAGCGGAAAACAACGTATTTCATTTGATTCATGAAGGCTGTTTCAGTGTATTTTGGTGTGAAAAAGTGACCTCTGCTGAACAATAGCATCCTCCAAAATGAGACGCCAGTTCAGAGTTATAAAAAATCCACGAGGTGGTTTTTAATTAACAAATTATATACATTTTATAAATGTAAACATCAGCTGAGCAGCTTACAGTGTAGGGCTTGATCGGCAGGCACGCTTGTTCCTATTTGTATCATCAATCTGGCAACCTGAATTTGCATGGAGTCTTTGTCAGAGGGGCCAACTGAAAAAAAAAAAAAAACCCTGTTTTGAATTTGGACTGCAATATCTACTTCAACCACTATATGTCATGTCTAGATTGTATATGCATTTCCTGTAAAAAAAAAAAAAAAAGTGCATTACTAACTCTTGTAAATAACTAAAATTATAAAATGTGCGAAACATATTTGTATGTAATTTGATAACTATGTACCCTCTCCTCTGTTTTTTTTTTCTCTTCTCCTTTGTTTTTTCACTTATTTCATTCTTGTTAAGAAATGTAAAGTGATTGTATTGTATAAGAAAACTGTACAATTAGACAATTGTTAATTAAAAAAATAATAATAATAATAAAAAAATAAAATATCTATCATTTGACTTATTCAAATAGAATATTAAAAGTGTCCAAATCTAAAAAAGGTCATCGTTTTTGTAACAGGATGACAGGATGAGACAAAATGCAAACCAGCTGATGAATCCTGGAGCTGCAAATCAACCAATGCGTCCAGAAGCAACAAGGGTACAACAACAAATCTCTTATTACATTAAAAGTTTTAATGAAACTTTAGAGGAAATTAATTATTGGATTTTCAACATTTTACGATTCAATGCAAATGTCAATTGCAAATGCTTCAGTAGTTATTGAAAACTAAACATAATTTTATTTGAACATTTTCAAGCAGAAACGCAAGGCACAAGAGGGAGAAGGTGAACCAGCATCCAAGAGGAAACCCGGGCCTTGATCTTCACATGCTTTTAGAAGTTTTTGTATTTGTTCTGATGATGGCCTTTTAAAACGTAGTCCTGTGATCTGTTCAACACTGTACTGCTCTTGTAAATACGTGTTTGTACCATTTCTTGTAAAAAATAAAATGGTTTTACATTTTCTATTCCTCTGATTTTGTAACCTTATCACGGATCATTTTTCTATTTAATTTCTAAAATAATTTGTATAAAATTGAAGGTGTTCAAAAGGCACACTCTGGAGTTCTATGTGGGATTGAATTTTTCCAACAATTAGTCCTTAATCCTACAGGCAGATGTCTATGCAGATTTTCAATCCCTTTTTAGTATAATTCGGTCTCGTATAACCAAGACCAATGCTTATGAATTATGTTCTGCATCAAAAATTGGTTTGTTCACTTAAATAAAATGCATTGCATACAGTGCCCAGTATAAATGAGTACAGTCCACCTCTAACAGATCTCTTTTAAATTAATCTTTTCTAAAGGATGTTACTCAAGATATTTGTATGAACACTCACCGGCCACTTTATTAGGTACACCTTACTAGTATAGGGTTGAACCCCCTTTTGCCTTTAGAACTTCCTTAATACTTCATGGCAAAGATTTTAAAAAGCATCGGAAATGTTCCTCAGAGATTTTGGCGGCTGCACATCCATGATGCAAATCTCTTTTTCCACCGTATCCCAAAGGTGCTCTATTGGATTGAAGTCTGGTGACTCTGGAGCCCATTTGAGTACAGTGAAGTCATTGTCATGTTCAAGAAACCAGTCTGAGATGATTTGCACTTTATGACATGGTGCGTTATACTACTGAAAGTAGCCATCAGAAGACCATCGGTGTGGTGATCTGCTGCTGCAGCCCGTCCACCTCAGGATGTGTTGTGTGTTCAGAGATGCTCTTCTGCTGAGTGGTTATTTGAGTTACTGTTGCCTTTCTATCAGCTGGAACCAGTCTGGCCATTCTCCTCCAACCTCTGGCATCAACAAGGCATTTGCGCCCACAGAACTACCACTCACTAGATATTTTCTCTTTTTCAGACCATTCTCTGTAAACCCTAGAGATGGTTGTGCGTGAAAATCCCAGTAGATCAGCAGTTTCTGAAATACTCAGACCAGCCCGTCTGGCACCAACAACCATGCCACAATTCTGATGCTCGGTTTAAACCGCAGCAGATCCTCTTGACCATGTCTACATGTCTATATGCATTGATTTGCTGCCATGTGATGGACTGATTAGAAATTTGTGTAAACGAGCAGTTGGACAGGTGTACCTAATGAAGTGGCCGGCGAGTGTATACATTAGATTAGTCAGTATGCCGAAGCCAAAACTGGAAGTGATCTGACTAAATAACTTAAGACTGAAGTGCAAATTTTTTTTCAACCAATAAATATGTTCGGGGAAATATTAAACATTTATAATAAAGAAAAAGACTTAATAGAACCATAAAATAACATCAAATTTAGGGGGAATTTTGTAGTTTATAACTTTTTATTTTAATTTTAAATGTGTTTTCATTCATTTCCTCAAGATGACTCTTATTTTAATGAGTATAACTGTTTAATAAAACTTTTATTTAAATGCACCATAATATATTTATATTCACTGAGAAATGTATAAAAATATTAACATTAACCCTCGTGTGGGGTTGGGGATGTTTTCATCCACTCTAAGGTGAATTTGAGGCTTAATTTTGTCAACTTTCTGTGTTTCAGCAAATGGGATGATTTTTGGTAACAAATCTTATTTTGACATCAATTTTGGAAAAAAATGATTCACACTGGGCAAATTGACTATCCTTTAGTTGTGTTGGTGGCTGTTTTTGCCCCATTGGCTTCTATTATAATAACATGTTTTGCAAATCCATGACATAATCATGCATTCTTGATTGTAGCTGGTTTTACAATCATAGAACTCCATATAAAAGCCAGAAACTTGCTTGCACATGCTTTTCTAAAGCCAACTAATGATCACCAGTAAAAGTGATAAATTTGACCTCTTCCCAACAGGGAAAAGCACAATTAAGCCTGCATGATTATATGCTGTCAAGGCTTTGCAGTCAATAAATGTGATTATAATGGAAGTCAATGGGGCAAAAACAGCCTCCAACATAACGAAAGTGTGGTCAATTAGAACGATACACAAAAGAGAGTTAAAAGGAGTCGTGCTTGTTTATGCTGTGCACTGTATGTGTAATAATATAATGCATGATAATCACAACAACGTCACATTTAAATTATGCAGATTTTCCTTTAAAAAGGCACACACGTTGTCCACATTTGAACAATACTTGTGATGCATGTCTTGATTACTGTAAATTAATCAAACTGCATATCGTTATTAGACGGACTAAATTCGTAATCACACTAAGTCAAGTGCAGAAACACCTTGCCCTGTGATTTTTCACAGTTTAGCAGTGAATTTGTCCCTCAGGCGGTAGACAATGGTGTGAGCTTCATCAAAGGAGTCGGACAGCGCTGACTGGACTCGACTCCTCCAGCTCAACAGTTTGGGTCTGTCCTTCAGAATGTCCCTCCCGCTGCTCATTGGCTGAAAAACATGGTTATATAGAGGTTTACAGACTCATGCATCTGACTTTATTGATGTTCTCCATATGTCTGAACATTTGATGGGGATATGCAATGTTTGTTTTGGGGTTATTTTGGTTTGCTTTATGCAGTGTGTGTGTGTTAAATGGCCATAAGATGGGTTCCCATTGCATACAATAAGATTACATTTAATAAGATTTTAAAAGGTAAGGTTTTTAGGATGTTAATCAACTTTTTTTATTAAATTTTATTTAATAGTTATAGGAAATTATAATTGTAATTATTATGCTCATTCAGGGACTTGAGTAAGATTTCATTATAATTACATATTCATATTTACAACTTCATGTAAATTCAATATAATTTATCTGTATACAGCATTTCTTTTCTAATCTTCAATCAAAATAACCTTTGCTTTAACAACAGTTGTGCTTTTTTCTAAAAATGTGCTGTCAATCACACAAGATCTACCAATAGCAATCCAAAACTTCTCTGACTGACACAATCAAGTCCCGCCTTACATTCTTTCCGCCAGAGGGTATATGCAGGAATCCTAAACGAAATTTCAATTAAAGAACTTCTCAGAATATTTTAAGACCTCGTCTCCACTTCAAGTTCTAATCAGTATCTGATCTTTAACATAAACAGTTGCTAATAAACAGTTGTAGTTAAATAAATGCATGGAGCACAACCATGCAACATAAATAAGCTCGGAAGAAACAAAACCTGAAAGAATAAATTACGTAGTTGTTTTCAGCGACTTATCTTTCTCCAACCAGGAGTATGCAAACTTGCATTATCCCATCTTGCTGGTTGGTTTCGCTACATGTGGAGAGAGTCACATCACCTTTCCGAGTTTGTCGCAAATTACGTGACATCACCCAGAGGAGCTTGTTTGGATTTTTTTTTTTGAGTTAAACACTTTGGACAACACTTGAACAAAATTTAAGAACTTGCAAAAAGGGGATTAAAACTTTTAAAAACCTTTTAATTGCTTTAAAGGTGCAGTAGGTGATCTTCCACAATGCTAACAGCTTAGCATAAATCTCTGAATCACAGTCCCTCCCCTGCCGTCCAGAGCCACGCCTCCTGAAACAGGAGCACGCGCACCTTAAAGATGACAGCAGAAGAACCCTCTCTCGTTTTAGTGCTTGCCCGGTGACGTGCAGGAATTACAGTCATTACTAAGCCAAACTGACATGCTACTTCAGAGCGAATATTTAGAGTGGTATGGTAAACAATATAGGGAGAGACTAGGCGGAATAGCGGTATTAACTTGTGTTTTTATGTTAAACTAATTAAAATCTATGTCATCAATGCTGTAAAAGGTCCCTTATGAAACTGAAAATAGTCTTATCAATCTTTCACAGGAAGATTTTAGTGGCTGAACAGCACTTCTGTGAAGATGTAACCCGTTTGTAACAACAACATCTAACGTTACATCAGCTTTGCGTGAAGCTAAAACAGTTTTAAAACAGAACATTACTGTCTAAAGCCTGGTTTATACTTCTGCATCAAGTGACCGGCTAACCCACGGCGCATGCAACGCGCGTAGCTGTGCATTTATACTTCTGCGCGCTGTCTCTGTTGGTCTGCATTAACACTTCCGAAACGCTAGTTGGCAGTGAGGTGTTAATGTTCCTCTGTGTCGAGTTTCTTTGCTGGTGTTTTGCTTTTCCTGAACACTTACTGAATGTATAAATGGCTCAAACTCGCTCATTTTGAGGCAGGAACCGGCGGACGTCCAACAACTATGAGGTAAACACAAAACAAAACTTTCCATCCGGAACTCCTTCATGGGACTCCACACTTGTAAACAATCGCTCCATCAGGCTCGCGCCATTCGCGCCATTCGGCTCTCGGTCCCACCCAGACTCGTCAGCTCTACCAAGCCAACCAATCACAGAGCTTGGGCTACGCGTCGTTGCGACGTGTAGTTAAATTTTTTGAGAGGTGCACGTCAGCGACGCGACATCAACGCCGTAGCATACGCGTGCGTATCTCCTTCAGCCATGGTATCTTCCTTTCTCCAGTGTGCAAAAGTTACTCCAATATTGGTTCAGGTTTTTAAAAAGTTTTGATTCAGCAGGTTTTTGTCGATCACGCTCGTGCTCTCTCTCTCGTGTACTCGCAGCACATCTATGCACAAACATCGGTCGGCGGAGCTGCGTACAAACGGCTGCGCAGTTGTTCAAATCTGCATTTGCTGACAGACAGTTTGGGCTACTTATCGGAATTATGAGAGATGTCGGCCTGACTCTATTTAATTGGATGAACATTTTTTAGTTTCATGCCTTACCCAAAATATAAAAATACATATAGATACATTTATATCACTTACTGTAATTAATACTATTGGAATGTGCAAAGACTTTCAACCATCACAACAACAAATGTTTCTGAAGACAATCACCAAGTGCACGTTTAAATTTCTCATAATTGATTTATCAACTTTTAAGACTTTTTAAGACCCAGCGGACACCCTGTATTCAAGAAGCTATTTCTTTCAAATATGGGAAAGATCTGTAAAAACAGAGTGAAAGTACCATACCTGCATGAGTTCACAAATCGCAAGCAAGTCAGCCAATGAGATGTCATCCCCGCACAGGAAGGCCTGTCTCTTCAGAAACATGTTTTCCAGCTTGTCTAGTGTGCCGCTCAGGTCTGATAGGGCCTTTTCCAGCTTTGCAGTATTTGCCGGCTGTCCTGTCATGAGTGGCAGTAAAACCTGTATGAAAATGCAAACTATTTTCAAGTAACAGTCCCCTCTTTTTTTTTGGAAATAGTCCAATTGTATATATCCCCTAGAGTTAACGGTTGAGTTTTATCATTTTTGAATGGATTCAGTCAATCTTCAGGACTGTCAGGGACACTTTTAGCTTAGCTTAGCATAGATTATTGAATCGGATTAGACCATTAGCATTTAATAAAAAAAAATCTAAATAGAGTTTTGATAAATTTCCTATTTATATCCAGGAGCTCTCCTACTGTACCAAGGCAGCAGAATGTTCAATATTACAGGCTCCTGAAAATAGTCCCCAGTTTGGTAACTACGTAACATTGTTTGTCTAATATTATTGCACAGTTATGATACGACAGCAACGTCCCTTGATTATTACACCTCGATTATTACATGTCTAAGTGCACGCTATATGATATACTGCAGAAGAGTCGAGCTTTAAACGGGAAAATTGTCAAATGTTTTTTAAATCTTTTTGAGAGAGATGCTAACGGTCTAATCCGATTCAATGATCTAAGCTAAGCTAAGCTAAAAGTGCTCAAGCTAGACCCGAAGATTGTCTGAATGGATTCAAAAATGGTCAAACTTAAACGTTTATCGCTAGGGGACTTGTAAAATGGGCCTATTTGTAACAATAAAAACTGCATATGTACCAAATAAATGATTTAAATGTCATTTAACCACTCACATTTTAACCCTACTGTACCTCTTGCCAGAAGACTGTGGCAGCGTGCATGCGAGTGTTCATGTGATGCCAGGCTGTGTATTCATCAACTCGCGCTCTTTTCTCAGGAAGCTTGGGGTACCAGTGATCGGGCACTTTGTAGGTTGTTGCCAGATACTTCAAAATAGCGTCACTGTGCCAGAGGATGATTAATAATATAACGAAAGGTTAGAGAGTAAAAATGAAGATTTGCTGTTGATTTAATCATCCTCACGCTAGTCAACAGGTGCCTTTTTTTTTCTTCAGTAGAAAACAATAACAAATAGATAAATTGAAAGAAAGAAATACGTTTTTTTGCTGAAAATGTAGTCCATTATGATTAAAAAAATGCAAGTCAATGGCTACTAGAAACTGAATACAAAAGTCATTAAATGCCTTATTTTAACATTTTAAAGTATAACTAAAAAGATTAAATAAATAACAGGGGAAAGGGAATAATAGTTTTAACAACCCTCAAATGGACAATTTAAAAAAAAAAAAAACTTATGAATGCCTGATATCAACCATTTTCACCTTAAAAATTATAATACAAGTAAGTAGGTTAATTGGTTAGACATTTAACCAAAAACTAATCGATTTTCCGCTGTAATACCTAATTCATTTTCACAAAATCTGACAAAATTTGTAGCACAGATCATTTTTTAGGCATACCCAAGCTCAATTTTCTGGCTATAATCATTCATTCATTTTCTTTTCAGCTTAGTCCCTTTATTAATCAGGGTACGCCACAGAGGAATGAACCGCCAACTTATCCAGCATATGTTTTACGCAGTGGATGCCTTTCCAACTGCAACCCATTACTGGGAAACACCCACACACACTCATTCACACTCATACACTACGGACAATTAGCTTACCCAATTCACCTGTACCGCATGTCTTTGGACTTAGGGGAAACTGAAGCACCCAGATAAAACCCACGAACGGGGAGAACATGCAAAGTCCGCACAGAAATGCCAACTGACCCCGCTGAGGCTCGAACCAGCAACCTTTTTACTGTGAGAGGAAAGTGCTACCCACTGCACTACCATGCTGCCCAGCTATAATTATAATAATGATCATTATAATTATTAATAATAATGTTATAACTATTTGTGTGTATTGGTATCAGTATCAGAATGTTTGCGTTTATAATTAGAAATGTGTATGTATATAAATAATAGAGTTTTTGTTTAGATTTTTTCATAAGACACAGAACCAATAATGCACCAATCATTGACTTGTTTTCATTTTGTTTAGCCTTTTTATGGACTACATTTTCAGATAATACTGATGAAGAAATGAAAGAAGAAGTCCTACATCTTAAATAGCCTGAGGGTGAGTATATGAACAGGAAAGTTTCATTTTTGTATGAATTATCCCTTTAATAATAAGAAGAAGAATAAAAAAATCCACATTTCCAAATGCAAAGGTTTACAAGTCTCTCTTTCCATACCTTTCAGTAAGAACAAAGCCATTGTCCTCCAGCACTGGCACCTTTTGCATAGGGTTGAGTTTGGTGAACTCGGGTGTTTTCTGCTCCCCTACAGGTGAAGTTCATTGAGGTTAATGTAAAGTTATTTTATATTTAAACATTCAGACAGTCTCCTTAATAATATAATTTCACTGTAATCTTTGCAAATTCTAAATCGTGTAATTAAATCTGCGGCCACTGGCTATTAACATTGTTCACAATCGAATAAATAGTGCAAATGTTGTTTTCAAGTTATACATGTGATGCTAGATTGAATATTTAAAGTACCATGGTAAACAATGTAGGTTGCATGTCACAAGTTGTCACTGAATGAATGTGGGAATACAACCAACTTTACCTCCTCAATGTAAAGTTCAAGGGCATTAAAGCCTACAGTGTGTGTAGAAATATTATAGTACTACATAGTACATATTATCATGTTTTGATCCATACTATAGTAAATACGTGAATTAATCAGTTGTGGTTTGCATTGTTGCTATGGTAATACAACTACAGCAATATAAACCATTTACACTGTCCTATACGCTTTTTACAGCTGCAAAAACACTATCTGACAAAGGTCTTGTCGCTTATTCAAGTTTAAGGAACAACAAATAATAACTGGACTTCAAGTTGATCATTTGGTATCAAAAGTGGCTCATATGAAAGGCAAAGGCCTCTAGATTACGCTTATTTCACCCAAATAAAATATGATCATGACTTGATTTTTAATTATTTAATTGGGTCAGTAAGGTCTGACTTTGCTTAGACGAAAGTCTTGTTATTTAACAGAAATAATGTCCAGTATAGAATATAAAGTCATGCTGCAGTGGATGAAAATTATGTATGACTCCATCATGAGCTTGGAGAACTGCAATCTCTGCAATGACTCAAATAACAGATTAATAAAGTCATCTGGAATGCCAAAGAAAGCGTTCTTGCAGGATTCACAGAGTTTATCAAGATTCTTTGGATTCATCTTCAATGCCTCCTCCTTCATCTTACACCAGACATGCTCAATAATGTCCATGTCAGAGGACTGGGCTGGCCAATCCTGGAGCACCTTGACCTACTTTCAGGAACTTTGATGTGGAGGCTGAAGTATGAGAAGGAGCGCTATCCTGCTGAAGGATTTGCCCTCTCCTGTGGTTTGTAATGTAATGGGCAGCACAAATGCCTTGATACCCCAGGCTGTTGGTGCTACCAACAACTCTGCTGATCTCTCACACGCTCCTATACTGAATTTAACCCCAAACCATGATTTCTCCTTCACCAAACTTGTCTAATTTCTGTGAGAATATTGTGCCCATGCGGGTTCCAGTAGGTCTTCTGCAGTATTTGTGGAGATTGGGATGCAGCTCAACAGATAATTCATCTGAAAAATCGACCATCTGCCACTTTTACAAATGATCAACTAAAAGTCAAGTTGTTATTATTATCTTACAACTGGGATCGACAACAAGACTTTAGTCAGGCAGACACCACTGTAGCAAAAAAACTAAAGTACATTAAAGTATTTAAGTTTATCAGTTCATTAAATTTTTTAACAAAGAGCAGTAACGTTATATATTATAATATAAACAGTTTAATACTTTTTACTGTAGTGTGCTTCAAATACGGTGTAACGTTACTGTATGTTGAGTTGAGGTAAATGCAGAATAACCTTCAATATACGAAATTAACAATAAATACATACAAATTTCTAGAAATCATAGAGATGAACCACAGTCTGAAGGATAACCTTTGCACAGACTTGGATTCACGCCATGAGGACTTTACAAATGCATTACATTGAACGACACGTTAACAAAGTAGCTCACCTTTTCTTATCGCAATTTGTTCCACCGTGTGTGGTATTTTATTATGTTTTAGGAATATCAGCACAGCTCTGCATGGCTGTGACATGAGATCTAAATACGCTTTTACTGCCTGTCTGCCGGTCATGGTGAAGCGTGAGTATGTCCCGTACTGTAGACAGAAACAACATGTATTCCTGCTCGTCCAGCGTCACAGTCCATAGTCCAATCACACGCGTCTTCCTGAAGTATCTCACAAATGCTCTAAACGCATTAAACTGAGTCTTATCCGATGCATTTGTACACTAAAGAGGAAGTTTATTTTAAAATAATGATTTCTAATATATTTATAATCGAAGAACAACTGAAAACATGCCCTGAAGTGATATATGAGACAAATCTGAAGAGAAATCATAAACAACAACGATTGGGCGATGCTTGTCAGCGATGACAAAAGTAACAGATACCCAGTGACTATACAGCGCTTTTACAGATGATGGGGAGCACTGGGCACACAGTAACGCGGAGTTAAATTTAACACAACAATTGAAAAAACAAATTGAACAAATTAAGTAAACAACTTAAAATACCAAATCATTATGCAATTTCTTACCATATTTAGTGAACTTTCATTGTCATTTACATCCATTTTTGTTGATGAATTGAGTTCAAATATAATTCACACAGTGATTTTTAGATTGAAAAAATCCTTTATTGTCAATATTAAAATTGTAGACTAAACTGTAAAATAAATTTAAACATGATTGCAGTGATTTCATGAGACTCCAGTTCCTCATATGGATCCATTTTGCATTATTGAAGACTAACAAAAAATATCGGTATCACAGGAGAAATTCTATATGATACGTTGCTGCATAATAGTTTCAGCCATACTAATTTGTATAAAACACATTCAAAATACAATTGAAAGTCCCTCCTGTCATGTGACTGCCCCTGCTAACAAAAAGGACAGTATTCAAGCTGAAGGCACATGATGTAGTGCAGCGTCTGTGTGTGTCAATAACTTCACACACAATTATACAGTTGAAGTCAGAATGATTCGCCCTCCTGTGAGTTTCTCAGATATTTCCCAATTGATGTTAAACAGAGCAAGAATTTTTTAACAGTATTTCCTATAATATTTTTTCTTGTGGAAAAAGTCTTATTTGTTTTATTTCGGCTAGAATAAAAGTAGTTTTTAATTTTTTTTAAATATTAATCAATATTTATGTAATATTTATGTCAATATTATTATCCCCCTTAGGCTATATATTTTTAAATTGACTACAGAACAAAACATCGTTATACAATGAATTTCCTCATTAACCTAGTTAAGCCTTTAAATGTCACTGAATACTAGTATCTTGAAAAATATCTAGTCAAATACTATGTACTGTCATCATGGTAAATATAATATAAATCAGTAAGAAATGAGTTGTTTAAACTGTTATGTTTATAAATGTGTTAAAATTTCTCTCTCTCTCTCTCTCTCTCTCTCTCTCTCTCTCTCTCTCTATATATATATATATATATATATATATATATATATATATATATATAATATACAAAAGGGCTAATAATTCTGACTTCAGTGTTTGCAGATCTTATATTTCCATTTTGGCAGATGAATGCATATATTCAATACAGTAGCATCGTAAAACCCTTTAAAGTGCAGTCATACTGTATGTGTGCATTACATTGGTGTGGACAGCAGAGGGCCCTCAGTGCCGTTGGCATTAATGATCTTCTTTCTAGACTTAAATTCGTTCTGAATCTCCAGAAAGGTCTTGTTTTTGGTTTCAGGGACCACAAAGAAGATGTACGTGGCCACCAATAAGCAGATGACCAGGAAAACGAGGAAGCAGTATTGCTTGAGGCCATTCTGGGAAGGATAGAGAGGGAAAAGTTTAACAGTGTTGCATTGTACAACATTATATAATCAATTATTTTTCATATGATTTTACGGTAATCATAACTTTTTGAAGTGAGTTAATTATTGAGTTATAGAGGCTGTTTTAAAGGGATAGATCAACCAAATTACTCACTGTTTACTAGGCCTGTCACACTAATCAATGTATGAAGAGTTCATAAGCAAAAGCCTTTAAATAGCTACCGTCTCAAATTTCCATCAAAAATGAACATTTTTCTCAGCCTCCTTTGTTTATGTTGAGTTATTTAACTTTTAAGACCAGAAATAGGACTTATTCTTTGCCATAAATGTGATATAACTGAACGTACACGACAGGAGCCTGATAAAAATGCTCATTTTAGAGGAAAATTTCAGGTGGCATTTAGAGGTTTTGGCATCTAAACTGTTTATATGGACTTATCGCACGACACATGGACATGACCTCAATCCTTTTTGATGATGCAATATATTTCATCCACACATACAAACCAATTCTAGCAACACTTTGGCTAATGTGCAACATTTCTATTTCTACTGGAGGAGTTATTGTCAGTATGGTTAAAAAAACACTACAGCAGTGGTTCTCAAACTGTGGTACGTGTACCACTAGTGGTACGCAGGCTTCCTTTAGTGGTACGCGAAGGAATGAAATATGTCATGTACATGCTACACACATTTAAAAAAATTTCAAAAATGATGGATATAATATGCTACATATGACATATAGCTTATATTTCTGAAGTAATCTGCCACGTTTTTTTAACTGTGCAGAGTTGTAGCTGCTTTATTGGTCCCACTCAAGCGGCAACCTCCCGCTCTCTCTCAGGAAGCCAATACGGAAGTAACTAAAACTGCAATTCATGCGAAATTCCGCTAGTCTTAGCCGCTCCTGGCTCCAAAACAGAGCAAATTTCAATTGAGCCCACTGTTAGAATGGCCAACTTTACAGCAGAAAAAAAGGTGTTTACAGCCTGGTACAAAAAAAGGTTTTGGTTAATACAGCTAATATTACCCTTTATGACAACTGTGAGGGGGGTGAATTTTTTTTATAACTCATCCTTTTCCTTTATATTAAGTTATATTAAGTTTGCATAATTAAGGGCGTGGTCACTTGAGTGACAGCTAGGTCTCGCTGGTCGCCGTTACGTCACCTCAGCTGAATCCTGCAGATTAGCCACTGAACTCAGCATATTTATCGTATTTCTGTGTTGTTTTATGTGGCTTTACACAGTCAACTGCCTTTTGGACTTGTTTCCTACATTTATTTGATGGAATGTCATGCTGAGTGCACTTAATTGTGCTCACAGACCGTTCACGTGGCCTCCGTTCCCCATGTGAGTAAATTTATATACTTATATACCATCTCTATACATGTATTTGTTTTATTTAAGATCATTTATCGTTTATATTTATATTTAGAGCTGTAATGTACTCCAGAATCTGTCAGACTGATTAGCTGTAGGCTCTAGAACAGTCATCTGAAGCGTTGTCATACAGTGTTATGCTGGATTTCATTAATAGTCTTACATTAACTAATACAGACTATATCTGAAGTGTTTGGAAGTAATTCGCGTTTTCCTCCTGTTGAGAAACGTCATAAGAACAATATTTAGTGGCTCAATGTATTACAGCAGTGTTTTTAAAAGACTAAACACTTTATTGATGTAGTGTACAACCAAGCACAAGTGGTCAGAATACAAACGAGTCACAGGTGATAAAGTCTTAAGCGTTCTCCCAAAGTAAACCAGGTGTCTGAACCAGGTCCAACCTAAATGCAGCATGCGTCTGTAGCTCCGCTCACTCTCCGCCTCTTTGCCCATGTTTGGTATCCCGCCGTCAGTGTGATGACGCACGAACAAAATGGCGACGGTTGGCCGCGCCTACTTGTGGCTTCTTTTGCGGTCTTTAGAAACCTATGGGTGACGTCACGGATACTACGTCCATATATTTTACAGTCTATGGTCCCACTGCGCTACTGTATTTCAATACTGCTCACTTTGGTGGTACTTAGAGAGACAATTTTTTTCTGAGGTGGTACTTGATGAAAAAAGTTTGAGAACCACTGCACTATAGTATTTACTATAAGTTACTGTAGTATATTTTCATGTGGGTGCCTGACAGCTGAAAATAGATCTGGTAGTAGATATTGCAGCCTCTGTTCCTTTTTACCTTGCACTTTTGTTAACATTTATTATTACCCACCAGTTTTCTTGCACCCAACCCGCTCTAAGATGGGATTGAACTGACGATTGTTTGCATGGGAGTGTGTTGCTCGAACAAAAGGGCTAAAGACCATGGCCTCTAGCATCTGTCGCTAGAGGAGTGAGGTTTACCTGCACAGCACTTTGCTAGCTGGTGTCTGTCATACTCCCCCCCCCCCTCCCCCCAAACCTCACTGCCATCCCGGACGAGCCCCCATGCATAACTCATTGGTCCTACTACACCCAACCCGCTCTGAGCTGGGATCTTTGCATGGAAGTCGGTTGCTCTATCAAGGAAGCTAAAAACTATGGCCTCTAGCGTCTGTTGCAAGAGCACCTTTAGAGGTTAGAGGAGTGAGGTTTACCTGCATAGCACTTCGCTAGCTGGCGTCTGTTATACTCATTCCTCTAAACCTCACTCCCATCCCGGACGAGCCCCCGTGTGTAACCCACCAGTCCTACTACACCCAACCTGCTCTGAGTTGGGATCTTTGCATGGGAGTCGGTTGCTCTAACAAGGAGGCTACAGACTATGGCCTCTAGCGACAGTCGCTAGAGCATTTTTGAAGTCAGTGGAGTGAGGTTTACCCGCATGGCACTTCGCTAGCTGACCTCTGTTACATATGCATGGTAAAATGATCTGTATCTTGGCTAAATACAGTTGCTTCATGGAATTGTCGATATTAAAACTGGGGCCACACCTTCTTAGTAGAAATAAATTACGGTGTAAATCTAATTCTAATTTCAATGTGCTCTATTCATCCTGGCAAGGCAGTGGCGCAGTAGGTAGTGCTGTCGCCTCACAGCAAGAAGGTCGCTGGTTGCTGGTTCGAACCTCCGGGTGCTCTGGTTTCCCCCACAGTCCAAAGACATGCGGTACAGGTGAATTGGGCAGGCTAAATTGTCCGTAGTGTATGAGTGTGTGTGAATGTGTGTGTGGATGTTTCCCAGAGATGGGTTGCGGCTGGAAGGGCATCTGCTGCGTAAAAACTTGCTGGATAAGTTGGCGGTTCATTCCGCTGTGGCGACCCCGGATTAATAAAGGGAGTAAGCTGACAAGAAAATGAATGAATGAATCTATTCATCCTTTCTTTCTTAGTATTTCATATCAGAAGCGAAAAACACACACTTCTCAAAAGTAGGATGAAAAGCAGCCATATTTACCACAATAAATGGAAAGATCATGCCGATCACAAAGAAGGAGGTCCAGTTGATTGAGCCACCGATCATGTATGCGGCAGGCCGATCGGTTTGTGTGAACAGCTCTGTTGTTAAAATGTTTGTCACTCCACCTGCAACACACAACATGTTAAATTCGGTCAGCAAAATCATGTTTATTTACTCTTTACTCTATTTACTCTTTAAGTGCATCGGCGATTCCTTGAAAAACGTTTAACTTCCAAGAAACTAGGGCTGCACAATATATAGTTTCAGCATCAATATCGCAATGTGTGCAACCAGGGCAGGAGTGGGACTCTTTTTCAGCCCTGGAGTTTCAAGCCTCAGACCGGCCCACCTCAGTTCACGATTGACTATATTAAAATAAGGTCATTTCCAATTCAGTTTCTAATGACACTATCACGTCTTTTTTTGAGAAAACAGCTGCTTTAGAACTTCAAATGTTCAACAACCATAACAGTATTATATGTCTTAACAATAAAAAAAATTATTAAAAAAAAACAAAAACTATTCAGACGAGGATCAAACCCGGATCCGCAGCGTCGTATCCTAATGTGCTAACCACTGGACCACATCAACTGTGCATTGTATGGTGGCTCGTCTGACTAATATCATCATTAACCTGCAGGCTGCATACTGATCACCAGGCTGCGAGCAAATAGATAAAAAGAGCAGAGCTGCGGTAAAATAATGAATAAGACTGTGGTCAAGTGGTCAAGTAAAAAAAAAAATAATTAATTTAAAAAGTGTGATTGCTGAGAGCAACAGATTCTGGAGCTAAGGACACCAGCCCTCGCGGCCAAAAAATGGACCGGCCCGGCCTGGCCCACCGGGAATTCTCCTGGTCCTCCCGATTAGCCAATCCGGGCCTGTGTGCAACTGCAGTAGTCACATCACAGCATATGCAATGTTGAGTTGGGATTATAGTTGATTACAATAAGTGCAGATAAGTGCTTTTTTAATAAGATAGTTCACCCAAACATTTAAATTTACTCACTACTTTCATTTCACCATTCACTTGTTTCAAATGTTTATGAGTTTCTTTTTTATGTTGAACACAAAAAGAAGATATTTTAATCACTCATAAACGACTGAAACAAGTAAAGGTTGAGTAAACACTGGGTAAGTTTACATTGTGGGTGAACTATCGCTTTAAGGCCGGTGACTGAACAGTTCAACATTTCAGAGTTTAAAACATCCAGCGACCAGAAAATATGCTACTTTAAGAAATATTATATACTGTAAAGACTGTGCAGTGTTAATCATTCGATATCTGTACCTGAATACTGTTCGACTCACCAGAAAACTATAATTCATGTTTAGTTTTGCTATATAGTATTTATCTATGATTGTAAGATTTTTTTATAGGCTTGGGCGGTAATACGATAATATGGTATACAGTGGGATCTAAAAAATAGCAACAGTGTCAATTTCCATACCTTTATACACTCATAAAAAGCAATGCACTTAAAAAGGAGACAAGTATTCAATAATAAGTGAACGTTATTTATAAACAAATTTCGAGAGGATCACGTGCTTATGATTGTTCACAGCTGTTCCAACTTTAGCTAATGACTGATTATCCTACAGACGATCCTTAACTCACTATAAATAACCAGACTTTTCTCATCTCAATATCTTCGTCTTGAAGAAACCCCCCCACCCAACCCTACTTTCCCTCCTTTTTAAACGGGCGTCACAGTGGCCGGCGATTAGCGCTGTTGCCTCACAGCAAGAATGCCCCTGGTTTAATTCCTTTCCAAACCAGACGGCATTTCTGTGCGGAGTTTGCTCGTTCTCCCCGTGGTCGGGTGGGTTTTCCCCGGGTCCTCCGGTTTCCTCTCACAGTTCAAAAACAAGCACCCTAAACAATTAATCAAAATACATTAGCTAAACTCTGAGTACACCTTCCAGTATACATATCCGACACTTAGCTACAACAAGCAAGAGGGGGAGTCATCGAGATCTACCTGAGCTCAAACTCTCCTCTCAACTTGCAACGGGAGGGAGCCCAGGGCTCGAGGATCTTATAAGCTCAGGGCTCTCTCCCGGTACGGCACGCCAAACTAGCTTTATTAACAATCATCAGCTAAGTGTGAACTCTTGAAATATTATTTATTTAATGCCTACAAATGCGTATGCGTGATTGTCATCATGGGACAATGTGGAGCAGAGAGAGAGAGAGAGAGGTGAGGTAAGGCGAGTTGCGCACCAAATGACCTGCAGCTTGGCAGCATTTCCGGTTTCGAACGAACGAGAAGGGAGACGTGGTAAATACGAACTAGAGGTCTGCATTCCCACTGCAGGACCCGACCAGATTTCTTGCGGTGCGGGGGTAAATTTCCGGAAAAAAAAATGCAGGAGCGGTCGGTAACTCTGGTGTAATTTGAAAGGGAGCGGGCGTGCGGTCTAACAATATTGTTAGACCTGTTTGTTTATGCGTGTGTGTGTATGTGTGTGTGTGTGTGAATGAGAGAGAGCGTGAAGCTGTGTCGCTTGGTGCTCTCTATGTGTGTGTGTGTGTGTGTGTGTGTGTGTGTGTGTGTGTGTGTGTGTGTGTGTGAATGAGATAGAGGGAGCTTGGTGCTGTGTGTCGCTTGGCGCTGTCTGAGCCTTACGTCATAATTTTTTTTATTATGCACGGTAATACCGGATACCGAGGTAAAATAGGGAGGTTTGACAATATCAAAAGTTGGATACCGCCCAAGCCTAATCTGTTATATATTATTTGAGATTTACTCCTCTTTATAACCATCCTAATCCATCTAAAATGAAGATTTTTTTCCAAATAAAGCTGTAATCACATTGCAATGTATATCACAGAAACACAAGATGTCGAAATGTCAGATTTTTCCAATATCGTGCAGCCCTAAAAGAAACCCATTCCTTCCACAAGGTTCCTTTACATTGGAAAAAAAAAAGTGTTTTAGAACTATGAAAAAATTCACTAATCTTCACTAAAAGGATATTTGGCGGCCACAAAATATTTGCCATCACTGTAAAAAGGCATCTTTTCTTCTTCCTGGCCCTTTAAAGAGATAGTAGTTCACACAAACATTTCACTCACTATTTAATCACCCACACGAGGTTATAAACTTTTATGAGTCTCTCTTTTATGCTGAACACAAATGAACATATTTTGAAGATCATTGGATAAATGATAACCGTTGGCATCTACTGTAAGAAAAGAAATACTATGGAAGTCAATGGCAACTGGTTTCCAACATGGGAGACCACATGGAAAAACTAGGTTGCTGTGGTGTTAGTGAGGTCAGCAGGGGGCGCTGAAATTGTTGTCTATGAGTCCTAATGCCCCAGTATAGTGAAGGGGACACTATACTGTCAGTGAGTGCCGTCTTTCAGATGAGACGTTCAACAGAGGTCCTGACTCTATGTGGTCATTAAAAATCCTATGGCATTTCTCGTAACGACTAGGGGTGTAACCCCGGTGTCCTGAACAAATTGGTTGTCATTTGGCTGCCATCGCATCATCCAAGTGGATGCTGCACACTGATGGTGGTGTGGAGAGACCTCTCTCATGACAGTGAATGGTTTGGGTGTATGGCCATACACAATAAATGCACTATATAAATACACATTACATTCAAATATTCTTTATAATAACTTCTTTTGTGTTCAACATAAGAAAGCAACTCATAAGGGTTTGTAAAATCGAACTGGGAGTAAATAATGATAGAATTTTCAGTTTTGGGTGAACTATCCCTTTAAGAGTGCATGTCAGTTAACCCTAATACAACAATTCAGGAAAAATACACAGTTTGTATTAACGCTAAAACATTCATAAGTTATGTGAAATTTTCTATCTTTGTTTTTTTTCTTTATTTTTAACTCATTTACCTGGACCAAGGCCAAAACTGAGGATAAAGGCCAAAACACAGACCATACTAAGGTAGGGAACCCAAGGGCTTGAATCCTATGAGGGAAAAAAAAACAAACATCATTTTTTGTTCAGATTTTAAATGTTTACTAGGCAATTTTACTAAAACTTTTGTTTCAGTATGATGCATACCTGCCAACACTTATTTCACAACCATCTCCCTCCACCCTCCCGTTTTGTTATTTCTCCCGGAAAACTCCCATAATGCTACCCCATTTCCGTAATTGTTGACAATGATGACAGGTATGGTGTGATGATGTATTTCCAAGACATCAAAAAAAGTGAGCGATTGCTCCATGTTTTAAATTTCTGTCCTGTTTAATCCTCGATTGGTCTCACGCAGTCAAGTGATGTGATGCATTTTCACAGGTCAGAGTTCACCAAGCTTGACATTTGCCCCGCAGCAACCTGCAAAACCTGACGCATGACCTTGCGTTTCCGGTCTGATGCATTCGCGTGCGTATGAATGGAAGTCTATGGGAGGAAAAGCCCAGTGTGACCACGGCTTAATGCTTGAAAGGGGCGTGGCCTATTAAATGTTTATTTTAAGACTAACAATGTTCGCTAGCAAAATAAACATAAATTTTGTTTTTATGCAGACTTTGAGATCACAAACCATACTATCCTACTATACCACACAGCAAACACCATAGAATACACCCGAAGAACAAATGAAACCACAACTAAGCGTATTAACTTTGTTAGCTCACATTGCTAGTTTTTAAATTCTCAGATTACATCTGTCTGAGGCTAACATATTAAACCACAATCCTCCAGCTCTCAGTTTTGACAACAAACAGAAATGGTGAGCAGGAGGGGTCTGTTAAGCTTAAAAAACTTTCCTAAAACCTGTTTCCAGATCTTTCTGAATAAAATGCCTACTTTGCTACATCCAATCAGCTCGCAGTAGAAAAAACAAGCCACGCCCCATCGTTTTCACATTTAAAATTCTGTTTCTCTAGAAACTGCGTCACAATACGGAAAAAACGCCAGTCGCAGCTTCTGATTCATACACACTTTAAAGGGACTTTTATAGTTTATTAGTAGAGTATATTTAATATTGAGAATTTCTAAGTCACTACAAACCTGAAAAGTGAGTGCGATGGTGAAACAAATGCAGCACACGCTCATCAGAGTATAACCTCCGATAATAAGAGCTCTTCTTCCCAAAGACTCGATCAGAAGACCCTGAAACACACACACACAAGATGTTTTTGAAACAATTTGTTTTTTAATCTGGTACATAAACGGTCTAAACATATCATTCTAAGCCTGGAGAACAGTTTGTGAGGTCAGATTTGGTCATGTAGGAATCATATCTTTGGACGTTTATAATCTGTAGTGCCAATAAACAGGGCCAGACAGAATCAAACAGACTTTTTTTTTTTTTTTGCTATGCCTGTTCAAAATTGAGTTAAAATGAATAAATCAATTGCGGATTTATGCAGAATGATTTTGAGAGTTCTGAAGACCTAACAAATAAATACAAATAATAATACCTTTCACTTTTATTAATTTTTAACAATAGAAATCCAATAAAAACCACTTGTTTGGTGAAAAAAACTACAACAGATCTTTCATATAATACATCTACTAAAATGCAGAAAATAATACTTTACAAACTGTAATGTAGTTTTCAGTTTCCTTGATTTATTTCAGTTTCAGTTTCCTTTATTTATGTCATTCAACACATCACAATAGAATTGTAATGCAGAACGAAATTACATTGCAACAGACCCAACAAGAACATAAAAAACATCACTATACAAACAATATAAAATCCTAACATGATAAATAAGCTTTTATTATTCCATAAAAAAATAAAAATATAATTATATAAGATATAACCTATTTTTTAAAAATCTCTGAAGAGAATAACTTAATACTTAAATACCTATTTCATCATTTGTTGTAAAATAAACAATTTATGCTAGTTTAACAAATTTATTGATTTATTTTTAACACTAGCTATCAACAATGGTTAAGAAATGGTATTATTCAAAAGTCTTATAATGACAGGATAAAAACTCTCGAAACCGCACTGATTTGCTCCTCAGGCTTCTGTAACGCCTGCCTGATGGCATGAGAGAGAGCAGGCTATGACCAGGGTGGGTTGGATCCCCTAAAATATTATTTGCCCTAGACAGACAACGTCGTTGATAAAGTTCCTCGATAGATGTAATTTTGACTCCAACAGACCTTTCAGCTGACTTTATGATCCTCTTAATAGTGTTCTTGTGAGACACACTGCTATTCGCATACCAAAGGGAGATGCCATTAGTAAGAACACTCTCAGCAGCTCCTCTGTAAAAAGTTGTGAGGATTGATTGGCTGAGGTGTGCTCTTTTCAACCTTCTCAGAAAGTACAGTTGCTGGTGCGCTTTCTTCGCAAGACAAGTGGTATGGAGACACCAAGTCAGGTTCTCAGTAACATGGACCCCCAGGAATTTTATCTGCTGTACAGTCTCCACGGCAGTGTTGTTAATATATACAGTTTAGATGATTTGTACACAAATCATCTAAACATTAGCATATTATTCAATGATATAATTAAATACAAAATCAAATGAATATATGTTTACACTCATTTAGATAAACAAATAGATTGAATGACTGACTCGATAATCTGCAGAGTTTGAACAACAACCTGTCAGGACTGTGCCACTTCAGTCTTGTTAATTCTTGTTTTGGAGTCCAGACACTTGTCCTGTCTTGTCTATTATGTTGTGCTCGACTCGAGTTTTCATGGGCCGAACACTTATATTCTGTCTTAGTCTCTGTCTCTTGTCATTGTTTCTAATGCGTGGTCTCGAAAAGGCCGCATTTTCTTGTCTTTGTAGTGGCTCGGTTCATGCGTGCTCGCTTGCTCTCGTGTTCGATTTGTCCGCAGCATACTGTTTTATTCCGAGTGCCTCAGTCAGGTTGGTTTTGGTTTTTAGTTGGCCATGAGATGGAACATGCACATTGCATGTGTGAATGCACAGTAGATGTTTTCATTTATCATGTTCTCCTGTCTTACGTTCTTCTGTTGGTGTTGTGTAAAGCACGTAGCTTGGTGTTCACACTGTGGCCACATGCTTTAGTGTTTTGTTTCATGTGAACACGCAGATAATGGGCTCTCTCATCGGCTGCGTGTTCTAGTTCTGTTTGATGTGATCCCCTGGCTCGTATGTTGTCCTTGTGTCATGTGTTCTCCTGTCTATTGTCTTGTCCCACCCTCGTTGTTAATCCATAGTTTATTATGTTCACTTGTTTGCCAATTTGCTCTTGTTTATAGCTTCCTCTTGTCTGCTTTCCCGTGCCAGTTCTTCATGTTCCTGCCTTGTCCTGAACTTCTCTGCCAGCCCAGCCAAGTCTGTTTTTTGTCTTTTAGTTATGTTTTTGTTGCCTTTTTGTTTTATTTTTACAATTGATAAATACCCATTTTAGTTTTGCAAGTCCTCGTCCTTTCCCTAACCCAACTGTGACAATAACCTAGCAATAAATGTTATAATATAAACCTGACATATTTTTGTGTTATTCCTATGGCCTTGGATTCTTGGATTAGTCATGGGTTCTGAGATAAATAACTGAAGGGATAAATCTCCACTTACGCAGGTCAGTGCAGTGATGCACTCGCAGGCTCCGGTTCCCACTGTAGCATAAGGAATCTTGTCATCTGGAATCCCAGCCTGGGTGAACACGTAGTCTGCATAGAAATAAATCTGATGGCAGAAAAATCGTTTTCAATAGGGGTGACAATAACTCGGACAGTATATGAGAGAGTTACACTGAATACTTAAAAGAAACACTGTACATACAGTAGCTTGCCAAAGCCATGCTCGTTTGTACCAATTCTGTCTAGTTACCATTGTGAAACATTTACATTTAGTCATTTAGCAGATGATTTTGTCTAAAGTGACTAATAACTGAGGAGGCATTCAGCGATTCAAGAATAAGATCTCTTAGGTCAAGTGATCAAAATCTTCTTTTAGTTCCTCAGTCCAGACTGAAAATTAGAGGGGACAGAGCTTTCTCTGTGGCGGGTCCTCGGTTATGGAACACTTTGCCCTTTGAGATTAGAATGGCTCCATTACTATCAATTTTTAAATCCCTCTTAAAAACCTACCTATTTAGCTTGGCTTTTTAGCATTATTTTATTACTACTGCTTCATTTTTTTATTTTCATTTTTATTCTGTGTTTTTATTTTACTGTGACTTATGTACAGCACTTTGGTCAGTTTTGTGACTGTTTTTAAATGTGCTTTATAAATGGATGAACTTGAAGAGGCAATACACACAAGAAGTGCTAATTATACAAAGCAACTGTATGTGCTCAGAGAATTCAATTTTATATTTAATTTTATATATTCTCTATTTTATAGAGAGAGCGAATGTTTCTACAGGTGGTTTGTCAAGCCCACTCACTTGTGTGAGGAACACTTCATAAATGCACAATGTTTTTTTTTTTGTTTTATTGAAAATATTGATTGATTCTAAGAAAGTGTCTGGTGCAAATGTGCAAAATTGGTGCATGTGTCTGTATTTCACAGGTGAGTAGTTTTGACAAACCACCTGTAAAAAACAAACCTCAACAAACTTTTTTATTTAGTAAATCTGAAGTAAATCTGTCATCGTTTATGTGTGTATTTGGGCGGCACGGTGGCTCAGTGATCAGCACTATATCCATGTTCTACTGTGGTAATTCCATGGTTCATTTTTGTAAGAGATGGGTTCAATTTATGTAACTTATTGTTTCTACAGCGGGAAAAATAAGTATTGAACACGTCATGTTTTTTTTTTTCTGGAAATAATATTTCTAAAGGAGCTGTAGACATGGAATAGAAGCAGATTTAAAATCTCCTCTATCAAATCTGATCTCTATTTTATATTTTTTATTGGATTCAGGTCAGGTCAGGTTATTGGCTGGGCCATTCTACAGCTTGATTTTCTTTCTCTGATAGCATTTGAGAGTTTTCTTGGCTGTGTTTTGGATCATTGTCTTGCTGAAATGTCCACGCTGGTTTCATCTTCATCATCCTGCTAATGTAGATGTTGGACTGAAGCAGCTGATGTTTATTTACACTAAGGATGGGCAGAGGGTTGCTGAAGAACCACTAAGAGATTTCAGTTGCTGTCTGGGCCTTCACTGCCTTTCTACACTTCCTTTCTTCATGTGTTCAATACTTTTACCCTGCGTCATTTTGTTTTATTACGCATAACTTAATTAGTAAACTAATTAGACTTGTTTGCTTTGCATATATGAATATCTTTGGTTGTTACCAATATCCAGGGTAAATTTCAAGTCAAAGGCACCAGAAAAATCTTGACATGTTCAATACTTATTTTTCCGCTGTGTTTATATTTTAGCAGGTCTTAATGTTTAAATGTTAAACATAATACCTATTTTTCCAATTCTCCACAAGTTTCTAAAAGTGCTTGCTGTGCATGATTCAGCATTGGTCTTGCAGCTCTGCTACCTCACATGACAATTTGCAAGCTTTTAAATATGTGTGCAAAATCTCCTTCACGCCCATGATATTCAGCCGAGATAAACTTCACAGCCTCAAAGCAAAACTCTTTGCGATTTCATATTTCATCCCTTCAATAATCATTTGCTGTTAAGAAAAGATCAGGGTTTAATCCACAGCAGGCCAGTCACATGCCGGTTCAGAGGGATGGCCTGTTTTTTTTTTTTTTTTTCTTCTGTTTTAATAGAGCACACATCAGCAGTCAAGGCTAATCTTTTTTTATGTTGCAAGCTATTAATCTGAAGCTGTTGTTTCTGGCCCTGCTGAAAAGAAAATTATAGAAACTATCGTACAATTGGAAATTATTTTAATGACTGTAATAGAAATTATATTGATTTTAAGCTGTAATGATCCTTTGGGTCTCTAATGTTTTCATTATTTGCTTTCTAGTTTTGGCATGTTAAAACCAATAGGATGTGAAAAACAATCCCCTTTAAATGTGTCAAAATTAAATTAGCAATGCATATTACTAATCAAAATGTAAGTTTTGATATATTTGCACTGACATTTTCTAAAATGTAAAAAAAATTGCCACAATTCATTCATGTTGTCCCAACGCCAATGGTTTGATCTAACTCAACAAATTTAGTTTATTCATTCATTTTCAGTAGTCCCTTTATTTATCAGGGGTCACCACAGCAGAATGAACCGCCAACTTATCAACTTTTGTTTTACACAGCGTATGCCCTTCCAGCCACAACCCAGCACTGGAAAACACCAATAAAATCTAGTGTTCACACACACACTCATACACTACGGCTAATTTAGCTTACTCATTTCACCTATAACGCATGTCTTTGGACTGTGGGGCGAACCAGAGCACCCGAATACAGGAAAAGCATGCAAACTCCACACAGAAATGCCAACTGACTCAGCCGGAGCTCGAACCAGCAACCTTCTTGCTGTGAGGTGACAGTGCTACCCACTGAGCCACCGCACTACCCACAAATTTAGTTGTCCCAAAAAATCCTTAAGTGTTGTGTTCTTTTTGACTTCAGATTGGAGTGGGGAGTCCCACCTGCTTTAATTCAATTCAATTCAATTCAGCTTTATTTGTATAGCGCTTTTACAATGTAGATTGTGTCAAAGCAGCTTCACATAAATGGTCATAGTAACTGGAACAGTGTGGTTCAGTAACTGGAACAGTGTGATTCAGGTTTTAGTGTTTAAGTTCAGTTCAGTTCAGTTTAGCTCAGTTCAGTGTGATTTAATCATTACTGAGAGTTCAAACACTGAAGAGCAAATTCATCGATGCGTAGCTCTACCAATCCTGAACCATGCAAGCCAGTGGCGACAGCGAAGAGGGAAAAAAAACTTCACCTGATGGGAGTGAAGAAAAAAAACCTTGAGAGAACCAGACTCAGTTGGGCACGACCATTTTAATTTCTCCGCTGGCCAAAAGTCTTGTGCAGAACTTCATTCGCCGTGGTTTGCTTTAGGTTTGGTTGTTTGTTTAATATGTTGTTGGGCTCCCCATCTCTCAAGGTTTTGGACTGTTTTGCTGATTACTTTGTTAATAAATAATTTGGTTGGAGCACTTTGGCCATTGTTTATTAATGTTACTTTGTCTAAGGATCACGAGTCTTCTTTAAGTAGGGACCGTAACATTGGTAAAAAGCACAGTTATACCTTCTCTGAAGGTTTCTGTAGTGTTTTTTTGTTTACAGGGTACACTGTGTAAAATGCTGGACTCCACGTGATAGATTTGTGTTGGGCCAACATGAAGGAATTAAGTTAACTTATTAGTTTTTACAAACTTAAGTGGATTCAACATAAAACGATAAAATTTTCCCAAAAAAAAAACAAAAGAATTGTGTTTTTCAGCTCATTTGGTCAATCTGTCTTCTCTGTAAAGGGAGCCAAACTGTGGAATGATTTACCGATTAGCTTAAAATCAGAAAGTAATATCAATATTTTTAGTAGTGCTCATAAAAAGTGGTTAAAAACAAAACAGCCTTGTTTGCACAAATAGTCTACTGTTAGTTGGTTGGATCATGTCGCCTTTGCTTTTGCCTGCAGTAATTTTATGTAAAAAATTGTAATGTTGTGTCAATTTTTAAGCCTCCTGTTGACAGGTGTTGAGAATTAGCAAGTTTGTTAAACACTTAAACAAATACATTTGGTTTTCCAGTGTAATTGTGATGTCCATGTCAAATAAATAAATAAATACATTTTAAATAAGTAGCTTGAACAGACATAATTTTTTCAAGAGTAGTGGGGTTTTTTGGTGTCTGAATGAGATACACACCGCATTAATGCCATTGAGTTGCTGGGACGTGTGGATCACCACGAGAGTGAGGAGCTGCCAGCGGATACTTCTGTCCGTAAAAAGCTCCCAAGGCTTTTTGGGTTTAATGCCGAGAGCGCTGACCCTTTCTCTTTCAATGTCCTCCATTTCTCCGTGGTACTTATCCTGGCCGTGGAACCACATTAGAGCTGAGGGAAAAACAGAATAGAGGCATAGCATTCCTTGACTCACGAGATACTCTTCTTCTGGCTTTCTGTTGTTGGCTATTATAGCTCAACGGCTTCAGTTTAGCTCCCTACTGAGTGCACATCATGACATCCGTTCAAGGGTGATCATTGCAATGAGATTTTATGCTTCAGACGCTTCGATTTTGTGATTATGCGCGACTGAGTTGAGAACATCGTCTTCCTTTCAAAAGCAATCATGAGTTTAAATGTGACTCATGACTTTTTTTTGCCAGGAAAATATGTTGGAAACAAGCTAGAGATAGATGATGTATTGTTTAGTTGGTTTTTGATCATCTGCTTTATCTTTACTCATTTATTATTTGATTAAAAATATCTCAGTTTTGTTTCATCTTAGCGGCATTCAATTCAATTCAGCTTTATTTGTATAGCGCTTTAACAATGTAGATTGTGTCAAAGCAGCTTCACATAAAAGATCATAGTAAATTAGTACAGGGTAGTTCAGTTTTTAGTGTTTAAGTTCAGTTCAGTTTAGCTCAGTTCAGTGTGGTTTAATAATCACTAAACACTGGAGAGCAGATCCATCGATGCATAGCTCTACTGATCCCAAACCATGCAAGCTAGTGGCGACATCGGAGAGAGAAAAAAAAAACTTCACAAAATGTCGAAAGTGAAGAAAAAAAAACCTTGAGAGAAACCGAACTCAGTTGGGAACGACCATTTTAATATCTCCGTTGGTCAAATGTCTTGTGCAGAGCTGTAGTCTCAGCAGCGGAGGTATCACTTAATTATTTCATGAAGCATTTTGGTCAAGTTTGTATTAGCAAACCATGTGAAAATTAGATTATATTTCAATCTCGTGTTTTATGTTAACATACTGGGCTCTATTTTGACGGTCCATGCGCAGAGCGCAAAACGCAGGGCGCAAACGCTTTCAGGGCGTGTCAGGATATGTTTTTGCTAATTTAAGGACGGGAAATCTGCCTTGCGCCGCGGCGCATGGTCTAAAAGAGTTGAGTTTGTTTTCTTAATGAGTTATAGGTGTGTTTTGAGAATAAACCAATTAGAGTCTCATCTCCCATTCCCTTTAAGAGCTAGCTGCGTCGCGCCAAGAACGCATTCGCTATTTACAGGACGCAAAGTAAGTCTAAGTGGAAAAAATGAGCATTTCACAAGCAAACAGTTAACAGTTGGCAGTTTTTTAACAGAAAACTGTTAAACAGAGCATCTACTGCGTGAGAATGAGAGATAATGGATCTACTTTCACATTCGCTCTTGGATAGGGAAACCTTTACGCACAGACATCAATTAGCCTATAAATAAATACTTTTGTTTGTTAAGCGCAAATATTTGTTTCAAAACTATTTCTAAATTCAGTTCTAATTTCCAGCAAACGAATAAATGAATAATAATAACAAATGTGCTCAAAAACCTGAGTTATATCCTAAAACACATGCTGTGCCCCATATGGTCTAAAACCTGACAGGTGGGCAAATCTAAGCTTGTTTTTAATAAAACAAATATAAATATGGATATAATAAATAATACTGCTAATAATAATAACATTATACAAAAGCAAATTGTTATGAATGAACTGAAAAAGCCTCCCGAGATGAAGAAAACAAAAAAGCAGTGATTTTTCATATTTATGTAGGCTAGAAAATAATATGTTTTGTAAAATTTTAATCCTTTATATTTATATTCTATATCTATTCTTATTATATACTATATATATATCCTTAATATTTACATTTTTTCATATGTAAAGATATTTGCCTATTGCTCTCTTGTGCGTATTAAGCAGTGTGTAAGTGAGGCGCAACTCCGCGCCGGAGTTTAGACCGGGTTTGTTTGGTCTAATGAAAAATCTATTATAGTTTCTCAAAATAGCAACGCGCCAGCAGTGCGCCTCAGAACGCCTTCATTTTAGACCAGAACGCCTATGGGCGCACAAATGAGCACTAATGCATTTGCTAATTAAACAGCGTAGCGCAACGCCTCAAAACGACTCTTGTGCCAAGCTGAAACTACCAAAAGACTATTGCGCCGTGCCTTGCGCCACATTGCGCCGGGTGTATGATAGGGCCCACTATGTTTTTAATCATAAAATAAAAATATCCTCAAAGCGAAGAGTTATGAAAGTGTTTGTACCCTTCTGGCAGGCGATGTCGTCCCCTCGGTCGATGAGCAGGTATCGAGGACTCTCCGGGAACCAGGGCAGAGTCAGAAGCTGCAGGACGGCTGGAATACAGATGGTGGACAAGAGGATCGGCCAGTACTCATCCTTTCCTAACAATTCTCTGACATACACAAACAACAACAATACACATTACTGCCATGCAACTGTAAACATGCATAAAAATTGCATGAGGGGAAAAACATCCCATGAGTAAACCAGAGCAAGTGAAGCAGTCTTGTCTTGTGTGAACACAGCATTACTTACAGGATGGTTTTTGCCTCACAAATTATTCAATCAAGCTGAACTTGTGCAGAAGACTTGCTTGTGGTGAATTCCACACATTCGCAGCAAACGTGACTTTGCAACTTGTTATTTACTGGAATACCTTAATTCACTTTAGGTGTGAACCCAGAATAAGGCTGTGCCTTATTAATAAATAATATAGTAATTCTGCGAGTGTGATTTTTATTTTTATATCTTTATAAATAATAACTTGAATTCTTGTTGATCATTTGGAAAAGTGTCAGAATGTTGATTTTTCAGATGAATTATCTGTTGAGCTGCATCCCAATCATAACAAATGCTGCAGAAGACATATTGGAACCTGCATGGACCCAAGATTCTCATAGAAATCAGTCAAGTTTGGTGAAGGAAAAATCGTGGTTTGGGGTTACATTTAGTATGGGGGGGTGCAAGAGATTTGCAGAGTGGATGACAACATCAACAGCCTGAGGTATCAAGACATTTGTGCTGCCCATTTCATTACAAACCACAGGAGAGGGCAAATTGAAAGCAAAGAAGGTCAAGGTTTTCCAGAATTGGCCAGCCCAGTCACTAGACATGAACATTATTGAGCATGTCTGGGATAATCTTGATGAACTCTGGGAGTCCTGCAAGAACGCTTTCTTTCCCATTCCAGATGACTTTATTAATGAGTTGAGTCATTACAGAGATGTATGGATGCAGTCCTCCAAGCTCATGGAATTCATACACAATATTCATTCTTAATCCACTGCACCATGACTTTATATTCTACACTGGACATTATTTCTGTTAAGTGAAAAGACTTTTGTCTAAGCAAAGTCAGACCTTACTGACCTAATTAAATAGTTAAAAATTAAGACACAATCATATTTTATTTTGGTAAAATAAGCGTAATCTAGAGGCCTTTGCCTTTCATATAAGACACTTCTGATACCAAATGATCAACTAGAAGTCCAGTTATTATTTTTCGTTCCTAAAACTTGGATAAAATGAATTTTCATTGCCAATAGTTCTTTGTCAATCATCTTAATATGCAAATTTCCTGCTCATTTTTTGTGGCAGAAAGGATTTTCTATATATATTGGGGGGGGGGGTGGAGTGGAGAGCATGAGACTGATTCCAGTGACGCTCCAGGGACAGACGAGTCTTCGCTGAGGCCAGCTTCCAGCCTCCACTGCTGAGACTGCAGCTCTGCACAAGACTTTTGGCCAGCGGAGAAATTAAAATGGTTGTGCCGAACTGAGTCTGGTTCTCTCAAGGTTTTTTTTCTTCACTCTCCTATTGGTGAAGTTTTTTTCCCTCTCCGCTGTCGCCACTGGCTTGCATGGTTCAGGATCTGAAAAGCTACTCATCGATGAATTTGCTCTTCAGTGTTTGGACTCTCAATAACGACTTCAAACCACACTGAACTGAGCTAAACTGAACTGAACTTAAACACTAAAAACTGAACTACCCTGATCCAGTTAATGACCATTTATGTGAAGCTGCTTTGACACAATTTTCATTGTAAAAGTGCTATACAAATAAAGCTGAATTGAATTGAATTGAATATACTTTACTGTAGGTAATCACAAATTAATAATTGAACGGCAATAGTAATTGATATAAATAACAAAGCACCAAAAATTCATATTAGTGTCATTTCTGAAGGATCATTTAACAATGAAAACATTCAGCTTTGCATCAAAAGAATAATCATAAGAATACGTTATGTGAGAATAAGAGACTTTCTCTCCCATTGTCAGACATTTTAAGATGAGGATCAAATTAGTAATTAGTAATCTTGGACAAATATGCATAGACTTAAAAAAAAATCTGCGTAAGATTATTTTTGCTTTTGTGTGATGCTGCACTATTTAAAAACTCCAAATACAAATTGTTTCATACTTTGGAAATTTGGACATTCATTTGCAAATGCTTTGAAAAACCAAAACAAAAAAAAAATGTTGCGATTACATTAGTAGTATTTCATGTGTAAAAGAGGTCCATTTGTATGTATGAGCTGTTCAGTATGAAGCTCTGCTCACATAGCAGTCATTTATAAACCAATCTACTTTCTGCTGGCAAGAGTGGTGAATTCACAAGACCAGCTTAAACATGAGCGAATTTTGTGGGGTGATTATTATAGTTTTTTCCCCATCAAATGAATGCTCCTACTGGAATGACTGGATTCCCAACAAACAAACAAATTACATTTACCCACTGTGTTATTTTTACGAACCAAATATAAACATTCTGTGAGCATACTGGGAATGTTAGCAGTTCATGCTTTCCCTTTGATTTGAACCCACAACCTTGCTATCATAATATACCATCTACAAGATCTACAATCTACAAGATCTACAAGACAGCACAAGTTTTGTTCTTACTTGAGGCCCATAACCTGTCCTGTCAGGATTCCTCCGGTGATGAAGATGGAGGTTCCCATGGCCATTGCTCCACGCAGAGCCCGAGGTGCAATTTCTCCAATGTACAGAGGCTGAACACATATCGCAATACCTGTTCAGAAAATCAAAGGTCAGTTATTTGAATACATAGAAATGCACGTTTTGTGACTTTTTTTAATTCATTTAAGTTTGTTTAGTAATTTGGGATTTAAAGGGCACCTATTATGCAAAAATTACTTTTATAAGGGGTTTAAACAGTTGTGTGACAACAGTGTGTGAATATAAAGTGTAAAAGTAAATTTTTATATAATCGCACGTGATTAAAAACTGCAGAAACATTTTGATCGACATTCTCTCTTTGCACACACATTACTGCCATGCAACTGTAAACATGCATAAAAATTGCATGAGGGGAAAAACATCCCATGAGTAAACCAGAGCAAGTGAAGCAGTCTTGTCTTGTGTGAACACAGCATTACTTACGAGATGGTTTTTGCCTCACAAATTATTCAATCAAGCTAAACTTGTGCAGAAGACTTGCTTGTGGTGAATTCCACACATTCGCAGCAAACGTGACTTTGCAACTTGTTATTTACTGGAATACCTTAATTCACTTTAGGTGTGAACCCAGCATAAGGCTGTGCCTTATTAATAAATAATATAGTAATTCTGCGAGTGTGATTTTTATTTTTATATCTTTATAAATAATAACTTGAATTATTGTTGATCATTTGAAAAAGTGGCAGAAGTTCGATTTTTCAGATTAATAATCTGTTGAACTGCATCCCAATCATAACAAATACTGCAGAAGACCTATTGGAACCTGCATGGACCCAAGATTCGCACAGAAATCAGTCAAGTTTGGTGAAGGAAAAATCATGGTTTGGGGTTACATTTAGTATGGGGCGTGCGAGAGATCTGCAGAGTGGATGGCAACATCAACAGCCTGAGGTATCAAGACCAAAAACTGCTGAAACATTTTGATTGACATTTTCTCTTTGTACATGTTCTCAGAGGTGGAAAGCCCCGCCCACTGGTGCCAATCTCTTCCTCATTAGCATAAACAGCCCTGAGTGAGAAGCAGTCGTACGTCAAAGGAGATTTCTCCAAAAGAAATCAAAAAAGATAAACCTGCCAAACTGAACAGTGTGTGTTATACTTTATATATGTATACAGTTAAACTGTAGTAAGTTTTGCAAGACATTATCTGTTTATATACATCTATAAATAATTAGAACGTTAAACAGTTAAAGACAAAGTAGTAGCAAGGAGTTTTTCACAGGATGTGTAAAGACTGTATACACTAACTGACAAAAGTCTTTTCACCTATCCATCAATAAATAATAACTTGACTTCTAGTTGATCATTTGGTATCAGAAGTGGCTTATATAAAAGGCAAAGGCCTCTAGATTACGCTAATTTTACCAAAATAAAATATGATCATGCCTTGATTTTTAATTATTTAATTAGGTCAGTAAGGTCTGACTTTGATTAGATGAAAGTCTTTTCACTTAACAGAAATACTATCCAGTATAGAATATAAAGTCATGCTGCAGTGGATAAAGAATGAATATTGTGTCTGACTCCCATGAGCTTGGAGGACTGCATCCACACATCTTCTTTGCTTTCAGGAACTTTGATGTGGAGGTTGAGGTATGAGAAGAAACACTATCCTGCTGAAGAATTCACCCTCTCCTATGGTTTGTAATGTAATGGGCAGCACAAATGTCTTGATACCTTACGCCCCATTTACACAGGGCTTCATCGTCAACGCTTGACAGAGGGCGTGTCTGAAGTATGGGCTGACGCGATCCTCATAGCAGCGTCAGCCAATGAAATTAGTCAGCAATAGGCCACTGTCTAGCTGGTGTGTTTGCATACAGCAATCTGATTGGTTGACGCTTCCGTCGGCCCTTGAAAAGTTGAGCAAGTCCTAACTTTTGCAGCAACCAACGCCTCTGAAGCGGAGCTGATGGATCCACAATGCAGTTCGGCAACGCCTGACGTGACTTATTCAAAGTGATTGGGGCGTAAAGGCTGATTTATACTTCTGCGTCAAACGCACGAGCATGCTACAGCGCTGACGCATAGCCCTACGCCATGGCCGTCGCTGACGTGCACCTCTCAAAAAATGTAACCACACGTCACAACGACGCGTAGCGCAAGCTCTGTGATTGGTCGGCTTCGTAGCGCTGACGAGTCTCGGCGGGACTGAGAGCCGCGCGAATGGTGCGAGCCTGATGGAGCGATTGTTTACAAGTGTGGAGTCCCGTGAAGGAGCTTCAGATGGAAAGTTTTGTTTTGTGTTTACCTCATAGTTAAAGTTGTTGCACGTCCGCTGGTTCCTGCCTCAAAATGAGCGAGTTTGAGCCACTTGTACATCTAGGAAGTGTTTAAGAAAAGCAAAACAGCAGCGAAGAAACTCGACACAGAGACACATTAACACCTCACTGCCAACTAGCGTTTTGGAAGTGTTAATGCAGACCAACAGAGACAGCGCGCAGAAGTATAAATGCACAGCTACGGGCGTTGCATGCGCCGTGGGTTACGCCGGTCACTTGACGCAGAAGTATAAACCAGGCTTTAGGCTGTTGATGTTGCCATCCACTCTACAGATCTCTCGCATGCCTCTATACTGACTCTACGTAACCCCAAACCATGATTTTTCCTTCACCAAACTTGACTGATTTCTGTAAGAATCTTGGGAATCATGCGGGTTCCAATAGATCTTCTGAGTATTTGTGGTGATTGGGATACAGTTCAACAGCTGATTCATCTAAAAAAAATCTGATCAACTAGTTATTATTTCTTGCTCTTACAACTGAGATTGACGACAAGACTTTAGACGGGTAGTGTATATACACGCTTTTTTTTTCATTTTTGTATTATTTTTATTGTTCCTTTAACATATTAAAATACAATATGAATTTCATAATCATTATGCCAGACTTCAGTAGTTTCCATCACCAGTTTTATGCACATCTTGAAGTATTGCATCAGAAACAAGTAATGAAAACAGCAAAAAGACAAAATTTTCCAGTCAATTAAGGTGTTTTTTTTATAGTTTTGAGTAAAGTTACTCTTAAAGTTATTGCAACTGTAAAAAAAATACATTCACATTACTTAAATGAATATTTAAGTAACATATTTAATTAAGTTTTTTAAGTGACTCAAGATTTTATTATTTTACTTTTACATGTAACTTTACTCAACACTGGTTTTTTAATGCTACAAAAATAATAGTCGATAGACATGCATTTGTTGAATAATTGTTTTGTGTTACTGCATCCAAAATGGTGAAAAGCCTTGGAGTAACGATTGATGACCAACTAAACTTCTCTGACCACATTTCTAGAACTGCTCGATCGTGCAGATTTGCACTCTATAACATCAGAAAGATCCGACCCTTCTTATCTGAACATGCAGCTCAACTCCTTGTTCAAGCTCTTGTTCTCTCCAGACTGGATTACTGCAACTCTCTACTAGCTGGGCTTCCAGCTAACTCTATCAAGCCTCTTCAGCTGCTCCAGAACGCAGCAGCACGAGTGGTCTTCAATGAACCTAAAAGAGCACATGTCACTCCGCTACTCATCCGTTTGCACTGGCTGCCAGTTGCTGCTCGCATCAAATTCAAAGCTCTGATGTTTGCCTACAAAGCGACTTCTGGCTTTGCTCCTTCTTATCTGCTCTCGCTTCTGCAGATCTATGTGCCCTCCAGAAACTTGCGTTCTGTGAATAAACGTCGCCTCATGGTTCCATCCCAAAGAGGGAAGAAATTTCGCGAACGCTCACGCTCAATCTGCCCAGTTGGTGGAATGAACTCCCTAACTGCATCAGAACAGCAGAGTCACTCGCTATTTTCAAGAAACGACTAAAAACTCAACTATTTAGTCTCCACTTCACTTCCTAATCTGCAATTGCCTCTCTGGATATCACACTAACTGTACCAAAAACATTTAAAATAAATAAAAAAAATTACTAATGCTTTCCTTCTTAGACTTTACAGACCTGAAACTTGCCTATAACACTTATTCATTGTTGCTCTTATAGTTGTGTAAATTGCTTCCTTGTCCTCATTTGTAAGTCGCTTTGGATAAAAGCGTCTGCTAAATGACTAAATGTAAATGTAAATGTTTTTTTGCAAACTTTGAAAAAGGTCACTTCATTTTAGGATGGAAATCTAGTCATCCTTCAGAAATCAACCTAATGTCCATATTTTTTACATTTCTTCTCATCATCAAAGTGGTTTAAAATGGTTGTGCTTCAAATTTTGTGTTGAATTTACCTGCATTTACTCCTGTCAGGAAGCGTCCAATGACTAAAAGCTCAAAAGTGCTTGCAGGATAACTTAAACCCATGAACAAAGCAGCCAACAGAGCAAAGGTGTTGTTGAACAGTAGAGTCCCTTTCCTGAAAAAACAATCAGGTCAGCACTGTAAAACAAATCCTTTGTTCCACACAATCATTAGTGTTGGGACAACATGAAGGAAATAAGTTAACAGTTACCATAAAACAATTAATTTCTCCCAAAAAGCTCAAGAGTTGTTTCAGCTCATTTTAAATAAGTCATTTGAACAAACAACAGTGTATAATATCTTCATAACTGATGCCTGCACATTTAATGATTTCCTTTACAGCATTTTGATCTTCAGTTTACCTTCCGAATCTAATAGCCAGTGTTCCTCCGACAGACGCTCCTACAAGCCCACCGATAGTGAAGATGGAGACGATGATGGACCAGAGGAGGGTTAACATATCACTGGAGATTTCAGTGCTGTAGCGCTCCGTCCAGGTCTGATTAATAAAGTTCTGCACAGCCTGAGAGAAACAAACACACATACAGTATGAGAGAGGAATAAACACTGGCTCACTAAAAAAACAGCGTCATACACTGACAAACAAATGCTGGGTTCCACAAAATATCTTCATTTTGTCCCAACACAAATCGATTCAGTTAACTTAATTGGTTTTACGAATTTAAGTGGATTGAGCATGAAACAATTAAGATGTCCCCCATAAAACTTAAGAATTGTGTTGTTTTAACTCATTTTAAATAAGTAGTTTGAACAAGCAGCAACAGTAATTTTTTGAGTGTAGACAAACCGTAAAACTGTATAAAGTTTATGTGTTAGCCAAAATGAAATAATAACACAATAAATAGTGTAATAAACTGTCACTTTGGCTAATCGTCAAAGAAATATTTTACATTTGGTTTCATTTCAGTGTGAATTGAGTAAAGCCGAAATAAAAATGTATAAAAAGACATTTCATAATTATTATTATTAGTTATTTGTTAGCTATTATTGAGTATTAATTTAATAATGCATACTTAAAAAATACTATTAATAAAAATAAGCATAACTAATTAATTTAATGTGTTAATAATTATTTTTTTATTAAATAATTCTTATTGAAGTAAAATATTTATTACAATTTAACAGTTAGACTTATAATCTTCATTAAATAATTAATTAATTAATATTATTATTAAGTATTCATGAATTATTAACAATTCTAAAAATACTAATATTAAAAATAAACAACAAATACTTTGATAATTATTTAATAATGATTTTTTATTAAATAATAATAATCAATTACAATATTTATTAGCGTTCAATTGCTGGAAATATTAGAGCTATCATAATAATAACAGTAGCATTTGGATAAAAAAAATAATAAAAAGTCTTAAAAGTTTAAAAGTCTGTTTTCATGTCTTAAAATGTCTATTACTAGGGTGAATGTAATACTTAAATAACACCTGCTTTAACTTGCGTTGCTTATTAATATTAATTGTAAATAATTATTATTACTATATTACTTCACAAAATCATATTTAAGTCAATAGGTTGTACATTCATACATGTTATACATAGGTTATACAGTTTCACTACATGTATATATGTGACAAATAAAGGCTTTTTTCATCATCATCATCATTCGTGTCAGTTTATTTGTAATATTAACTAGTAAATGTTGAGTGAAAACTTTTTTTACATTAAAACATTTTATTTAAAATATTTACATATTTTATTAAAATATAATATTTTAATAACACTGTCTTTTTACTTGACAGTAGGAAAAATGTGTAAATAATAAAATATTATTGTAGTACTTTATTTACAATTTTAGAGTCATAAATAATTCAATATTTTACCATATTACTTTTGTCAAATTATTTGTAAAAAATTTTTAGAGAAAAATATTTTTCACCTTTTTTAATGTGAATTATAGATGTTACATCTTACATGTCTAAAAAAAAGTCAATTACTAACCTAGGGTAAAGAACAAACATTAGGAAACCTAAAAGAATGACCCTTGGTTAACAATTAAAAAGTGTAAAAAGCCCAAATGTGGCTCATGCTGTCACATTTACACCCAAAAAACTTTTGCCAGGGACCAAAATCCACATTCACAATGATATATTAACTGATTTCACATCACATTCATTCTGATGAGCTGCAAACGAAACAGTATATTACACAAACATACAGTATATACTATATCTCTTCTGATGTATAAAAAATGGAAGATACACATTAATCACACATTCATTACCTTGGTAGGTGCATTTATTATGGATATATTGTAGCCATATTGAAATGTTCCACCAATCCCAGCTGCCCAAACAGCAAGTAGAAGATATTTACTGGGAACCTGTGGGGAAAAGAGTACAAAACAAACAAACAAGGAAAAATAAACATGTTTTTTTTACTCACATTAACAGAGATGCATCAATTTAAACTTACAAATGTGATTTTATGTATACTGTGAAAAAATTATATGACAAAAAGGCATAACAAAAAAATGTTTTATGTCACTTTAACTTATTTTAATAAGTCAATCAAGTTTTACTTAAATATTTTAAGTAATAAAAAATTTAACTTAATTTTTTTGACAGTTTGGTGTAAATAGAAAAGGTCATTTGATTCAACTAAAAAATTAAGGCAACACTATTTTTTTACAGTGGATAATACATGCAAGTAAATTAAATATTATAAATATCTTTTGCTAAAATAAAATCTCAAAATAGGAGTTAAATCATGTTCCTTTGTCATTCAGTGTATATACAGTTGAAGTCAGAATTATTAGCCCCCCTTTTTATTTTTTTCAACACATTTCTAATCATAATAGTTTTAATAACTCATCTCTAATAACTGATTTCTTTTATCTTTGCCATGATGACAGTAAATAATATTTGACTAGACATTTTTCAAGACACTTCTATACAGCTTAAAGTGACATTTAAAGGCTTAACTAGGTTAATTAGGTTTACTAGGCAGGTTAGGGTAATTAGGCAAGTTATTGTATAATGATGGTTTGTTCTGTAGACTATCGGGGGGGGAAATTGCTTAAAGGGGCTAATAACTTTGACCCTAAAATGGTTTATAAAAAAATTAAAACTGCTTTTATTCTAGCCAAAATAAAACAAATAAGGCTTTCTCCATATGAAAAAATATTATCAGACATTCTGTGAAAATTTCCTTGCTCTGTTAAAAATTTGTAGGGGGGCTAATAATTCTGACTTCAACTGTATGTGAAAGTTTGTTAACAGCATATTAAAATATGTTTAAGTGATTTAAGTTATTTAAATTTTCAGCTTGATGACAAACGGGTCAAATGTTGTGGTTTGAATGATATGGGCAAAATATTAGAGAATATTTTAATGCTGCACTGTTATTTTTACATATATACAGCTTTATTAATCAATCGATTATTGTTCGTAATATTAAACAGCTCCAGGTATATAAACAACTGTTACACTGAAAATGTATGAGGGTTATTATTTGTTTCTCATAATAATAATAATAATAATAGTCATAATATGGGCCGACACGGTGGCTCAGTGGTTAGCACTGTCGCCTCACAGCAAGAAGGTCGCTAGTTCGAGCCCCGGCTGTTGGCATTTCTGTGTGGAGTTTACATGTTCTCCCCGTGTTTCCTCCAGGTGCTCCAGTTTCCCACACACCCCAAACACATGCACTATAGGTGAAATGGATGAACTAAATTGGCCGTAGTGTATGAGAGTGTGTGTGTGTGTGTGTGTGTGTGTGTAAATGTGAGAATGTTTGGGTGTTTCCCAGTACTGGGTTGCAGCTGGAATGGCATACGCTGTGTAAAACATATGCTGGATAAGTTTGCGGTTCATTCCGTTGTGGCAGCCCCTGATGAATAAAGGGACTAAGCCGAAGGAAAATGAATGAATGATGAGTAATAATAATATGACAAAAACCCATGACAACACATTTTGTATGTTACTCTAACTTATCCTAATAAGTTAATCAGGTTTCAACCAAATGTTTTCAGTTATACAAAGTTTGACAATATTTTTACCGATTTATTTAAGTTGAGATGAATAGAAAAGTTTATTTGATTCAATCAAAAAATAAGGCAACACATTTTTTTTAACAGTAAAGACACATTGTAATGTATGAAAAGATATTAACGCTGCATTACTTTTTATGGTATATGCAAATATGTGTGCCACAAATATACTATAAATTGTTAATTTACAGTTTTTTGCATTTATTTATGGCTAGAAATTGCATCATGGGACCTTTATCTTGTCTTTGTCGACTTTTAATGTTGAAAATTCAACTCTGCACTTTAACAAAGTGACTTTTATTGATGTTTTAGTCATTTTAAACTATATTGTAGAGGGTTTCTGCAGGTTTCACAGAGGTCAATTTAAGACTTTTGAAGACTTTTTAAGACCATTATGAATGAAATTTTAGACAATTTTTCAAATAACCCAGATGGAAAATATTTTTATTTGTGTATAAAAAATATTCAAATTTAATAAATGTAATAATACATTAATAATAAAAAAATAAAAATATTTTAGATTTTATTTCTTAGCTAAATATTTTAAATGTTGTGTAAAAACAAGCAAGCTCTACTTGTATCCATACACAATATAAACTTTCTTTTAAATAATTTTGAAAAATTAAAAAATGTTTTAAGGTTTAAAAACTATAATAAACTAAATACAACAATCTGTCCAGGTCAGTGTCCTCAGCAGCGGAGAACATTTAAACAAATGCTACTGTAAGGAAGATAATTAAAACATTATGATAAATAGAGTTTAAAATTACCTTTTAAATAAAAAGTTTAAAGTTTTACTGAGATGATCGTTGGTGATTGTATGGGTTTTGGCCAGATTTGATTGCAATACACGAACAAAGGAAAATTAAGACCTGTTTAAAAAACTATTTAAGACCAACAACACCATATTTCAGTAAATATAAGACTTTTTAAGGCCTAAAATTTGGATTTTGAGATTTAAGACATTTTAAGACCCTGCAAAAACCCTGTTATAGAGGAAATAATATTAGGAAATAATTCAGTTCCTAAAATAACAGAAAAAGTGTCGTCAAATTTACTAGATTACCATAATTTACAACACAAGCCCAGACTATACCACGTCAAACTAATAAAAATGTCAATAAAAGTCACTTTTTTAACTTTTCAACATCAAAGGTTTTTTGAGGAAAGATCAATGTCAAATAATACAAATCAAAAGCATAAATAAATGAATAAAAAAGCAGGAATCACAAAATATGAAAGAAAAAAAGTTAATTTAAAGACTTTTTTAAGAGTGATGCAAGAATATTACAGCACAAGGACTTGCACAACACCCTATCCATCACTGTTCATTATTAACTGAATGATAAACCAGCACCAACTCAAATAACGTTATAAATAAACAACTTCATAACCACATTGTTTATCTTTTATTTCAATCATACCTTAATTTGATGAACAGGTTCTCTGAAGTCTCTAAGTAAAGGCTCATACTCCTTAAATTCTCCGTTTTCTTTGCCCATTTTTGCAGCTCGCCCTTTAAAAAGCTTTAACATTTGACTTAATACTCTAAACGTCTCTTAATCTTGCCTGCAGTCTCTGAAATGTGAACTCATCCTCAGACAGAACCGCTTTTTAGAGCTCCGGAGTCAAGGTGCATAACAGATATATCAGCAGAAACACAATCGCGCTCTTGTTCAGAGCATGGACAGCGAAAAAACGGAGATAATTCAGGGTGAAATTCCCTTCAGAGCAGCTCTGGAGGATGCCTTTGGGATATGTTTGTCTTTTAAGTTTCAACACAAGCATGTCAATTGCTTTTCCACGCTCGGTCTTGTGGCTAATACATAACGTTAATGACTTGGCTGCAGATTCAACAAAATTGACGGTCGGCTACTTACCTTTTTTGCTAATGTTGTGGGCTGCGCTTCCGGGCCACTGATCGTAATTTCATTCATTTTTGACCGAAATACTAATTTTATTGTGTCGATAGAAAGACTGGCGATTATTCCTTCATGGTTTCTAAGTCTCACTGCAAAGATTAACTTTGTCTGGGCGGTGGGTTTGTGTTCAGTCATCATTAGTTTAATCATAAGCTTCGGTTTCACCATCACAAATACTTGAGGCGCGCCATTATACAGTTCTGCGTGTGAGATGGAGTGATTATAGTTGATTATAATGATGCTGGTTTGGCTCTGGAAACATTTATTCGACTATATCAAGCATTGGTTGGCCTTTGATCACAAAGAGCACATTGTTGTTGTTTCAGTCAAGTGACCCGCAGAGCCCATAAGCCTCTTTTGGTTTCATTGTACACTCCAGAAGTTTGTTAGTCTCTGGTTAAATAGCAGTGTCATCGTTTTATTACCAACAAAACACAAGCCTCTCCTACAAATGAGCACTGAAAGTGATCGCCGGACATATGGTTTCTGTGCAGTATTGCCAGAAGTGCCATGAGTAAAAATGTTATTTACCCCACCTGCGGGGCAAGTTGTAACAGGCAGGGGGTTAGTTGTAACACATGCTTAAAAAGTCAGATAAAACACAATTAATTTAAATTTAGTTTACTTAGCTATATTTTCTCAGTACCTAGCTCAATTTATTTTTTATTCTACATAGCACATGTTCATTTATTGATTGGATAAACTCATTTGGATTTATTTGTATTATTATCCATTATTATACAATGCATTTATTTGTAGTATTAGCAATAAAATGTTTTGTCTATCAAAAAAAATTCTATTAAAATTATTTTATTTAAAAAGTTCCTAACATTACACTCAAAAAAAAATTGTGTAAGATTAATTGGTTTCGAACTGTGTGTGGTTTAATTGTATCGCCCTGTTACAGCGAACCCCGCTGTGTCGTGTTTTCTTCAAAGCTGGCTAGCAGTCACTGTGTTTTTTACATCTTTCGAAATGGTTCCATCATATAGCCTAAAAAACAGTGATCACAGCAATCAAAGATTTACATACATACTTTCACAGATTTTTTAAAAACAAAATAAAAATGTTGACTATAATGAAAATATTTTTATGCTGCAAAAATTACTTCTACTGTGTTTCTTGTCCAAACTTTGCCAAACTTTTTCAATATTTGGCAGGAAGATGCCTGCCAACACTGTGGAGAAAACCCTGGAAGTATGCCATTGTCAACCCTGAGCAAATACCTTAAAACTCTGTTACTTTTAACCCTGTGTTACTTTGTGCCCCGTGCTCCCCCACACCCAATGCTGTTGCCTATAAATATGCTCAATATGTTTTTGTCCCATTGACCTCCATTATAACGACACTTTTTGATTGTAAAGCCTTGACACCAAATAATAATGTGTTCTTGATCGTTTTCCTGGTTAAGAAGAGGAAACATTTGTCATTTTACTGTTGATCATTAGTTTGCACTATTAACTCTTTTGATAGGCCTGTGCAAAAAAAGTGTTTGGCATTTATATGGAGTTCTTTTGAGTTTAACGTGCGTATGTGTGCGTGTGTGTGTCTGTGTGTGTATGTAAATACACTCGCTTTTAAAATTTTAATAGATTCAGTGTTAAATCATAGATTCCACATATAGAAGTTTGAGTTGACAGATCTTCAGGTTGTCTGTAAATCTGTTGAGTAACATGATTTTGTCTTTGTCTCTAACAGGATGAAGCATTTGTGAATCAGATGCCTCATCAGAACCAGCAGCATGTGGAGGCTGTAGCCAGTAGGGGACAAAATCAGATCCCTGAACCACAGCCTGAGGAGCAGCAACAGAATGAACCTGAAAGACCTCAGCAGAGAGATTTAATAATAAATGGAAGAGTCCGAGGGGTTCTGCGTGGTCTTCAGTCTGCTCGTCCTGAGAACAGGTTAGTCAGTCTTTACTCAGTTTAAAATTGTCACATATGACTTTTTTTTACCCAACACTAATGCTTATAAATATGCTCAGATGTTCTCTTTAACTCTTGTGTATTGTTACCACCCTTTCATTATGTTAGTGGCTGTTTTTGCCCCATTGACCTCCATTATAACGAGACTTTTTGATTGTAAAGCCTTGACATCATATAATCATGCATTACTGATTGTTGGTGGCTTTCTCAGTTGAGATGAGGAAACATTTTTACTGTTGATCATTAGTTTGCACTATTAACCCTTTAGATAGGCCTGTGCAAAAAAAGTGTCGGACTTTTATGTGGAGTAAATCAACTCATAGTGTGCGTGCATTAATACTTACAGAGTTTTGGTGGGGGACAAAATCAGATCCCTGAACCACAACCTGAGGAGCAGCAACAGAATGAACCTGAGAGACCTCAGCAGAGAGATTTAATAATAAATGGAAGAGTCCGAGGGGTTCTGCGTGGTCTTCAGTCTGCTCGTCCTCTCAGAAGAATGAGAGAACAGGTTAGTTCCTGCTTTCTGTTTTACCCAGAATTAGGAATTCGTCTACACTGAATGTGCTTTTCCAGAATTGTTCCCCAAAAGAAAGTTTGGTCAAATTAAGAAATCAAAACGTCTTCAACAGCACACAAGGGTTAGAAGTGTTGTATCTGAAACTGACAGAAAGAGATGTTCATGATTATGTCTTTTCTTCAGCAGGACGACATTGTCAATCTCCAGAACCCTCCTCTCCGGCAACCTCGGCCTGGTCCACCGCCTATCTACATTCGCAGGTCGGTGGTGGGCAGCATTGGAGATTTTGCACGCCATTGATGAGGAGCCTGAAAGATCAGCCTCAAAGATGAACAAATAAATCAATAAAGAGATTTTTAAACAGAGTTCTGGAACTATATTTATGCTTTAAAGAGCATCTCGTCAATGCCACAGCCTGCCTGAGTACTGTTACTGACCATGTCCATCCCTTTATCACCACAGTGTATGACCATCCGTGTGCATTTCCTCCAGTTTCCAGAATAAACTAAATTGGCCGTAGTGAATGTGAGTGTATGAGTGTTTCTCAGTACTGGGTTGCAGCTGGAAGGGTATCCACTGTGTAAAACATATTGGAGAAATGACATTGCAATAATGTACTCTGCTGCGATATACAGTACAGTTAGGTTCATAAAGATTTGGAAATCGACACAATTCTAATACTGTTGGCTCTCCACACCAACAAAATGGATTTGAAATGAAACAAACAGGATGTGCTTTAACTACAGACTGTCAGCTTTAATTTGAGGGTATTTACATCCAAATCAGGTGAACGCTGTAGGAATTACATTTGTAAATATACGCCACATTCAGTCACTTAAATCACCTTTCTTCCCCATTCTGATGCTCGGTTTGAACTGCAGCAGATCGTCTTGATCATGTCTACATGCCTAAGTGCATTGAGTTGCTGCCATGCGATTGACTGGTTAGAAATTTGCATTAATGAGCAGTTGAACTGGTGTACCTAATAAAGTGGCCGGTGAGTGTATATATACCGTATATAGCAGCAATCAGATTTATTTTTACTCACCTTGCAATGTGATATGAAACCGTCACCAGTAGATGGAGAAAAAAAAGGATATGAATGAAAATATGCATTTTGAAGCTTTTTTAGTCCACTACAAACAACAAATCTCAGTAATAAAATGGGTATTTCATGTCGTCGAGTCTGAGTTTGTCCTTGATTCTGCAGCTTTTGCTTTGGTAAATAGTCTGCTATCAGTATTGCGCCAAAGAAACCTTTATTTGTTTCATTTCCTTTGTTTTTATTTTTGTGAAACCTTGCTGCTCTTAGGAAATAAGCATGAAGCTGTGGTTTATAGTGAATTTATAATGGTACAGTACATCACTCCACATAAATACCCCTTTTAAATTCACTGAACCATTGCTTCTTTTGGCTTTCTGCTTTATTTTTTCTGAATCCTCACTTTAAGCTCAAACTAATTTTAATTAGAATTTTGTTTGTACTTCTTTTTAAAAAAAATAATTAATTAAAATCTTTTTGGAGCTCTCTCTCTCTCTCTTTTCGCTGGCTCTTTTGGTCAGATTAAATGATTTATAAAATGAAATGTATCAAATAAAGTTCCTTAAGTCAGTACTGATATCAGAATGCTTACCAAGCTGCAATCACTGTATGTCTGTGGAGTATTGTACAACAGCCTAGAACACATCTCAGCCAATCAGAATCAAGCACTGGAACAATTAGATTTATTATTAACCAGGGTTTTCCTGGCGTGGTATTCTGAGCATGACATTTTGACTGCTTGATATAAATATATTTTGCATTATTGAAATCTTATTAAGCAAGACATTATCTTATTTACTAAAACAAACTAAGAAGCTAACATTAAATGTAATTAATAATTACATAACCAGCGCTTGAGCAACACTTGGGGTCTGTCTGCCTTATTTTTTTCAAAAACATGAAACAAAATGAAAATATGTGACCACTGAGTGGGAAAATTTTAATTAACTACAGTAAATGTTACAGAAATTCCCTTTCTTTAACACCTTTATTTATAACATGAATATACAATTAATGAATGTATGAATGAAGGAGTGAATGAATTAATGAAATGTCAAAAAGGTGAAACAAACACACACACACACACACACACACACACACACACACACACACACACACACACACACACACACACATACACACACACACACACTGGAGTCTCAGATTGGCCACCTACGAGATAAATGTGGCCATCACATTTATTATATGTAGGCTACTGTTCTAGAGTCAGCCGGTAAAACATGTGCCAGGGTTGTGGATCATTCACCGTGGTGACCCCTGATGAAGAGCTGAATATGCAGAGAGGTGAGTGACTTGGACTACAATTGAATTACTTCACAAAAATAACTCACTGTTTGCAAGCATTGAAAACTCCACCTGCTGGCGACACCTGCTGGCCAAAACTGTGTACATGCGACCAAAGCTCAAACCCAAACGTGCATATTAAGCTCTTACAAACGTTCTATTTAAGATATAATCTTTTAAATACAATTAACTATAGAATAACCGTCACACCACAGAATAAAAGAGGCTACTGGCGGCAATAAAGAATTACACTAACTCTAATTGTGAGTAGAGCAACAGAATGCATGTCTTCTATTCAATTTATCAACTTATGTACAGCTTAACTATTATTAGTTGTAGTATTTTTTTATTTTATTATTGTATTTCCTTAAAGCATGTTATTAGCTTCAGATGTTTTTGCAGTCAAGTAGGTTTTTTCTGTAAATGTTCAGGAATGTTTTTGTTTTTGATTTTTTTTTCTTTTGAAAATAAATACGCACAACATGCTTTTAAAATGAATATACATTTATTTTAATGCACTTTATGCTAAATATTACAAGAAGTATACAATGTATTCATATAAACTAATTTAAAAGCATATATTGTGTTAATGACTACGTTAGCTATATAACTACACATACTGTAGTAATGTAGATTCCCCCGCGCCGTCGTCATGGTTATTTTAGAACGTTCAGATAAATTGGAGTGTTCTATTTTTTACATCATACCGAGTCGTCGAATGATCGTAAGTACATTTCACACAGTGCTTTTCACATTTTACGTAAATAAATCTGTTTTTTTCTGTTAAAAATGTTTAATATTTCAGAAAACATACAGTTTTTTGCTCAAATATTGTATTATAGCCGCTTTTCCGCTGTCCGGTTTTGGTTAAAGATGTCTGGCAGACCAAAAACCCTGGCGGTGACCGGAGGTATAGGTCTTTACAGACCGGGCAGTTGAAAAGCAGCTATTGTTTTTAGACTAACGTTACACGCAGTGAAATACACATTCACAATGCTATACAGTGGGTGTTTTGTGTGGGGATGAAAGTAACATTATTAATAAAAACCTAATTAACAAAACTAAATGTTTATTGTGGTAACTAACTCTGTCAAGACCAGATGTTATTTTGTATCAATGTAGAACAACTCCAATACTGTTACTTAAAGTTGGACATTGTTTCTTTTAACTTCATAGGCATGGACGAACAGGGGTGGGTCAGAAGTAACACAATATTTGCTAGATTTACTGGCTTAATCTGTTTAATTGAAATATATTTGACTATGACCTTGTTAATGTTAACTGCAAACATATTTAGTCCTTTATTTTTGCAAAAAAAACATTTAAACTGCATTGTCATTGTGAATTTTAGTTCCGTCAATATTTCTAAATCATTCCAACAATGCAAAATGTTAACATTTTCTACAATTTATTCAATATAGTCAGTATTATTTGCAATATGCATTAACTCTTTAAAACATCTGAATCCAAACACTGCGAGCTCTAATGTAGAAGTGAAAAATAAGGTTTGTCTATTAAATAACAGTGTTTTACATTCGTCCCCACAGAAACTCTTGCCCTTTAATCCTGATTTACATTTAAACTGAAGAAAACTCAGATATTTTATACTTAAGGATGTGCTATTGCACTAAATAACCTGTAGATTGATCATTATTGTGACACATGATATCAGAAACACAACTTGTAATGAGGAAAAAAAGAACCGATATAATATTTCTGCACTTAAAAGCTGAAATTGGGACCTAACCGCAGGACACAGTCCTACAATCTGCTGATATTTGGCAGATCCATCAAGGGTTGTGCTGTTATAGCCTAAAAAGCAAATGTTGTCAGGGTTTTCCCATGTTACTTTCATCCCTGCTCTCCCCTAATGCTGTAATTTGCATTACATTACTGTGTGTTTTGGTTATTTTAAGGGAATAAAAAACTGTTCAGAAGCATTTTATTATTTACTAATCTCATCTCTTTGTTTTACAGTGCTTTACAGTGTGTTTGCCATAATCATCAGTGTCTATCGATCTTCTACTTCTTCTGTTTCGTCATTGCGTTTGTCACCAGCATGTCGACCATTGATTTTGACCATCTTTCCAATCTGATTCCTGCCTCTCTGTCACCTGAGAGCGCAGAAGAGCTCGCCACGGCCCTCTCCACCGGCCGCTGGTGGGCTATCATGGAGGTTTTACACCCCATCGATGAGGAGCGTCAGTTTGACCTCACTTCAGTTCACCAGAGTCAAACTGTGGAGGTAACTTACAAAAAATGAAATATTAATGAAATGAAAAAGCTAAATCAAGTTAACCTTAAGTCAAATTAACTTATAATATGTTAAACTGACTTAAAATATGTCTGATTCTTCAACAGGACGCGTCTTCTGCGTCTGGTCCAGCAGAGACAGCAGATGCGTCCTCCGTCCCTGAGGCCTCAGATGAGCTCGCCACTGCCCTCGCTGCAGGGGCTATCGTAGAGGTTGAGCACCCTATTGAGGAGCCTCAGGTTGACATCTCCTTAGTGCCGTTTTTGGAGGCACCAGAAACATCACCAGGAGCTTCTGTGCCTGAGAACGGGGAACCCACCACATCCCCAGTCCTCAAGAGCCAGATAGAGTCGCCTGGAGCTCCCGTATATGCCGAGTCTGACACCCCGGGCTTTCTTTTTTTCGGAAATCAAAACCCCACGCCTGCTGAGCCAGCTTTGGCCCCACCTGTCTCTTCTGTAAGTCACTACTCCCTCTCGCTTTCACTTATCTTCAGAATATTCATTAAAGGAAGCTTTAAACTGGGCTATTAAGTTCTCAATATTCATTTAATCTGTTTGTTTCTTCGATAGGACAACAGAGACGTGTTTCAGACGGTTTCAGCGGAACCTAAAGATTATAGAAGATTTCGAAGAGTTTCGAGGTGTCGCCGGTCTTCAACTCTGCTGAAGATAAGGGAGGCATGGGTAAGTTCCTGCTTTCTTTTAGTTACTGGGTGGAGATTTTAGTCTACACAGTAGTGAACATTTGAAAATTGAGATTTGTTCAATAGTTTTAGAACAACCAGTGCTTAGAACAACCACTCCGCACTGAGTATACTAATATCTGCAGCCACCATTTAAAAGCTCACATATCAACACATGATTTATCCAGGACCTGCTTAATTCATAGACTTCACATGTAGAAGTTTAAATTGACAGATCTTCAGGTTGTCTGTAAATCTGTTCAGAGTAACATGACTTTGTCTTTGTCTTCAACAGCTTAAAGAATTTGCGAAACACATGCCTCTTCAGAACCAGCAGCATGTGGAGGCTGTAGCCAGTAGGGGACAAAATCGAATCCCTGAACCACAACCTGAGGAGCAGCCTGAAAGACCTCTGCAGAGAGATGTAAATGAATTAATCCATGAGATTCTTTCTGGTCTTCAGCCTGCTCGTCCTCCTAGAGAAATCAGAGAACCGGTTAGTTCCTGCTTTCTGTTTTAACCAGTTTAAGAATTTAAAATTAGTGTCGGGAAAAAGCCCTAAATGTGTTACTTATAAAAGTAAGTCATGTGAATAATATGTTGAATTTGCATTATTTTTAGATTAATATTTAGCTTAATATTGTCATATATTACATTCTTACATTCATACACTCAATGGTGTTGCTTATAAATATGCTCAGATGTTCTCTTTAACTCTTGTGTATTGTTACTACCTTTCATTATGTTAGTGGCTGTTTTTGCCCCATTGACCTCCATTATAACGAGACTTTTTGATTGTAAAGCCTTGACATCATATAATCATTCAATACAATCATGATTGTTGGTGGTTTTCCTGGTTGAGAAAAGGAAACATCTGTAAATGATACTGTTGATCATTTGTTTGGCCTATTAACCGTTTAGATAGGCCTGTGCAAAAGAAATGGCTTTTATATTGAGTTCCATTGAGTATAACAACTCATATAGTGTGTGTGTGAGTGAGTGTGTGTATGTGTGTGTGTGTGTATAAATACACTAGATAGAACTTTAATAGATTCAGTGTTAAATCATAGATTCCACATATAGAAGTTTGAGTTGACAGATCTTCAGGTTGTCTGTAAATCTGTTGAGCAACATGATTTTGTCTTTGTCTCTAACAGGATGAAGCATTTGTGAATCAGATGCCTCATCAGAACCAGCAGCATGTGGAGGCTGTAGCCAGTCGGGGACAAAATCAGATTCCTGTACCACAGCCTGAGGAGCAACCTGAAAGACCTCAGCAGAGAGATTTAATAATAAATGGAAGAGTCCGTGGGGTTCTGCGTGGTCTTCAGTCTGCTCGTCCTCTCAGAAGAATGAGAGAACAGGTTAGTCAGTCTTTACGCAGTCTTAGAATTAAAAAATGAGTCTACAATAAATTTGCTTTTCCAGGATTGTTCCCCAAAATAATCAAGCATCAATCTGCTTATCAGTGCTGGAAAAAAAGAAACTAAATGTGTTACTTAGTTCTGTTTTAAAGTAAGTGATGTGAAAAATATGTTGTATTTGCATTATTTTTAGATTAAGATTAAAATGGTCATATATGACTTTTTAACCCAACATAATGCGTATAAATATGCTCAGATGTTCTCTTTAACTCTTGTGTATTGTTACCACCCATTCATTATGTTAGTGTCTGTTTTTGCCCCATTGACCTCCATTATAAAGACACTTTTTGATTGTAAAGTCTTGACATCATATAATCACATATTATTGATTGTTGGGGGCTTTCTCAGTTAAGAAGAGGAAATATTTTTTCTGTTGATCATTAGTTTGCACTATTAACCCTTTAGAAAGGCCTTTGCAAAAAACTCTGTCTGGCTTTTATGTGGAGTAAATCAACTCATAGTGTGCGTGCATTAATACTTACAGAGTTTTGGTAGATTCAGTGTTAAATCATAGATTCCACATATAGAAGTTTGAGTTGACAGATCTTCAGGTTGTCTGTAAATCTGTTGAGCAACATGATTTTGTCTTTGTCTCTAACAGGATGAAGCATTTGTGAACCAGATGCCTCATCAGAACCAGCAGCATGTGGAGGCTGTAGCCAGTAGGGGACAAAATCGTATCCCTGAACCACAGCCTGAGGAGCAGCAACAGAATGAACCTGAGAGACCTCAGCAGAGAGATTTAATAATAAATGGAAGAGTCCGAGGGGTTCTGCGTGGTCTTCAGTCTGCTCGCCCTCTCAGAAGAATGAGAGAACAGGTTAGTTTCTGCTTTCTGTTTTACTCTGTCTTAGAATTAAGAATTTGTCTACTCTTAATGGGCTTTTCCAGGATTGTTCCCCAAAAATTCCCTTAAAAAGGAACTAAATGTGTTACTTTTTAAAGTAAGTGATGTAAAAAATATGTTAAATCTGCATTATTTTTAGATTAAGATTAAAATGGTCATATATTACTTTTTTCTAATGCTGTTGCTTATAAATATGCTCAGATGTTCTCTTTAACTCTTGTGTATTGTTACTACCCTTTCATTATGTTAGTGGCTGTTTTTGCCCCATTGACCTCCATTATAATGACGCCTTGACATCATAAAATCATGCATTCTCGAATGTTGGTGGTTTTCCTGGTTGAGAAGAGGAAACATTTGTCATTTTTACTGTTGATCATTAGTTTACACTATTAACCCTTTAGAAAGGCCTGTGCAAAAAAAAAAGGTGTCTGGCGTTTATATGAAGTAATATGAAGTAAAACAACAAATCATAGTGTGTGTGTATAAATACACTCACTTATAAAGTTTTGGTAGATTCCAGCCATTTGAGTTGACAGATCTTCAGGTTGTCTGTAAATCTGTTGAGCAACATGATTTTGTCTTTGTCTTTAACAGGATGAAGCATTTGTGAACCAGATGCCTCATCAGAACCAGCAGCATGTGGAGGCTGTAGCCAGTAGGGGACCAAATCGGATCCCTGAACCACAGCCTGAGGAGCAGCAACAGAATGAACCTGAGAGACCTCAGCAGAGAGATTTAATAATAAATGGAAGAGTCCGTGGGGTTCTGCGTGGTCTTCAGTCTGCTCGTCCTCTCAGAAGAATGAGAGAACAGGTTAGTTTCTGCTTTCTGTTTTACCCACAATTAAGAATTCGTCTACACTGAATGTGCTTTTCCAGAATTGTTCCCCAAAAGAAAGTTGTATTCAAATTAAGAAATCAAAATCCCCCCAGAGTGGATGAAAACGTCCTCAACAGCACACAAGGGTTAGAAGTGTTGTATCTGAAACTGACAGAAAGAGATGTTCATGATTATGTCTTTTCTTCAGCAGGACGACATTGTCAATCTCCAGAACCCTCCTCTCCGGCAACCTCGGCCTGGTCCACCGCCTATCTACATTCGCAGGTCGGTGGTGGGCAGCATTGGAGATTTTGCACGCCATTGATGAGGAGCCTGAAAGATCAGCCTCAAAGATGAACAAATAAATCAATAAAGAGATTTTTAAACAGAGTTCTGGAACTATATTTATGCTTTAAAGAGCATCTCGTCAATGCCACAGCCTGCCTGAGTATTGTTACTGACCATGTCCATCCCTTTATCACCACAGTGTATGACCATCCCTGTGCGTTTCCTCCAGTTTCCCCCACAGTCTAACGCTGTAGGTGAATTGAATAAACTAAATTGGCCGTAGTGAATGTGAGTGTATGAGTGTTTCTCAGTACTGGGTTGCAGCTGGAAGGGTATCCACGGTGTAAAACATATTGGAAAAATGACATTGCAATAATGTACTCTGCTGCGATATACAGTACAGTTAGGTTCATAAATATTTGGAAATCGACACAATTCTAATACTGTTGGCTCTCTACACCAACACAATGGATTTGAAGTGAAACGAACAGGATGTGCTTTAACTACAGACTGTCAGCTTTAATTTGAGGGTATTTACATCCAAATCAGGTGAACGCTGTAGGAATTACATTTGTAAATATACGCCACATTCAGTCACTTAAATCACCTTTTTTCCCATTCTGATGCTCGGTTTGAACTGCAGCAGATCATCTTGATCATGTCTACATGCCTAAGTGCATTGAGTTGCTGCCATTAGAAATTAATGAGCAGTTGAACTGGTGTACCTAATAAAGTGGCCGGTGAGTGTATATATATACCGTATATAGCAGCAATCAGATTTGTCAGATTCAGAAATCTTATTAAGCCAAACATTATGGTATTTACTAAAATAAAGTAAGAAGCTAACATTAAATGTATATAATAATTACATAACCAGTGGTTGAGCAACACTTGGGGTCTGCCGGGTATATTAAATAAATAAATAAATAAATAAATAAATAAATAAATACAGACATTAATCTCAATTAATTTTTTTGTATACTGTCCATAAAGATTTTTGTTCAGTTCTAAAAAATACACTATTCATTCAGTTGCATGTTTTATGCAGCAGATGCCAGCAGATATATATTCCCAGGTTTTGCTGGCTGCAATCTCCGAACTTTCATTGCCAATCTTAAGCCCATTGATATGAGTTGCTTTGGTTCATATTGGAAGTTCTCCAGCCATTGCAGAGCCCGGGGGACCTGCAGACTAGCTCTTGTTTGACCTCCGCTGGTCCTGTTAAACTATTTAAACGAGTCATGTGACCGGTGAAGCCCCGCCCTCCAAATGCTCACGTGACCTCCCTGCGCCTAGTAACAGCGAAAGCGTCGTCCACGCCATGGATGGAGAGAGAAACTGAATGCCAAGATCCGCGGAAGATTTAGAACCGAAACGGATCACTATGCGCCATAAACTCTCCGTTCACCAACTTTCTCGCAGTTTAGACACCACACACTCCCATGCGAGCCGTTCACAATAACGCGGACTCACTGTTTGTGATACCCGGCTAAGCGTCTTAAGGCTTGGGACGGTGAGTTTTGTTTTGGTGTCGCGAACTTCAGTGCATTACAATGCGTGTTTCTCATGTAGTTTAATTGCGGTATGTGTGTGTGTGTCATCCAGTTCTTGCATTTCCGCTTTAAAAAAGACGTTTGCGTTTGCATTCAGTGCACCTTATGTGTGTGCGTGCGCGCGCGCGTGTGTGTACTGGTTTCGGTGGTTTACAAGGACCGAAAATTGTGTAATGACATGGGTATGACCTAGTTGTACTCTATTAAGGTGGTTTATGAAGATATGCAATGTGCCCTCGTAGTTTAAAATGCTAAAAAAATCATACTTACTGAAGTATTTTCATATTTAGTACTTGTCACGGTTTAGGGGTTTATTAGGGTTGAGGTTAGGGATATGGTAAGGCCATATAATAAACGTTATTTACTGTATAAAATACATTACACCTATCAAGAGTCCTCGTACACCACCAATACCAACATGTGTGTGTGTGTCTGTCTGCGTCTGTCTCTCTTTTTCTCTCTCTCACTATCTGTGTGTGATAGTGTGTGTGTGTTTGTGTAGTAAATCTATACGTAAAATCTTCTGAGGGTTCACTGCAGAATATAAATGATTACTAGCGATATGGGTTTGTTCAAATATTGCCATATTGCATCCTACTTGTTACCTAATGCGATGAGGCACTAATGCACTTAATAGGATTCAGGTCGCCCTCCCTGTCTTCCTCTAGTTCTCAGAAACAAGCTGTGGACATGCATAACTAAACCCAATACATAACTGATTACCAGCTTATACTACAGACAACATCAGCATCTGTTCTTGGCGGCTAATAGTTCCCTTGTGAGGCTTCCAGAGACTATGATGATGTCTTCATTCGGCTTGCGTATTTCTCACAGATAGCGCAAAATGGCTTGCGCTGTGGAGAGATGAGTGAAACCTACTGATATTTGGGGTGATCGGATGCCCATTTAAGCATGGGGAAGCTACAGAGCAAGTTCCGGCGACGCTCAGACCTTTATAAGTGAGTAAAGATGAGCACTGATGATTTGATGGCACGTTGTGATGAATTTATTTGGTTATGGAGGTTGCGTTGTTGTTATTGGCAGGGCCAAAGAAGGGGCAGAGCCTGCACCTGTGCACCAGGTAGTGCAGTACGAACCTGCTCACACAGATGCCATCAACTGTGTCGTCAGCCTGACCTCTGACCTCTGCGTGTCAGGAGGTCATGACCAGGTGAGCTGGAGGTGCATTAAAGAGGAGAAAGGTTTGGAAAATCAGAAATCTACAAATAATCAACCCTGCAGTACACAGGAAATCAAAACTAACCGTATAGACTTTGTTAGCTCACATTGTTAGTTTTGTGGTAAACAATTCATCTGTGCATGTCATTAAGAAAAAAATGTTTGATCTTATACTCTTTAATTAAGATCTGAAATTGCACAAACCAAATTCAAACCAGTTCCAAAGCTGATAGGTTATTCGTTGATTTATTCATTCATTCATTCCCTTTATTTTCGGCTTAGTCCCTTTTTTAATCAGGGGTCACCACAGCAGTATGAACCGCCAACTTATCCAACACATGTTTTACACAGCGGATGCCCTTTCAGCTGCAACCCAGCACTGGGAAACACTCATAACACACAAACACTATGGACAATTTTAGCCTACCCGGAGGAAACCCACGCCAACACGGGGAGAACATGCAAACTCCGCACAGAAATGCCAACTGACCTAGCCGAGGCTCAAACCAGCGACCTTCTTGCTGTGAGGCGACAGTGCTACCCACTGCACCACTGCTCCGCCGCTGATAGTTTATACAGTATATGAATATATTTATATTTTCAGAAAACGAACCCTGTTGTCATCAAGCAAGAGCTGTGTTTGATTTGTGACATTGCTGTTGTTTCTTTCGATCAGGCTGTTGTCGTCTATGACTGGAGAGCTGGGAGACTTTGTAAATCTTTCCAGGGCCACAACAGAGAGATTACAAAGGTAGTAAAACTACAGTTAATTCCTGTAATTTGATTTAACAAGCAACCTGATTTGGCTTGTTTTGTTTACAAAAAACAACAATAGAGATACACAGCTTAATCATTCCATATACGCAGAGATACAATTAATATACATGTTTTGAAGTGAAAATCGTTATCCCTTCTATGATTTCTTTTTACAAAAATGTCAATTATTTCCCAAATGGTGTTTAACAGAGGAAGGAGTTTTTCAAAGTATTTACTATAATATTTTTTCTTCTGGAGAAAGTCTTATTTGTTTTATTTTGGCTAGATTAAAACCAGCTTTTCATTTTTGAAAAAACATTAAATATTATTAGCCCCACTTAAGCAATATTTTTTCAACTGTCTAAAGCAGGGATGGGCAAACTCGGTCCTGGAGGGCTGGTGACCTGCACAGTTTAGCTCCAACACTAATCAAACACACCTGAACAAGCTGATCAGTGTCTTCAAGATCACTAGAAATCTACAAGCAGGTGTGTTTGATTAGAGTTGGAGCTAAACTGTGCAGGACACTGGCCCTCCAGGACCGAATTTGCCCACCCCTGGTCTAAAGGATAGGATAGGATAAACTTTATTTGTCCCTGAGAGGAAATTTGTCTTGGGCAAAAAAGTGCTACAACGTTGCTCTAAGTCAGTGGTTCTCAAAGTGGGGGTCGGGACCCCCCCGAGGGGTCGCAGGGCAATGAAGGGGGGTCGCCTGGTGATTTCCCAAAATCTATTTATTTTTATTAAACCATAAGAATTAACATATTTTATCCATAACTATACTGAAAATAAAAATAGTCGTTTATAGTTACTATATACTATATAGTTACTATAGTAGCTTATATAGTTACTAGTTCTATTGGATTGCGACCCCTGGGGTAATTACATTATATTAAAGGCAGCAATAGCGTCAGATGCATTTTGATTTTATAACATCAGGTTATACTTTCTGGCACATTTAAAGCACTGACACAAATTTAATTGGTGGGTCTGCGTCATTGCATGCAAGGTTTCTGTATTTATAACCACCTCAGAGGACATTGGGGGTCGCGAGTCACTGGCTTTGTTATTTTGGGGGTCGCGGGCTGAAAAGTTTGGGAACCCCTGCTCTAAGTCAGCGGTTCCCAAACTGGGGTGCGTGCACCTCTAGAGGTGCGCAGTCTGACCACCAGGGGTGCCTGAGAGACTGTTTGCAATGGTGGAAGTTTTTATCTTTTATACTATGCCTTGCATTTATCTTGGATAAATTTCACATGTCATATTTTTGAATGAAAAGAAACTCTTTGAGAGATAGAGAGATAAAAATCACTTTACAAAGTATAATGTACAACCTATGCATACTCACTCATCTCACGGTGTAACGTCTGCCCCACAATAGCCCCGCCCTTTCCCATTAGGCGCTAAATTATAGTACATTTGTAATTTTTTTTTCGCTTTCTATATTTATTAAAATGGACACCTGGTTAAAAACGTGCACTTTAAAGAAGTCAAGTAACAGTAGAGATGAAGCATCTACATCGGCCTCTTCTATGGAGATGTGCAGCGGCCTTGAATATATGCACTTGGAGGATATTGAACGAGGTGAAGAGGCACAGGCGGGAAAATTGCCTAATTAACCTAATTAAAAGTCACTTTAAGCTGAATACTATAGTATCTTGAAAAATATATGGTCAAATATTATGTACCGTCATCATGGCAAAGATAAAACAAATCAATTATAAGAAATGAGTTATTAAAACTATTATGTTTAGAAATGTGTTAAAAACAATCTCTCCGTTAAACAGAAATTGGGGAAGGAAATAAACAGGGGGGCGAATAATTCTGACTTCAACTGTATGTCAAGAATAATTGTCTCTGTTTTCTTCCAGTTGTGTTGTTTTAAAGGGAGTTCCCTGATCTTCAGCGCATCTCGAGATAAGACGGTGCTGATGTGGGATTTGGGACGAGATACAGAAGCCATCCAGGAGTTCAGTGGTCATGAGCTTGTCGTTAATGGAGTAGCTGTTAGTCCAGGTGAACAAACTCCCAAACTATAACATGTGTTGGGCTAGGGCTGGATGATTAATCGAAATTAAAACGATATTTGTAACCTATACCCAACATAATTTCCCCATTCCGGTTATTTAGTTTTTTTAAAATCCTGTTAAGATATCTCTTCAAAAATGTATTACTGAATGTGGGAAAATTGAGCACATTGAGTTTGACACCGCAGTGAGTGTATTGTTCATATACCTGACCAAAATCAAAACCGCAGGTCTCTTATACAGTATTTCATACATGCACACATCAGGTAAATCATATTCTTTGTTGCTGGTTTATTTGGTATATTAAATTATAACAATATTCATTCATTCATTTTCCTTCGGCTTAGTTCCTTTATTTATGAGGGGTCACCACAGCGGAATGAACCGCTAACTATTCCGACATATGTTTTACGCAGCTGAAGCTCTTCCAGCCGCAACCCAGTACTGCAAAACACCAATACACTCACTCACACACACTCATACACTTCGACAGGGCCGGATTGTCTAATCGGGGGAACCAGGAGAATTCCCGGTAGGCCGGTCCGTTTTTTGGCCGCGAGGGCCGGTGTCCCTAGCTGCTTGCACTCTCAGCAGTTGCACGTTTTGCATTTATTTGTTTATTTGACCATAGCCTCACTCTTTATATTCATTATTTTGTCGCAGCTCCACTCTTTTTATTTATTTTCTCGCAGCCCCGTGAGCAAAATGCAGCCCGCACCCCATTCCACCCCAAACAGCGGGACGTTAGTGAATATTAGGGATGTAAAGGTATCAGAATTTTACGGTACGATAATACCTCGGTATGAATGGCACGGTATGGTATTTATTAAATAATTTAGAGGAAAAACAAAACTAATGAAAAGACTCGAAAAAAGTGCCAAAAGTGTTTATTTACCTTAGCACTGAACATATCAATGACATACAAATTAGCCATCTATCTGTAAGTTTCGATACAGGAACTTCAATTTTTCAATTTTAATAACAAAAAACTATTAAACCAAATAAAAAAAAATAAAGTTTCAATTTAGTATTGTTGAAAACTCATCACATTCAACATTTAATCACAAACTCACTTAGATAAAGATGGGTTTTTCAAGGAAAATTATCATATAAATATAATCTGGTAAAAGCTGGGATCTCTGGGCATGTCCCCTGCAACAGAAATAAACCCCTCTCATTTGGGACTGAGGTTTCTGGGACAGAGAGATATGATTTAGCCAAGGTTGACAGCAGTGGGTAACGTTGTGCATTGTCTTTCCACCACTTGAGAGGACAAGCCATGAGTGAGATAGAGGTCTCTTTGCGGTACAAGTCAATGTCTGCATCAATCTAGTGTGCTGTGTTCTGCAGTCCCCGTGACTGTTTTTAGTCGTATTCCCCGACTTATATTTCACCACAGTCTGGCAGTGCCTGCATATTGTTTTTTCTTTGTCTGTCACCTTTTCTCTTTTTTCGTATCTTTTTAGAGAGAAACCGAAATGCTTCCACACATCTGATTTAAAACCCGCTTTAGGTTAGATCATTTCCAGCTCTTTTTCTTCCCCGCTACTGGCAACACACTCCATTTTCGCATTACTGGATCAATAGCGACAACAGACCGCAAAGGATGATGGCCACGCCTAGGCTGATGGGAATTGTAGTTCCCGCTACCTCCCGTTTCGCTTCATTCGCCTGAGCAAACTTTTCTCAGAAATATAGTTTTATTGGGTCATGCTACTACGGTAATATTGAAAAAAATTACTTTTGCGGTATGACGGTATTTACAATATTGTTACATCCCTAGTGAATATTAATTAATATTAATGAATATTACACCTGCTCAATGAAAATCAGATGATTCACTACATTAATAAATCTGACATAACTTGATCAGAAATCTATAAAGGGGAGAAAAAGAGTAAAACAATTGATAGGGTAAAACAAGAGTAGACATCAATAGCAGCAAATAACAGTGCACTGCTTAACAGCGCCATCATGGTCTAGTGGTTAGCATGTTACGTTATGACACTGCCGATCTGAATTCGAACCTCACCAGAGTATAATATAATTTTTTCATTTTCAGTGTTAAGACATAAAATACTGTTTGTGTTACTTATGTAAGGGTACTTTTTGTGTGTGTGTGTGTGTGTGTGTGGTGTGTGTGTGTGTGATGACCGTTACAAAGGGCTGGATATCTATAAAGAATTAATGTTCTCATATTTGTGAAAAACATTTGTAGTTCTAAAGCAGCTGTGTCCTTGAAAAAGACGTGTTAGTGTCATCTGAAACTGAATTGGAAATGGCGTTATTTTAATATAGTCAGTTGTCGACTGAGGTGGGCCGGTCTAAGGCTTGAAACTCCAGAGCTAAAAAAGGAGTCCCACTCCAGCCCTGCACTTCAACCAAATTAGTTCATTCAATTCACTTCTAGAGCATGTCTTTAGACTGTGGGGGAAACCGGAGCACATGGGGAGAACATGCAAACTCCACACAGAAATGCTAACTGGTCCAGCTGGGACTCGAACTAGTGACCTTCTTGCTGTGAGGCGACAGTGCTAACCACTGAGCCATCGTGGCGCTCATTGAAACAATATATTGTGATATACTGGTACATCATAACAATGTGATTCAATGGCTCTTGTATCATCTGCATTTTCACTTCGGCAAATCAGTTAGAGCGAACACATATATAAGTAATATTCAGAAACCTGACAGATTATTAATAGCAAAGGTTCTTTTTCTTTTTTTTCTGAGCTATAACATATCAAGGTTTCACTTTCCTTCAGCTTAATCTCTAAAATAAATTATGAAGAGGTTGCTTTATAACTGACAGCACAGCTTATTTCTATCATTAAAGAAAAAGAATATTTAGTTCACTAATGTTCTGTTAAAACTTTAGTTTAGCTTGCAATAGATGCTGGTTATTTCCCACTTTTGACAATGAAATGTTCAATTATTTAGTTTGGGGGAAAAAAAGTTATTTAATTTTTTTTTATTAAATGAAACTTGAAAAATGAAAATTTAAATGTGACTTTTTTTCACAGGAAGCAGTTTGGGCTTTGATTTGAGTTTAAATTATTCATCAATTAGCCATCAGTAGTTAGTTTGCTTTAATTATTTTACTTTCATCAAAAAACAGAACCTCAATGGGTGCACAATCTCAAATGTGATCCTGTAATGTGTTTTTTATTGTCTTGTAGATGGATCAAAGCTGTGCACGGGTTCTCGAGATAACTCCATGTGCCTCTGGGACATTGAGTCTGGAGAATGTCTGCAGAGAAACACCATCTCACGAAACCTGGTTAGAAAATACATAACTTTGATAATCTTCAAATATTTGTATGTACTGTATTTTTAAGAAAAGAAGGTGTACAGGGTCAAAATTTTGTTGAAGCATTTTGTCAAGCATTGTTGAAGGGGTGGTTCACTATGAGATCATATATTAAACTTTAGTTGGTGTGAAATGTGTGTGAACATAAACAACATCTCTTCAAAGTTCAATGCAAAGGGAGACCTTGATTTTTACAGAGTTAGCTTAGCAAAGCCTACAATGAACCAATTTTGGGGACTACAAAAAATACTTACGCCCCCTATGAGATCACAAAGGTTCATTTATTGCGCATACAAACTGCCCGTGGCCAGAGGCGCTGTAACGTTATAGCAGAGATGAAGCTAAAAATGCGTCTAAACGCTGCTGTTTCTACTGCAGTTGGTGACTCTATCCAAAGCACTAAATTGAAACAATTTCAGACATTATTAAAATGTAATGAAGTGTTTCAAAGGAAGCATAAAACTCCAGAATTTGTAGCTCAATATAAGCACAATCGATTATTAACTTCTTTTTCATTCTTCTTTCTGACACCCCCTAAACACCACAAATCTGGCAGCTGTAGGAGGAACAATTACATACACATCTTTCAGTAGGGTTGTAAATACAGTTGAAGTCAGAATTATTAGCCCCCTTTGAATTTTCTTTTTCTTTTTTAAATGTTTCCTAAATGATGTTTAACAGAGCAAGGAAATTTTCACAGTATGTCTGAAAATATTTTTTCTTCTGCAGAAAGTCATATTTGTTTTATTTCGACTAGAATAAAAGCAGTTTTTAATTTTTAAAAATCATTTTAAGGTCAAAATTATTAGCCCCTTTAAGCTATATATTTTTTTCCCGATAGTCCAGTGTTTCTCAACTGGTTTGGCCATGGGACCCACATTTTTACATGATCATCAAGCCGCGACCCAAATTTTTAGGAACTATAATTAAATTTTAGGAATTATAATTAATTTGTATTTATTTGTTAAAATACACAAGTAGTGACAGATAAATCATAAGAAAATCCCCAAGACTTACAAATAAACTATATTGTATTGCTGTCATTTAACAAAATGTATCAAATTATAGAAATATTACAAAGTAAAATACTGTAAATAGTGGACAGGGTAAGGAAAGGTTCAGTTACCATAAACTAAACTGTTAATAAAACACATGTTGTCTGGTTTCTAAATGTTGTTTTAATTTAGAAGGTTTCATGCTCTCTTGTGAGAGCACCTCAATACTTATGACACACTGAGGTTAAGTCCTTTTTGTCGTCAATATATGTAAATCCATACTTAACATATTCAGCGTCGTACTTGCGCTATGAAATATTTGTTGCTATAATTAAATTACATTTTTACATGTCAAACGGTAGAGTTTTCATGCACGCATTTCAAAATAAAAGTCAAAATAAGTTTATAATTAAACTTTTGCTGTTTTTTTGACCACACACTCCGCGACCCACTGAAAATGTTTCCGCGACCCACCAGTTCAGAAACACTGCGATAGTCTACAGAACAAACCATCATTATACAATAATTTGCCTAATTACCTTAACCTGCCTAGTTAATCTAATTACCTAGTTAAGCCATTAAATGTCACTTTAAGCTGTATAGAAATGTCTTGAAAAATATCTAGTCAAATATTATTTACTGTCATCATGGCAAAGATAAAATAAATCAGTTATTAGAAATGAGTTATAAAAACTATTATGTTTAGAAATGTGTTAAAAAAATTCTCTCTGTTAAACAGAAATTGGGGGAAAAAAATAAACAGGGGGGCTAATAATTCGGACTTCAACTGTATGTACTTGTGATTTTTCAGGTTTTGTTATTTTTTAACAAATTTGCACACACAAATTTTATTCACATTGTCATTATGGGGTATTGTGTGTAGAATTTTGAGGAAATAAATGAAATATTTTGAAATAAGGCTGTAACATAAATAATGTAGAAAAAGTGAAGCGCTATAAATACTTCCCGTATGCACTGTATTTTGTTTGCTTGGTGTTAAAGGTCAACAAGGGCAAAATTATCCACAAAACACACCTTATAATAAATATAACTAAGTAGATGAAAAAATTTAATACAAGTTACTTACCTAACTCCTTAACAAAAACAATATAAACAGATATGAAATAAAATGGCGATGCAGTGGCGCAGTAGGTAGTGGGGGCAAGAAGGTCGCTGGGTCGCTGGTTCGAACCTCGGCTCAGTTGGCGTTTCTGTGTGGAGTTTGCATGTTCTCCCTGCCTTCGCGTGGGTTTCCTCCGGGTGCTCTGGTTTCCCCCACAGTCCAAAGACATGCGGTACAGGTGAATTGGGTAGGCTAAATTGTCCGTAGTGTATGAGTGTGTGTGCGTGAATGTGTTTGTGGATGTTTCCCAGAGATGGGTCGCGGCTGGAAGGGCATCCGCTGCGTAAAAACTTGCTGGATAAGTTGGCGATTTATTCCGCGGTGGCGACCCCGGACTAATAAAGGGACTAAGCTGACAAGAAAATGAATGAATGAATGAATGAATGAAATAAAATGGCGTCAAGTTTCCTACTTCCCATTTAAGTGACAAATTCAAGCAGATAAAATGGTAATTAGGCAGGTAAATAACTGGGAATCTCAAAACAGAAGAAATAGGGCTGCACGATATTGCAAAAATCAGATATTGCAATAATTTAATTACATTTTTATTAAATAGAATTTATATTTAATTTAATTTTAGTAACAAAATACCACAGCAATCATAATGATCTAAAAACTACAGGTCATGTCATTTCTTACTTGTATATTAATTATCTTTGTAGTCACTAAACTTGTCTTTTTTTTGTTCCTCCTGTGTTTCAGGTTACCCATGTGTGTTGGGTACCAGGAAGCACGTCTATTGTCCAAACCTCAGAAGACAAAACTATCAGGTCAGACGATCGCTGAAATGCCATGATGTGTTTGTGTGTGTTGATTGTTTGTAGAGATGCAGTTCTCTAGAAATATTTACTAGACAAATAAGCCTGTGTTGTTGTTACGTCATCACAAAATGTCAAATAAATCATCACGAGGCTGTGTACATGAAACTAGATACACTGCACAATGAGGTTACATTTGTTAACATTAGTTACATTTACATTTTACATTTACATTTGTTTATTTAGCTGATGCTTTTATTCAAAGTGGCTTACAAATGGGAAGAAAAATAGTAGCAATCAGGCCAACAAAAGAGCAACTTTTTTATGAGCTCTGCAAGTCACAGTTTTCCTAACACGGGAATATGTGGCGAAACAAATCAGTGAAATGACAAATAGATTGAACAGAAAGTGCTAGTTGTGACAGGTCAAGTGCATACTTGCAAATGGCTGAAAGTTATTCATCCAAGCCATTCCACCTGTAGCAAGCACATAAGGTAACATGAACAAAAAATTCAAAATCTAAAATTCAGCATTTATTATTAGATTAAAATAGAAAACCTATTCAATGGACCTGGGGTCTGTTCTTCGTACGTGGATTACTCAGCTGGATTTGATTATTGACGATTTGACATGATCCAGGATCGTTTCGTTCTTCAAAACTGATCCAAGAGCTGTTGTCATAGCAACAGTTCTGGCAGCTCAAACCTGGTCAGGAGCAGGTTCAATTCATATAAACAGGGTTAGATCAGCTCAGTTCAAGCTAAGTTAATACAGAAAGTATTTACCGAATTCTGATATTTTCGGTCACACTTTACAATAAGGTTCATTAGTTAATGTTAATTAATGCATTTACTAACACGAACAAACAATAAACCATACATTTACTACTGTATTTGTTCATGTTAGTTAACGTTAGTTTATGAAAATACAGTAGTTCCTTGTTAGTTCATGTTAACTCATGGTGCATTAACTAATGTTAACAATCATGAGTTTGGATGTTAATAATGAATTAGTAAATGTTCAATTATGATTAATAAATGCTGTAAATGCTTTGTTCATGATTAGTTCATGTTAGTAAATGCATTAACTAATGAACCTTATTGTAAAGTGTTACCATATTTTCTTATATATTTATATTCTTAGATTTTTCTTATATTTTTTTATAGTTATATACACTTGGGAAAATAGGATTTTTTTAAAATTATATATAGCTCTAATAAGTTAAATGCAATTAGTTAAAGGCATGGAGATATAATTATTCTTGATTTTCTTTAAGGCTACTTTGAAACCATGCATTTTGTCAAAAGACACATTTTGATTTGACAGTGTGTGTGTTTTGATGTGTTTTGTCGGCCTCAGGGTGTGGGACAGTCGCACATGGCAGGTCACAAACACTTTTCCAGCAAAGCAGTACATTCAGACCCACTGTGATGTCAACGCTAACTGTTACCACCTGCTTTCCTCCAGCAACGGTTTTGGCGGACAGGGCTGTGAGGCTACGGTGAGTGTGTGTTTATGCGTTTGTACTATGTTTTCCTTACGCTTTGGGTTAGATTTAGACCCCATGAGAAAAACAGCTCATAAATCCTACAGATTGAAGTATTTCGAAAATGTAAAAATGCAGATTGTTTCCTATGAGAGTTGGGTTAGGGGTGGGGGTATGGATTACACAGTGTACACAGTATAAAAATCATTATATCTATGAAAAGTCCCAATAAAGTTAGCTGTACATGTGTGTGTGTGTGTGTGTGTGTGTGTGTGTGTGTGTGTGTGTGTGTGTGCGTGTGCGTGTGTGTGTGTGTGTGTGCACGTCTAAAATACCTCCAGGACATTACTGTTATTCTAGAGTAGATTAAGATGTCCTGGTTTAATTTCAATTCACAAGCACTCAATTTGGTTCAATGAAAATTAGAATTTAAAGGGCACCTATGGTGAAAAATCTATCTTTCAAGCAGTTTGGACAGACATGTGTGTAGGTATGGTGTATAGACCGTCATATTGGGGTGATATAAACAAAAAACAAAAAAAAAGTCTTTTTTTTTTCAATTTAACAACACAAAAACGGTGGACCAATTGGATCGGTTTTAAGAGCCGCGATCACAGAAGCTCCCTGTCATCTCAACTTGGTGCAGCTGGAAAGTGCAAGCGTGTTGACTCGCGTGTGTCCCTCCATTGGAAATAACGAACTTGCCTTAAGCAGGTCACACACCAGAAGCGCCGCTTGGCAACGTGCAGCGCCATGCATTTTAAAATTCTAAACATAGGTTTTTATCAGGGTACACACACCGGCGCCGCAAGTCGGTGGCTGTCCGCGGCGCCCAGCCACGACTCAGGACACTGTTCATATTTCTGCCGCGCCACAAAGCGCCATCTGAATAGTTTCATTTTAAATTACATGTGAATGTAATGTAAGGCTCTTAGTGGCGCATTCGGTGTGTGATGCCCTTTAGTTATAGCCTCAGTCAAAGTTAATTCAGTGTGCGTGGTAATTAGTCTCGGTGTACAAGCTCGGAACTTTAAACTAGACACAAAGACACAAATGATTTTGTAGTCTCTGCTTTGTCTGTCTGAGATCGGGTCGTACATGTACGGCTGAATGCTGGTCCTCTCACTCATGTTGCTTCTCTCTGTCTGTTGCCATACACAAAGCGGGGGAGCTCTTGGCTCTGCCCCCTTGTTAAGGTGGGCGGAAAATCGAAACTAATTTTCATGTGAATCAACACACCTCTAAAACAACGACCTGCGAACAAGCCCACAAAATGACACTTTTTAACACATTATAATAAAAAACTAGGTGCCCTTTAATACAAATTGTATTTATATTCCTGAATTAGAGATGCGCGGATGGCGGTTACAGCCGCGGAATCCGCAGATAAACCGCGGATCGGCCGGATGACGTGACGAAAAATAAAATTTTAATTAAATTCGGGCGGGTGGTGGGCGGTTGTACTGTTTTTGTACACATAGCTGGCGCACCAACGAAAAAGCCTAGGACTGACTTTACAGAATGAGAGGAGGAATCGGATACACTAATTCTGGATGAAGTACAGAAGTCTTCCTCTACAAACTTCCGTGTAGACTGATCAGCAGAGGAAAATCTACTTTCCTTTTAGGAGAAACAAGGCCAGTCATTCCCACGACTCCTTGCCAAGAGAATTCTATGCATTCCAGCAACAAGTGCTGCGAGCAAGCGCTCCTTCAGTGCAGCAGGGCACATTGAGGCCAGGCGCTCTCGTCTGAATGTTGAAATGATGTGTCAAAATGCGTTTTCTATTAGGCTACAATAATTGTAAAAAAAATTGTACAGTACAGTGCGTTTAATTTAGGCTATTTATTTATTTTTGTCCCTGTGCGCCAATTGGAGACGGAGTTCACTGCTGATATTCTGAGAGCGTTATAGGGGTGCTTCTCATTTCTTATTTGTGTATCCTCGTTTCCTTTCCTTGCTTTCTTTCCTCGTCTTTCCACCCCTATAGGATGCGAGGGAAGGACGCAAGGAAAAGACTCAAGGACCGACCGAGGAATCGAATCAAGTGAAAAGACACGTCCTCGTATTGTTTAGCGTCACTTCAAAGCGTCAATTAATGCTGCATTGACTTGCACGTTTGAATTAACTGCATGTCATTAAAGTCATTCTCTATTTTCTAATAATCAATAAAGAAACATTCATTTAATAATAAAAAGGAATAAGCCATTCAAATAAAGAGCTCAGTCAGCAGATGGCGGGCGGGTGCGGTTTTAAAATTTGGTCAAAAATGTTAGTGCGGATGGATGGCGGACGGATGATGAGTTTTGTGATGCGGTTGTGGATGAAATAATAGCCCATCCGCGCATCTCTATCCTGAATAATCATCAGTAAACACTTTTGTTTAGGTGCATGTGGGTACATTAAGACAGAACCCATCACTAGACAGTGGGACACCAATTTTATATAAATGTATTCCAGAATTGCATGTACAGTTCAAGCATTTTTCCACTGCTGAGACTGCAGCTCTGCACAAGACTTTTGGCCAGCGGAGAAATTAAAATGGTCATGCCGAACTGAGTCTGGTCCTCTCAAGGTTTTTTTTCTTCACTCTCCTATCGGTGAAGTTTTTGTTCCCTCTCCGCTGTCGCCACTGGCTTGCATAGTTCAGGATCTGAAAAGCTACTCATAGATGGATTTGCTTTTCAGTATTTGGACTCTCAGTAATGACTTCAAACCACACTGAACTGAGCTAAACTGAACTGAACTTAAACACTAAAAACTGAACTACCCTGATCCAGTTACTATGATCTTTTATGTGAAGCTGCTTTGACACAATCTACATTGTAAAAGCGCTATACAAATAAAACTGAATTGAATTGAATTGAATTTTTCATTCATTTTCCTATATCATATACAGCGGGTAAAATAAAGATTGAACAAGTCACTACTTTTCTCAGAAAACATATTTCTAAAGGTGCCATTGACTTGAAATTTTCCCTGCATGTTGGTAACAACCAAAGAAATCCATATATGCAAAGAAAACAAATCAAATTAGTTTAAAAATGAAGTTATGTTACACTGAAATGACATAGGGATAAAGTATTGAACACATGAGAAAAGGGAGGTGTAGAAAGGCAGTGAAAGCCCAGACAGCAGCTGAAATGTCTCAGTTGTTCTTCAGCAACCCTCTGCTCTTCGTCATTGTAAATTAATATCCACTGCTTCAGTCCAATATCTACATTAGCAGCATGATGAAGATGAATCCAGGGTGAACATTTCAGCATTACAAGGATCCAAAACACAGCCAATGAAACTCTCGAATGCTTTCAGAGAAAGAAAATGAAGCTGTAGAATGGCCCAGCCAATCACCAGACCTGAATCAATAGAAAATGCAAAAACGAGACTCGCAGTACCATCAAGCAATTCATGCGACTTTATTCTCCATTCTTTTTAAGCTGCCATCAACAAAAAAAGTATTAAATACTTTCCAGTAGTTCAGCACCTCCTCCTTGTGTTGTTTCATTTATATTGTGATTTTTTTTTTTGTTTTGTTTTACTTTTATGTTCGTATTGTTTGGGTTTTTACTAAAATCTGGTGCAATTCCATGTCAACAGGTCCTTTAGAAATATTATTCCTAGGAGAAAACATGACATGTTCAATACTTATTTTCCTCACTTAACAACAAATGAATAATATACGGTAATTAGAATTGATTATTAATGTAAAGTGATGCAAAATGCTTATTGGAAATGCTTAATAGGGAGCATTTTAATCAGTTACTAGTTGTTGTTGGACTTATTGTTGAATGTTTTAAACCCCTATTACAGAGATGATGACAATAACAGAGACATTTTCCACCATTTAATTAACCATTCAATCGGTCTAGTTCGATTCAATGATCTATGCTAAGCTATAAGTGCTCCCGCCAGACCAGAGATTGGCTGAATGGATTAAAAAAATGGTCAAACTCAACTGTTTACCTTAACTTTGAGAGAGTTGTAAAATGAGCCTAGTTCCAAAAACAAACTTTAAACGTAAACATTACGATATGTACTTTTAGAAAAAAAAAACTTATAAAACCCCTAATCGCTGCGTTTGAGAATCGATATTGAAACAACCACTATTTATTATCGATGTTTTTTGCACATCTCTAATATATGCACTTTTGTGTGTGCGTGTGGTTGCGTGTGCGTGTAGCTGTGGGACCTCCGGCAGCCTGGCTGTAAGGTGGCCGAATACAGAGGACACTTGCAGACCACAGCATGTTGTGTGTTTGTGCCTACCCGTCCTGGATGTCCTGCCCTTGTGGCCTCATCATCTTATGACAGCTCAGTGAAAATATGGGACCAGAACACTGCAGGTAAACACACGTACATTCAGATACACAGACAGACACACACCTACATAAACACACACAGACTTTTTTGAGCACCAAGCCAGCATATTTAATGATTTTTAAAGGATCATATGATGCTGAAGTTTAGTTTTGCATCACTAGAATACATAAAAATATAAAATTAAATCAAGAATATAAAATGCTAAAATGTTACAAACCCCTGATGTTAGTCTAGGGGATAGTGGGGTTTGACATTTAATTAATTAAAATATATTTATATAAACAGTGAATGAGTGCAAAAGACAACCAAAGTAATGCCAAAAATGTGTGCTTTTATTTACAATTCCCAAAAGTGAACAACAACAACGAATTAATCAAAAATAAAGAAAAAGTAAGTAAGGCAAAAATATACTATTTACAATATATACAACACTGAGACAAATAAAGACGGGAAAAAACAAGAGAGCTGGCAGAAGGGACGCAGACGCTGAAGAAATGAAAAGAACAAAACCCAAACTAAATCTAACTTCCCAGAAGCGTCTAGCTAACTAACTATGTGAAAACTGTATAATTAACACGCAAAGATCTTCCGAGTCCTAACTATCTACTCTATCTAGCTATCCAAAAAGTACAAGGAGTGGCGCTTGCCCCTAACCTAATGTTCTAAACAGCAGAGTAGTCCCAATGACTGTAAAAAATATGGACGCGACAGCCCCTTTTCCCATTGAACGCCTTGAGGGCAAAACGCCTGCTTGACGGGCACAAACGGTCGCAAAAGACTGCTGAAATTGGAGCCTTGACATGCGCGGAAGGACTGTCTGATGGAAGCCAGAGGAGGAGCCGCGAAAATGAGCGGTGTCGAGCTTCCAACCAAACGCTTTATGTAAAATCAACCACGCCCCCTGAACTTCTCAGCATGCTTTTGCTGTCATATCAACACAAATGGATGTAATAACAATAACAATAATGAGGCAACAAGAATCAGTCCAAGGCACTCGAGTAAAGTGAAAATATTAAAAAGCCTATTAAAAAGCCTAAGGCTTTTTAATATTTTCACTTTACTCTAGTGCCTTGGACTGATTCTTGTTGCAGATTTGATGAATCCCTTACCCAAAGAGCACCGACCATACATTTGAGCTTACCCCAGAGCGCTTTTTGTTTGTTTTTTTCTGGAGTAAACAAATTATATTCAATAAAAAATATTCAATCGCGCCAGCTCCGGGCCGCAGCGCCTAACCTACTCGCGGCGTCGCCGGCTGATTCTGGCTCGTATGCGGCAGCGCCGGCTCGCTCGGTCGCCGCGTCTGGCTCGATTGACTCGGGCTGGAATCGGGCTGTGAGTCCAGGCATCCGGAGTAGGTCCAGCAGAGGTAGTCAGTCTGAGCTCTGAGGGGTAAGTCTCCGGCAGGCGAGAATCTAGCCTGAACTGGCCCGAGTGTATTTTGCTATCTGGGTGGTTAGGCGTGTATCAGCAAACTAATAAAGCCCGAAAAAAGCCCTGACCTTAGCGAATAAACAGTGTTCCACCAGATCATGTATGTCAGAAACTGTAGTTTACTGCTGAACTCATTTTGTCATGGTAAAATAACACAGAAATCGAATAATAACACTTCAGTCTCCTGCCGAAGCTCAGACGGTCTGTTTTGAGAAACTGTCAATCACAGCTGTCAATCACGATGACACGCCCAGCATTAAATTACTGCTAAAAACAAACTGTTTACAAAAATGAAGATCTGCACCTATTTCAGCACAATAACCAGTGCCTTAATCGACCAGAACCATCTTTCGGGACATTTTATTGCAAGTGTAATACATTTTTTTTTATTTGGGCTCAAGTCTCCTTCATTAACACGGAGTAGGCGGGCTTTATGACTTGTACTGCAGCCAGCCCCCAGGGGGCGATCTAATGGCCGAGACCTTCACTCAAACGCAGGCTTGCGGCACACTTGAGTAGTCCTAAGTGTTGCAATTTATGTCACGTGACCTTCTTACCTGTCCACTTCGTCCAAGTAAACAACGTAAACTGAGAACTATGTACGAATAACGGACGGATAACGTGCACACAGAAACGGGCAACAACAAAAACACACAGTTAGACAGGGTTATTCTAAACGCACGCAATAAATACAAACAAGCGGCAAAAGCAGAGAAAGAAAAAAATAAAGCAAGGGACTAGCGAGTGGTCTGACGCGCGCTTTTATGATGAGTGGTCTTTGCTTATTGTATGTGACGTAAGAGTGACGTAATCGGAGGGAATGACTGACAGCTGAGTGGACCAATGAACGGAACCTGAGAATACATGAAAGCAGATATGGGAGAACAGCGAGAGAGAGAGAGAGAGAGAGAGGGAAAAAAACACAGAGAAACAGAGCACAAATAACACAAATACATAACATAAATAATAATTATTGTTTCTTCTATATTTGTATTAAATAGATAGATAAAATTTACTTACATTACGAACACAGTAAATAACAAGACTCTTGTTTACTCCCCGTTCTCTCTTCAGCTTGTTTGTACACTTTAACTCTGGATGGTTCGGGGCCGCTGGTTTCTCTAGCTCCGTGTGACTCCAGTAGTTTGCTGTGTGCCAGTTTTAACACAGGACTTCATCAGCTGCATCTAGACCAGAGTGCAGTGCCCAGTATCACTGAAGTGGCTCGCTTCTGACCTCCAATCTGGAAAAATCACACCCCCTCCTGACCTCCATCTGCAGAATAAACCATCTTCTTCAATGAATGGAACTCTTGGTAATTACAGGGAAAAGAAAAGTATGTTCTAATTAAAGGGATAAGCTCATCCAGAAATGAAGATTTGCTCCAGTCAGGCCAAGATGTAAGATGAATTTCTTTTATTTGTTCAACGTTACATCACTTGCTTTACCAGTTGAAGCTCTGCAGTAAATGTCCTGTAAAACAGCTGATAAAAACAACAAAATATGTCACAACACAACTTGAGTCCACCACTTAAATCAAGAAGCCCTATAATACACCCAGCGGCATAAGGTACAAGGCGTGTATGACATGATTTGTTCCTATTTTCATACGAGCGCAGGTTTCTTTTTTTTACGTTTTGCACCATGTTGTTTGAATAGCAAATCCATTTGCGCCATTTTTTGGACTCATGGGAGTGCCAGTCTGAAAAGGAGGTGTTTTAAGGCGCATTGTTGGCTTGTTGTTGTTTTGAGGAACTAAAATAGACTGCACCATTCACTAACTTAAAGCTGCTCTAAAGTCCAGCACAGAGTTTTTGTCATTTAAAGTGTGTGTTAGTCATGCGCCTAAACGGTTCCAAAAGCTTACACATTGCATAATATACATACTGTAGGATGTACAGCAACACACACATATATTTACATATGAATAAAATTAAAGGATTCAAATATTTAAAAAAATGTATTATTTTCTACATAAATGCACAAACCACTGCCTCTAGGCCTTCTTCACCTTGTGGGGCTTTTTTTCAGTTTATTCATAACAATTTGCATTTGTATAATGTTATTATTATTATTATTATCAGTATTATTTATTATATGCCTATTTATATATACTTTTAATAAAAACAAGTTTAGATTTGTCCATCTGTCACGTTTGGAGACGTCTGCATTATCATATGGGGTATAAGAATAGGACGTGTGTTTGGATATAACTTGACCACACTTTGTTATTATTATTAATTTATTCATTCATTCATTATCTTTTCGGTTTAGTCCCTTTATTAATTAATTTTTTATTAATTTTTATGCAGCGGATGCCCTTCCAGCCGCAACCCATCACTGGGAAACATCCGTACACACTCATTCACACACATACATTACGGACAATTAAGCTTACCCAATTCACCCATACCATGTCTTTGGACTTGTGGGGGAAACTGGAGCACCTGGAAGAACTCGGGAGAACATGAAAATTCCACACAGAAACGCCAACTGACACAGCCGGGGCTCGAACCAGCAACCTTCTTCCTGTGAGGTGACAGTGTTACCCACTGCGCCACCGTGCTGCCTGTTCATTTATTTGTTTTCTGGAAATTAGAAATTAGTTTTGAAACAAATCTTTGCGCATAACAAACAAAATTAAATAGGTAGGATAATGGATGTCTTCAGTGGAGTGAGTTTCCACCGTTCCCTTATCCGCAAAAGTAAAGGAGTAAAGAGTGAAAGTAAAGTAAAGAGAAAGTAAAGAGGCCGAATGGGGGAGGCTCGTTCTTTATCCTCGGGCTGCAGATGGTCTGTTTAACTGTTTTCTCGCTAGTGAAGCGTTCAGTTTTTCCACTTACAAAGTCCGTCATGTAAATAGCAAACGCGCCATGGAGCGAGGCAACTGACTCTTAAAGGGAATGGAAGATGAGACTCTAATTGGTTTAATGCACGTTATACTCAAAACACACCCATAACTTATTAAGAGAATAAGCACAACCCTTTTAGACCATGTGCCAGGGCGCAGAGTGTATTGTCTGTCCTTAAAATAGCAAAAGTAGATTCAGACACAGCCTTGATGCTTTTGTGCCTTGCGCTTTAGCTTTTTGTGCTTAAAACGTTATAATAGAGTCCTAAATATAGGTCTTTCCTAAAGGCCAGGTAAGAAACTGGCTGTAATTTCGCCACATTTTTAAAAATATTTTCAAACGATATGGATTATTCGATTATCAGACATATTTGTGTAAGCGAATCCCTCTGTAGTGTGTGACAAGTACGTCCTTCGTCCTTCGTAAGCAGGCGCTTGTTTCAGTTATGGAGAGTTTAGACTGCATGATTTATAAGGTAGTCGTGTCACAGATGTTTTCACACTACATGACTTTCTGGGCTAGGGTTTTGTCGCTGCTTTGTTTACACTGCAAGATGGATCGGCGACGGGGTTTCACTTTGCATTTTACAACAGGAAGAATCGGCAACAACTTCGTCCAAACTACGTCTCACAGCCAAAATCACATAGTATATAATTTGTTGTTAACTACATAACGAGAAAGAAGCATTTAATGGGGTAGAAAATGTAGATATTTGCTCACCTGGGTTTGAAGGGATTTAGCATTTTCTCATTTTGGCACTTTCTATTTTTACCCAATTGTAATATTGATGACATGTCAAACAGACACGGGTGCTCCTGCCAAATTTCCACTAGTTTTTCCTCCATTTCTTGGGTCCAATTAAATTGGGAATGAGCGCTGACCTGCAGGTACACATGTAACCCCACCGATTTAACGCCACCCAACCCGCTCCGAGCTGGTATAGAACTGGCGACCTTCCGCATGGGAGTCGGTTGCTCTAACAAGGAGGCTAAAGACCATGGCGTCTAGAGTCTGTCGCCAGAGCACCTTTAGAGGTCAGAGGAGTGAGGTTTACCTGCACAGCACACACTAGCTGGCCTCCGTTACACACACACACACACACACAAGTGAATGCTGCTCTCTTATTGGCTGTAGGCGATCACCGATGTTATTTTAAGTCAAAACTCATTTCACATGGCAAGATTTGAATGGCAGACAGTTCCTGATATTTAGCACGGCAAATATCTCACAGGCATCGGCAACTCATCAGCGATTCTCTCAGATCGCGTCTCTGATCGTTCATACTGTGTGATTGTCATTCACGTGCACGAGCACCGATTTGCCTGTGATTTCAGACATTTGTCTGCAATTTCTCAAAACCTGTTGGCGAGCCAAAATCGGGGCTAAAATCATGCAGTCTAAACTAGGCATTAGCTGTCAATAGTTTGGTGTGTTTATGTGCTGCTGATAATGCATCTGTTTAACCTCACATACTACTGACAAAACTACCCTGGTCGAAGTTTTTTTTAGTACACAAATCCACAGGGAAATATCCACAGGTCAAGCTCCAATTGCAGGCAAAAACAAATATTTTGGTGTAATTTTTCTCTGACCGTAGCATTAAACAATGAACGTTATACCAGTATTTTGGCCAGATGCGTCTTTTTAAAAACTGATGTCACCATTTCACTTCACAATAGTTGATGGACCTGTTTTTATCTGCCGTTTAAATTGTCATTCACTGCAGAGCGTTCATTGATTCATTGACGACGAAGAAACAATATCATCTACATCTTATAAGACCTGAGGGTGAGTAAATATTCATTCGCTTTATTTTTATTTAGGTAAAGCTACACTGTAAAAATGATGTGTATTTTGTGTGTTTTTAGTTTTTTTTTTTTTCTGGTTGTGAATTGCATTATGGGATGTTGATCTCTGCTCCTAATGTTTAATGTTGAAAATTCAACTACAATTTAACAACGTGACTTTTATTGACATTTTAGTCATTTAATATAATGTTAAAGTAATAATATATAGAGAAATAAGCTTGTAAAATAACATAAGTTGTACTGGCAGTTTAATACAATGTTTTTGTAGTGTAATATAACAACACCATCCCAGACAATATATCACTGTAAACTATTAAAAATGTTAATAAAAGTCACCTTTTACAACTTTTCAAGTTAAACGTTGTTGGAAGAAAGATTAAGCTTCCAAAATGCAATTCAAATAACATTAATAAACAGGGAAAAATAAAAACATGAATCATAAAATACACAAAACTGCTAATTTAGGGATATTTTTTACAGTGTAGACCTATTAATAACTGCACAATCTTTGTTTTAATACACCAGCAAATCTCTTAATTTATTTCCAATCACTGTACACATATTTTTGGCCATGTTATGTATGATTACTGGATTATATGAGCCAAGAAATGGTGTAACAGTAAAGCTGAAGTTTTTGGCCTAAAGTAAAGCTGTAAAACTGCCTGCCTGATTCACAAAACTGGCTTTTTCTCCATTAAATGTTCCCCTAATGCCTGAAATAAGGTTGATAGATAATCATGACAATGATTAGGTGCTGTTTTTATGTGTGTTATTTAGGTAATGCCACTCCAAATCTGACTGAGTGCTGGTTCTGCTTGAATGCATTATTAAAAGCCGGGGTGTGACGCATTGGAGAAATTGTGCTATATTCTGAAGTATTATTTCAGGAACTGTTACTTTGACCACTTCTGACACTGAACACTTGAAAATTCAACTTTATACCTTCATAATTTAATTAAAAGCTGCAAAATAATAATATATAATTAATGTTATTTTGTTTTATATTATATTACTGTAACTCACCGGTCCTACCGCACCCAACCCAGTCTGAGTTGGCGATTCTTTGTATGGAAGTCGGCTGCTCTAACAAGGAGGATAAAGACCATGGCCTCTACTGTCTTTCGCTAGAGCGCCTTTTTGAGGTCAGAGGAGTGAGGTTTACCTAGCACTTCGCTAGCTGTGCTCCGCTACACTTACACTTCCCTCCCGGACGAGCCCCCACATGTAACCCACCAGTCCTACTAGCACTTCATTAGCTGGCCTCTGTTCACATTATATTATATTATATTATATTATATTATATTATATTATATTATATTATATTATATTATATTTGATTATATTTTATTTTATTATATTATATCATATTATATTATATTATATTATAGTTTATTATATTATATTATAGTTTATTATATTATAGTTTATTATATTATATTTTATTATATTATATTATATTATATTATATTATATTATATTATATTATATTTTATTATATTATATTATATTTTATTATATTATATTATATTATTTTATATAATATTATATTAAATTATATTATATTATATTAAATTATATTATATTATATTATATTATATTATATTATATTATATTATATTAAATTATATTATATTATAATACTGCCATTCAGGAAACTAAATATATATTAAAAACGAAAATAATATTGCAATAAAAAAAGCTATTTGATTCTGTGGCTTGAGTGCAATTTCTCCCTGTTTTTCACACCCCTGCTTTTACACCTTTTATTTGCACTAGGTACAAGTCTGAATATTTTAAAACCACTCATGCTGAAAATATGACAAATATGAAATCTCAGTCTCTCTCTTATGATTTTATATATTCAGGGTTTGCATCAAGACATTTTTTTCACTGAGAAGCTGCTAGTGTTTACATGCACACACACACACGCACATAACCATCTTCAAACATCTACATTTATATATCATTATATCATATTTGAAGAGCTGTGGAGAGCGAGAGGCTGGCTATGTTATGTTATGATGTGAATGTCTGAAGAGTTTAATAGAAAAAATTATATAATAAAAATGCAATATTTTGTAAGATCATGGAGAATGTGAAGTCAGTGAAAAAATGATGCAATGTGTGTGTGTGTGTTGTTGGTAATGTTTGTATTATTTAGCATTATGGTTCTAGTTTTAGGATAAATTTAAAAATGCAGCTTTTTTTTCTGTGAATACAGTCTTGTCGTCATTAAATGTTGATTTAATATGTTTATTAATGAGAACATGTCTATTAAAATTTATTTTACACAAATCCAAAGAGCTTTTGTTTTGTGTTTGTTTGTGGTTGTTTGTGCCTGTTTGTTTGCCCAAAAAGTATACTTTGCATTATTTATAATTTATATTTGGCGACGCAGTGACGCAGTAGATAGTGCTGTTGCCTCACAGCAAGA